CCGGTGCTCAGCAGCGTGGCCGTGTCGGTTGCATGGGTACGATTTTGCAGGAACAACACACAATCCACCCCAGAGTCGTGGTCTGTCTCTTTCACTTTCACCTTTAAGACGGAAGTCATATTGTAGTGAATGAAAAACCGACTCAAACCGAGCATTGGACAGCGGTCCTTAGAGCTTCAAATCTCACCCTAATACAGAGAGGATCAATGCTTTTTCTTCTCGCGATGCTGGCCCGACGCAAGCCGACGCTGGAGCGACGACGATACGAGAAGCTTTTACTTCTTCCATATTTCATGACGGGCTGTTGATGACGCCACAAATCATCCTCGGCCTTTTCCTGAGCTTCTTGTCTCTTCAAGTCAGTGAAGATCACGTTGTTCACCATTATCTTTAACCAAAAAACAATTATTGATCCAGTGTTACTACAGGAGGAAACCTAAACTAAACTAACTTTATTTCTACTAGATAGCTCTATCAGTTCTAAACTGTTCTTCCTAGAGGACCAGTCTTCCTCGCCCCAACACTGTGATGTTCGTACATACATTCTTCTTGAGGTCCGTAGGAATACACGACGCTCGACGCCGTCGTGGGTAATCGTTCGCATTCAGAACGCACGTCACTTGAAATGTTTCCAGACTCCAAACTTTAATATCACCGTCATAACTGGATGTAGCCAGAGTCCCCGTACCATAGAGGTCGATGGAAAGAATATCGTCTTTGTGGAAATTTTTCCATACTCTGGGATCGCATTCCTCCTGAAGAAAAAAAAGATTTATATCAGACACACAAAATGACTGCAATTTGGCCTTTGAACATTTTCGTGAGACTGATATTGTCTATATTAAATTGAATCCCATCAGGTGGCCCGACGCAAACCCGACGCTGGAGCGACGACGATACGAATTCTAACCTCGTCGCTTCTAGAGTCCTTGTAGATCGCTACTTTCTTCGACCATCCAACTGTAATGATCCTCTGTTTCGTACACACAATCCCCGTAATCTCCTCATCATCCACAGGTGTCAACGTCCTCAAACAATTGCCGTTGTTGAAATTCCAAATTTTCACCGAGCCATCCCGGGCGCCTGTGGTAGAGGTTGCATATTATGCTAATTATCTTGAACGTAGAATGGAGTGGGCGTAGTGTGTAAGTTAGCCCCTCTCCTGTCTCCCTCTGTTTAACTTCTGGGACCCTGGTGATAATAAGACAAGCTCGGAAACAATGCAATACCTGTTACTAGTCTGCGCAGACTCTGATCAAAACACATGGCTGTGATTTCTGACTTCGGATGCGCATTTGAAAACTGGATGACTTTCTCGCCAGTTTCGAGACTCCAGACAATCACAAGAGACGCATGACAGGCACTGACTACCTGATTAAACAAACTGTTGTATAACGCTTTACAAAGCGGTTTGATGTGACTGCTTCGCTCCTTCTTGTCGTCTGAGCTTTTCTCTGAACCTGCCAAAATGAAAAACTCTCGGATTTACTGAACAAGAGCCAAACTCTGGAAATATGACGAGAAATGACACAATGTTCCGATCCTGGCTCACGTTTGACGGACGAGAAGCCGATAAACCAGGCAACGTTGTTTTCATGCAGGGTTTTCATATCAAACATACCTTTCTTCTCAAGAGCGAACAATACATTCGTGCCCAGTAACAGCGTGTGGTTCTTGGCATTAAAGTAGATACTTGATATAACAACAGGGCCTGGCGTCAGCAGTCGGCTGGGGATTGTTTGTATACAGCAGACGTCACGAATATCCCAAACCTTCAAAACCTACGAAAGAATTACAAATGAATAAACCCCGTAATCTACTACTAGGGTACCGCAGCTGGAAATTAAACTTAATCCACTTTTTACCGTCCAGATGACAAGAAGAAGTTGCTTCTTCTAAAGGAATAAATCAGACAGGGATTTGCGCAAGAGTTTTTTTTACCAAGTTCACTTTCTTTGGGAGGAAGGGGCATTCATTCCCCAACTAGTTACAGGTATATTATCATCGTACCTTATCTTGGGATACGCTGATGAATTGACCGTTCAAACCATTCACTTCAATATGGATTATAGCAGAACAGTGACCTTTGAGGGTAGATGTGGGTTTTGTGGTCAGATAGGGATTCCAGAGGCGAACATAATGATCTATCCCACCGGTGACAATCACATTCCACGTGCTGCAATAATCGAAACACAGGACACCCTTGCGTATATTGATATACGAACTGATACGTTTCCTCATTGCGTCACCAATGTACAGCGATCTGTCGTTCGTCGTTGCGCAGGATATAAAGCATTGCAGGTTCGGGTAGTATTTGACTTTCTTCACCCAGTCATCGTGCGGGCTGAACTGCATAGCCCGCACATTCGGGTGTAAGCCTTTCACCAGCTCTCTGAACATGATACGACAGTACGACGCCATTGGCACGCCCTGGTTTTTCGCCACATGAATATCAAATAGACCTGAAAAGAAACGAAATGTAAATATTCATCGACCATAACCCGGTGTTAAAAACAATTCCAGTTCAATACTACGAGAACAGACGAAAGCAGGTAGAGCCAGGAAATAGGAAATAAACAACAACAAATGTGGAGGACTTACCTGTAGTTGCTGACGAGAAAATCAAAACATAAACTTGTCCATTCATGTCACCGAAATACAACGCGCTTTCGTTGTAGTTTTCCGGGTTATACCAGTAGTCCATGCAGAGCACGGAATGCTGGAACCCGCAAACAACAAAATGCTTCTCGAAGTTGTTCGCGGCGCAGTCGTAAAAAGCAATATCTCTTTCGGTCGTGGACACTGCTATTTTCTTTACGTTCGCCAGGACAACGCAATCAGTCACCCAAACGGTTTTGTTGCCCTTGGAGGAATTGTAGTGCCCTTCGTTTAACAAGATTGAACGCTGAAGGTTCAGGTCCATGTTCCAAAATGTCATCACCCCATCTCGACTTACCGCTACGTATCTGGAAAGACGCAAATTACGAGCTTTTGCAAATCAATTACATGTTGGCAACAAGCCTGCAACAAGTTCGCAACAAAACGAATCTGGGAAAACGAGTCTGTCACAAGCCTGTGTATAAATTGTCTAACATGTCCGAGGTCGGTCGATTGAAGGGATAAGACTTGTGATTTAGAGTTACCTTCCCGAGCTCCCGTCTGCAAAATCTTCAGGTCCGTACGATATCTTCGGAAAATACGAGATACGTACGAGCGTATCCCGATGACTGCTTTGCAATTCTCGCAATGGATTCGGAAACGGGGCATCAACTCCGAGCTCACTGAAATAGAAACAACTTGTTTGAAACAATTGCAGTTGGTAAAATAGTTTCCTATGACACATTTCAATGAATATAACCGAGCGAGGTAAAATAGTTTCCTATGACACATTTCAATGGATATAACCAAGCAAGCCCCATAATAATATATAATATATAATAAATAATTGCAGTTGGTAAAATAGTTTCCTATGACACATTTCAATGGATATAACCAAGCAAGCCCCATAATAATATATAATATATAATAAATAATTGCAGTTGGTAAAATAGTTTCCTATGACACATTTCAATGGATATAACCAAGCAAGCCCCAATAATATATAATATATAATAATAATTGCAGTTGGTAAAATAGTTTCCTATGACACATTTCAATGGATATAACCAAGCAAGCCCCATAATAATATAATATATATAAATAATTGCAGTTGGTAAATAGTTTCCTATGACACATTTCAATGGATATAACCAAACAAGCCCCATACAGTTCCCTTGTTTATAAGGGAGTGAGGATGATATATAGAGAAGTTTTTTTTTATTCATATTAGAAGCTAAGAATGCACACCTCAGACCCTCACCTGCTCATTACATCTTTCAATTGATTCTCCATCAGCATGTACGAACAAAACTCTTCCCAATCCACCGTGCCGTCGCAATTCGCGTCAACCTTCATGAAGATAATCGCTAGTTCCTCCTCATCAGGCAATATCCCGCCCTTATTGGCGATGATTCTCTTCAACGCCTCCCGGAATTCATCCAAATCAAGTCCGCCCCCTCCGTCCTCGTCCGCCTCCTCGAAGATCCGTTCTAGCAGTTCCAAGTCCTCGTGGTTCATCTGATCCTCCAGACGATTCTTCATCGCATTAGGATGAAAAGGCTTGCTCCCAGGGACAACTTTCGAGTTCTCTCGGGCCCCACTTGAGAGCTGTTATTCCGAGAGGGTCTATCCTCGTATAGTTCGTCCACACTTGACGTCGTAGACATTTTGAGTTAGCGTATTCGGGGCTGACAACCCGCTACATTTTTCGCTTTACTTTTTTTCTCAAAACTTTTACTATAAGCGCTCGCGTTCCCACATTCGTGACGTAATTAATGAAACATTACGTCACTGCGCGCGCCACAGCATTGAGAAACATTTAAACCCTGGGGATGAATGGAATTGACTTGTTTTGTTTTGTAAACAGCGTGATATTTACTTTGAAAAGGTTCTCATTTTGATTGCCAGATATTCCCAGTGCAAATATGCATGGTGGGTTATCTGCAGGAACTACTAAAAAGCTGTTGTGTGTGTGCTATACTAAATATAGAGTTCATTTTGTTTCCAGCTATTCTCTAGAGTTGCAAAAACAAACAGGACATCCCGTCTGAGAATACGGCCGTTCTATTTCTCGAAGCACCTTAGCAGCAGCAGCAGCAGCGGTCGGTTTTCGTGTCAAAATTAGCAAAGCTATTTTGGCATGTGAATAAAGTTGAACTATAATCCGACAACTGCATATTGCTTGCAATATCGAAATCGATAAACCGACACCAGCATGACTTGAAGACGATTAACTATGAAATGGTAGAGATATCGACCAGATCATCTACGTTAAACTCGTTGCCAATGGCCTGGACATTAATCTTGTGAGTCGCTTATTCTTTGGTTTAAAATTTACTCACTTCAAAACCACAATATATTCAGTAACTACAGTAAATCTGATATGATGGTAAATATCTGGGAGTCAATGTCCTTGGAAACGCTCTTGATTATGCAAACGCTTTAGATAGTCGTTCAGACAATATCCCCTTCTGTACATGCGTTTTAGCATCAGGTAACATTATGTACCATCTGTGTACTCAAATGTACCTTCACGTAGGTTACTCATGCTTCGCTAACTAATACGAAAAACATATTTTTTGAACCAACGACGGTCGACGATCTGTTAGGAATGCAACCTCTTGAAAAGTTTGACTGTGATTGAAATCTACATAATATAGAGCAAATTCTTTGCTCGGGTCCCTATATATTGTGCAATATCTATCACAGTAAACACGCCTTAATTTGAACTCATGAATCAAAGGTTTACATACCTCTTGAAAACAACCCTTTCAATTTGTAATATTTTAGACCTTGCATTAGTTCATCGTTATCGTATTCACAGACTTGAACAGGTTCGTATGAGCCGATAAGAGACAGACCCTAGTAAAATGAAAATCATACTATTTTTACCATAAACTCTTCATTAGGGCCGCATCATTAGACTATAAGGTGTATGCAAATATGACCATGGTCGTATTCGCCATTTTCCGGCGAATATATGACCATGGTCGTACATTTCCCATTTTCCGACGAATATATGACCATGGTCGTATTTGCCATTTTCCGGCGAATATACGACCATATAGAGATATAAGAGAAAACATACTCCGAAAATAAACATCTTGTAAACCCAAGATATGAGTTGTTAAAAACAAGACACAATAATCAAGGTGATATTTCGACTCTATTTCAAAGTCATTGTATATAGTCATATGACCATGTCATATGACCATATATTATAAAGTCATATGACCATGGTCGTATATTTGCCATTTCCTAGCGAATATATGATGGTCGTACATTTGCCATTTTCCGGCAAATATATGACCATGGTCGTATATTTGCCATTTTCCAGCGAATATATGACCATGAACGTATTTGCCATTTTCCAGCGAATATAAGACCATGGTCGTAAAATTGCCATTTTCCGGCGAATATATGACCATGGTCGTATAATTGCCATTTTCCAGCGAATATAAGACCATGGTCGAGTTAGCCGTTTTCCGGCGAACTCCACCATGGTCGAATTAGTCGTTTTCCGGCGAACTCGACCATGGTCGAGTTAGTCGTTTTCCGGCGAACTCGACCATGGTCGAGTTGGTCGTTTTCCGGCGAACTCGACCATGGTCGAATTAGTCGTTTTCCGGCGAACTCGACCATGGTCGAGTTAGTCGTTTTCCGGCGAACTCGACCATGGTCGAGTTAGTCGTTTTCCGGCGAACTCGACCATGGTCGAATTAGTCGTTTTCCGGCGAACTCGACCATGGTCGAGTTAGTCGTTTTCCGGCGAACTCGACCATGGTCGAATTAGTCGTTTTCCGGCGAACTCGACCATGGTCGAGTTAGTCGTTTTCCGGCGAACTCGACCACGGTCGAGTTAGTTTTCCGGCGAACTCGACCATGGTCGAGTTAGTCGTTTTCCGGCGAACTCGACCATGGTCGAGTTAGTTGTTTTCCATCGAACTCGACCATAGTCGAATTAGTCGTTTTCCGGCGAACTCGACCATGGTCGAGTTAGTCGTTTTCCGGCGAACTCGACCATTGTCGAATTAGTCGTTTTCCGGCGAACTCGACAAGTTAGTCGTTTTCCGGCGAACTCAACCATGGTCGAGTTAGTCGTTTTCCGGCGAACTCGACCATGGTCGAATTAGTCGTTTTCCGGCGAACTCGACCATGGTCGAGTTAGTCGTTTTCCGGCGAACTCGACCATGGTCGAATTAGTCGTTTTCCGGCGAACTCGACCATGGTCGAATTAGTCGTTTTCCGGCGAACTCGACCAAGGTCGAGTTAGTCGTTTTCCGGCGAACTCGACCATGGTCGAGTTAGTCGTTTTCCGGCGAACTCGACCATGGTCGAATTAGTCGTTTTCCGGCGAACTCGACCATGGTCGAGTTAGTCGTTTTCCGGCGAACTCGACCATGGTCGAGTTAGTCGTTTTCCGGCGAACTCGACCTTGGTCGAGTTAGTCGTTTTCCGGCGAACTCGACCATGGTCGAGTTAGTCGTTTTCAAATTTTGCACAACGCTTTGAAGTACCTTCTTTATACGTTGCAGATATTTAAAACTATGACGTCATAGGGCCACAGAAAAAAATTCGCCCCGGGCCCCACAATTTCTCTCGGCGCCTCTGGGTGTATGTTTTGAAAAGATTCGTGTTACTAACCTGTTGACTCAATAGATGAACATGATTGTAACTTGAACAGAATGCCTTTTCCATTCCAATCCTCGACAAGGCTAGAACATAACTTCCGCGTCCCTGGAAAACAATTTAACCAGGGATTTATCACATCACAAATTGTAAATGCTGAAAACGGAAATGGTCGGGATGTCAGACAATCAGATTCGTCAAACAATCCTAAACTTAGGGCCTGTTTATATGATCCCGCCTAGCCGGGACAGGACAGTTTCCGAGATCCCGCTTGTAATACAAACACTAATTAGTGTTTATATGACCACTTTTCCATCCCGCCTAGGCGGGATCCCGGCACTTCTTGCCGGGATCCCGCTTAGACGGGACGAGAAATTGCCATATAAACACTCCATCCCGCTTGGCCGGGATGATTCGCGATTAACATAAGCCCCGTTTACACTACACTCGATTTATTGGCACGGCACGGCTAAACTGAGTACCCGTGCCCATTTCATTCGTGCCCGGCCTTTGTTTTGGTAGCCTGAACACTAATAAAATTGGGCACGGGTACCCATTTTAGCCGTGCCGTGCCGATAAATTCAGTGTAGTGTAAACGGGGCTTTACATTAGGAGCATGTGTATATATTGGCATAGTCGTTTTCTACAATAAAACATGCCGTCGAAGGAACCTGCACTACAAAATGAACTCCATATAAACACGCCATCCCGCCTAGTAGGCCGTGGGATGAGCATCGAAAAGATGCAATTCCGTTGCACCCCTCGTGGAACTACGTAATTTTTACATGAATCAATAGATAAAAACTTACTTTATCAGAATCAGTCGCTCCCCAAGTGAAACAGGTGCACAATTGGGAAAAAAATCCCTCCAAAGTTTGCTAATTTCGCGTTTCGAAATATTCGAACCGCCATTGTTTTAATAGCAAATACGCATGCGCATGTCAGCCAAAGTCGCACTGCGCACGCTCACACAGGAAAAATGGATTTTCCCTGTGGGTTTTCCCCGAATTCCCGCGTGAAAACAACAAAATAAAATCACGGAATAAAGATTAAACCTTGTAATATTAACGAATAAATACACACACATCAAATATTGTTTAAAACACATTGTACATTTTGCTTGCTGGTATGCTAAATCACTTCAATTCATTGGCTATTGTTTCAAAATACCGTTTTACGTTAACATCGTAATTCATTAAAAATTGCGTCAGGTAAAAAACCCACCTGTATCAAACAGGATGGAGAATATATAATATACATACAACTCACACATCAAGGGACAAGTTAAATATTTCGCTTAACTATAGCCTTCACATCACTAACAAAGCCTGGAGGAATAGCAGAATCCTTGGATATATTCATCTGTGCAAGGGCAGTCTCATGGCACAATACAAATGAGTGTGACATGCAATGTCCAAAACCACTCAATAGAAAAATTACTGAGGCTGAACCTGTCAGTTGTCTAAGTGTCATGGCAAGTGCTATGCTCTTGGGTGTAGGATTCCTTCCCCCAGATACTAAATTCACAAGGTCTTGTACAATTGATGTTAGTTTGGCACTGTTCTTGCCCTCAATTGGCACGTACTCACTTAAAGTTGGCTCTGAATAGAATCACAAATCCAAGCCAATACATTAAAAGTTCACATGGAGCCACTTTTTGCACATTATCCATTGTCAAATCAGATGCCAATGGTGGCTAAGGAAGATTTAGTTTTGGTATTTCTTGGACTTTTTGGCAAAGAATCAATGCAGCATTGTATAGAATTTGTAACTCATTGACTTTAGAATTTCCCTCAGTTTCTGTGGAATTCAGATCATCATTATCAATGGTATAGCTTTCTTCATCAAAGTCTTCATCGTTGTTTTCTGACTAGTTTGACATGTTCCTCAACCAATTTGGAAGAATCCAAATTTTCCACATTTACAATCTCGCTAACATTTCTCATTTTCGGTACATAGAACACAAGTTGGGGATAACTTTTCATTAGTCTTTATTTGGATGAAGCTCTATATTTGGATGCATCCACATTCTCTGTGTCCTTAGCAATGATAACAAATTTCTCCAGCAAATCTTTCATATACCTTATTTGCTTAAATTTGCATAACTTCAGTGTCGATTACTTTCTTACAGAAGACATCATAAGACTTCTCATACACTGATGTAGATCTTTCAGTCTCCAATTGCTTTTTTGCCTCTCTGGTGAGAAATTTTATATAATTGTAGTAACAAACTTTGTGATAGAGGACTTCCAGTGCTACACAGTCTTTCCCCCGGATTCGCATGAGTATCCATTCATCATTCCTTTTCTCCACAGCTGTATGTAGAAGACCAGCATCAATTGTTTCTGCCAACATGAGTGGGGTTCTTCTCTTCTTAGTTACCTGGTGTGAACAAGATATTTTAAAACCAAACTCGAGAATGCTGTGCTACTAGTGCACATTGCACTAGTATAATTATATCTATCAAAATGATCATGCATACCTTGTCTAGTGAGAACCAAGAGGCGTCTCTTCCACAAACAATACATATCTCTGGAAGTACGTGCTCGTTTCTTTTAGGCAGGGTCGTATTAACGTCTGCGACTGATTGGCGTGTAATTTTTCGCCTTGGTTCCATACTTCCATTGGTTCCACTTCTAGTCTTCTACATGTATTTCTTCGGTAGAAGTTACAGTTTACAGTTTTAGAGCTTTCTTCTTTTCGCTGTTGTCTACAGATCTTCTCTTCATCACAAAATCTCTTCCAGTATTTCATATGATGGTGCCATTCTAAGTTAATGCTGTCAGGGTTCTTTTCCATGTATGAATTGACAGATCTGTCATCGATGTTCGCGTACGATTTCTTAGCTATTTCTGCTTGTTGACATTTGAGTTTAACCCATTTAGACCTACACTCAAGAAATTTCTTAAGCCTTTGGCGTGTAACTTTGCAAAGTTGCTCCGTAACGCCATCAAAATGAATAAAACATGAGGATATTCGAGTTTTATAAATATCTTCAGCCATTATTATTTTGCATAACTAAGCGTGTTTCCACTTCGAAGCATGTGCGTGCTTATGCGCGTGCGCAGTGCGAGTTTTCCTGACATGCGCATGCGTATTTGCTACTAAAACAATGGCGGTTCGAATATTTCGAAACGCGAAATTAGCAAACTTTGGAGGGATTGTTTTCCCAATTGTGCACCTGTTTCGCTTGGGGAACAACGGATTCTGATAAAGTACATTTTTATCTATTGATTCATGTGAAAATTATGTAGTTCCACGAGGGGTGCAACGGAATCCGTTTTCTAAGCATCTTTTGGATGCTCATCCCACGGCCTATAGGCGAGTTTCCCGGCTAAGCGGGATAAAAACATCCCTTCCCGGCTAGACGGGATCATATAAACGGGCCCTTAAGAACTGTTTTTCGATAAGAAACGAGCTTACCAAAGAAGATTTCTGTATGAACAGTTTTCTAAAATGATGAACCATGCTGAGGTCTCGCGGTTTCAACCAATCGTTCGTTTCTGGATTCTTAAGCGACGTTTTCCAGAAAAAGCCATTAAATTCGTCTGCCGCGAATAAAACAGGCATTCTGCAGAAAAAATATAAAAAAGGACATCTTAGGATTCTTAGTCATGTCACAGGCTTTATTTCTGCAATATCACAGTTTAAGGATATATCCTTAAACTGTGGCAATATGCTGCATGCTGGCTAAAATCAACATGAATTGGACTAAATTTCTCAAACTCACCGACTGCTTAGTCGTTGCACTTCTCTGAGCGTGATTCCCACAGCATCCGTAGCAAAATTCGGTCGATGGAAAGCCTGTTCATTTAGCAAACATTATCCTTTACCAGTGTGAACTAGTTTTATCTTAAATCAAAGTCTCCGAGCGTGTACCTGGTCAATCACTGTGGAAATACGGCTTCCAGCATCGATGGAGATTTTTTGACTAACTTTGTAGTCTTTTGAAGTCTTTATCTATCACGAAATAAACACGATGTAGTGTTTCAGCCGTAGAGCAAACACAACATCATCAAATGCACTAAGAAGCAGTCGTTTTTTTACTATAGCTACCTGAGGCAAATGCTTGCCATTCAACGTTTGAACATCTTCAACCATGTCAGTGCTTCGTCAGGCTGATCAAACCGCTCCGGATTATGGGGAGAAGGCAGGATGTTTTGTTTACTAAAAACTATCTTGAACACTAAAAGATATGCAATTCAACAGTCCTTATTCAACTGATCTCAACTCAAGAGGCCCTGTATGACATCATGGATACAGGATACTACTTCCACTCACCACTGGAATGAACAGTATAAGCCATTCTTTAAGAAAACAATTATGAAGAACATGTGATAGCGTCATAGTTTTACCACAACCATCTTGACCATCTGTGAAATTAGTGAGTTTAAGAGAAAGTGCATTACTGCAGCCCAATAAAGGCAAAATATGTCTGACATTTATGATATATTTGGTAAAGTGAACATGAACTACTTGAATATAGTTGAAATATAATATAAAAGATAGGTACATACAAATCACATATTTCGAAGCACCAGATTCATCTGACTTAATGCTCTCCAGGATTGAGATGGCTGGCTGTCTGATCATGATGTTAAACTCTCCCAATGTCTTAACCTATGAGGCAAAATCAACACATATGAGGCAATAGAATAGGCAAGGTTAAGCGTAATGACTCACCCAGTAATGGTGATGTTAGCTAATGTTAGCTAACCTAGCTGGTACTGATTATACGTATCAAAATGAATTATTTTTCACAAAGTCTGTTCTCAAATACCTCATCCAGAAACGGTGGTTTAGGCAAACCATGAGAGAATAAAGTCGTCACTGTTTCTTTGGGAATGGTGTAATACTCTCTAACATGACTGGACGTTTGATTTCCCTATCAAAATTCAAAATATCTCCCATCAGGATCCATGCACATGCATCAAGTAATGCAAAATCACACAAATCATGCATATTCAGCATTAGTTTAAACAGTAAAGCACTCACAGGTTTTTGCAGAGCATTTGACATCAAAATTTGCATGACTTTCTACAGCTGAGCTTTCTGTTGCAGTCACAGATGACAAATGCCTCTCTAATATGCTTTTGTGGTGTTTTAAAACCTACGGGAAACATTAATGTTTAAGGTAGAATGAAAAAAGAAAGAATATTAGACAGAGGGAGAGGTGAGAGGGTGCAACCTCATAACCAGGGTTTTTTCTCTGTGCTCACTCTGGGGGGGGTGGGTTAAGAGGGGTGTTGTGGAGGGGAGAAGGGGGTGGGAGAGCAGAAAGGGATAGAATGGGTCCAGAAAAAGGCTGGATGTAAGAGATGGTGGTAATAGGAGTTTGAGCTAATCATGAGTTGTGAGAGAAATTCAATCCTTGAATTTTATTTCTGACACAACATTATCGTCAATTAGTGTCTATATTTCAAAGTAATTTAGTATGATAGGGCTATACTGACCCTATAGTATAAAAGGGTACGTAATATAACAATATTATTGCTGAATAAGCACTGGAGTTTGGATGAATGTCAACATATTCATTCAGCACGTACAAGTGGGAAACATATTCACAAAACAAATGCATATAATAAGTATTTAAAATGAGGTCTAACCTGACGAGAACGTCGCAAGATAAGTCTAGAAAAATACACCATTATAAAACTTACGAGCTAGTGACCAGGCTTCCTCTTCGCGCGCGACCAAGGGAACTGACCGAGGAAAACAGAAAACTCACTTATCAGACTTCTTTCACCTTTTTCTGAACTTTTTGTCTGTTTGTGACACTGGCCAACTGAAGAGCTAGACTGCTAATCTAGACTCAACAACAATTTTCTCGAAGAAAGAAAATCCGCTTTGTAACTGTAGTGTCTGTAGTTTGTCAAGCCCTACAAAATAGAGAATGGTACAATCCATTATGACCGCTTTATGCAAAGAATCCGAATAACCTTTAGGTTCCACTTGGAATTATTTTCCTCCAAAGTTCAATAGCATTCGAATAGGATAATGTAAATTCCAATTGGAACTTAGGTGATTTTCTAATAGAAATTACTGACTGGAATTCCAATTGGATTTATTCGTCAAGTCACGATTCAGTGATCAGAATGTCCTATTGTATTTTTCACTGTTTTAAACCTGTTTTGGCCTGTCATTTGTTTCATTCCTGGAGCTACAATCAGTAAACGCAGCTAGCCTCAGCGCTCATAGGTACCCCTCAGTAAGGGCCAAACTAAATCGATTTTGACTGGAAGCTTAGCGATGGCAAATGAAGGCAGAGCAAGACAAAACTATCAGTACGGAAAACCTTTAATTGCTGGCATTAAAAACGAAACTTTGGCAAAAGGTAAATAAGCCGATAAAAGATGGTCTGCATGGTAGTTTGCAGTCAAAATTATTGTTGAAATATTTTGTCACTATGGCGCTAAGACTGCGATTTTAGCGAGAAATCTAATGTCCTGATCATATTTGTAACGCAGAATAGAATGAAGGGGTTCTTAAAATGCCCTCCCCGTGAGAAAAAGTAGGAACTATAGGTCTATAGCCTGGTGTGATTGTTTTCTTGTTCTGCAAATTGCAAAACCGGCCGGCGAGCTCCAGTTACATCAGAGATCAGGGCTTTGGGCAGGGTTGCACGCACGTGACCGACAATAGTAGACGTCATACTGGCAAATATCACTTCGATCCGTTTCGAAATCTTCGAAAGTTGTCTTGTCCACTTTGAAAAGCGAAATTTGTCAAGATGAGCGCTAAGTTACAGCACTATAAAGACGAAATCAATAAATTTCTAAATCAAGACAATGCCTTTTGCAACGGCTTGGCGAAAATCGAAGAGAAAACCAAAGTTAACCGTCTCCACATCTTCCTTGGTAATTATGTTTGCAAAGTCTCCGGATTTGTCTCGCCACATTTCTCAAAGTGGCATAAAAAATTAACGTGGCTTTTCTTTTTTTAGGTGCCATAGGCTTATTCTCGTTGTATTTGATCTTCGGCTACGGTGCTGCTTTAATTGTGAATGCTCTGGGCGCTATGTACCCGGCATATGCCTCGTAAGTGATGTTGAAAAACTGAAAATTTTTTTGCATTAATGAGATGAAACGGCGGTCTAACCAAGCACAAAATTTTGAACTTTGAACCGGTTTGCTAATATCTGGTTATGTCGTCGTTAAATCTCCCCGAAACATTAATATTTCAGAAGGTTTAGGCAATAAATTTCATGCGCTAAACATGCTTTAAAATGTTTTTAATGGAATTAAATTTTCGAGATATACATTGGGCTGGAATTGGACAAACTACCTGCCGAAATTCATTTGAATATGCAAGTTGACAAGCATAATATTAATGATGGGAGGGGATCTGTATTAGTGCAATGTAATCATAAAAAATTATTCTCCAAATCAGAAATTGCATTTACATAATGTTTTCTCATACAGGCAGGCTTGAACCAGAATTTTTGGTTCAAGCCTGCCCAGACAGTTACCATCTATAGACAACCTACCATAGTTTGCGCAATTGAAAATAGAATGATTCGATTTTTACAGAGTTAAAGCTGTCGAAAGCATTGACAAAGATGATGACACACAGTGGCTTATTTATTGGATTGTCTATGCTGCATTCACTGTTGTTGAATATTTCTCTGATTTTCTTTTCTCGTGGTTCCCATTCTATTTCCTTGCCAAGGTAATGTGACATTCCCATTGGCTGAAAACAATTTGCATTGTTCTGCTTCCATTTCCTGGAATCTATATTTCAAATGCTATTGTTCTACGCATCCACTTACCAAACTCATACTTCAAGGAAATTTGAACATACCTTTTGTGTATATTTTGTGAATCCCGTTTCCACCTCTTGCAGTTGATTTTCCTCTGCTGGTGCATGGCTCCAATCTCTAGCAACGGAAGCACTTTCATCTATCACCGATTCATCAAACCTTTCGTTGTGAAACATCAATCCGAGATTGACGAGGCCTTGAACGAAGCAAGATCAGCCGCAAGCTCTGCCGCAAACACTGCTATGGATCAAGGTAGTTTAAAAATGGAACAAAGGACTAAATAACATTGAACTGAGCTCCATGACAGAACCTTTTTATTGCTCTTTATTATAGCCAAGAATGAAGCCATGAAGCAATACCTCCAACAGCAAGAACAGAATGATGAGGAAGAAGATAAAAAAGACATGTAGAAGAGTTCACACAAACAAGCAACACACAGATTCACATGAATTGCTCTTCCAAATTAATGGGGCCAAACACATGATTTGAAGGCAGACAAACAGATTTTGTATTTTTCTTTGAACATTTTAGCCTAGATTGAGGAAACGTTTTGATGATAACACATCACATGCATATGCATTTTGGGATCAATCTAGTCGAACTTTGAGGAACTGTTTTGGTGTGTCTAGCATCTTGAATAATTTAATACTGGATGGTAGCTTTTTATTAAAACAGAGTGTTTGTGACTTTATATGTTATACAGTACCTATTTAGTTTTGCATGATTTGTAAAATGGCAAGAATAAAATACATAAACTGAGCAGCTATTTGATCATCACTTAAACTTCCCAACAATGCTTTAAAAGTTTGCAAAATCACTTGGGTGTCAATGCTCTTTATATTGTCTGATTTTAATTCATAATTAAGTCTCCACTAGTTCATAATACAATTACTGAGCTAATTGCCCATTCTTGATGAGGGGCTGGCACAATATATTGTTGCCACTAGAAACAATGGTATATTACTGGTATAAAAAGTGACTATTGAATATACATAAACTACAATTTAAATTCCTACGACCTTATTTTATATTACGTAGTCTATAAGTGATACAACCTTACTTGCTTCGAAACATTCTCTTGACTGTGTCTTAAGCCTTAACAAATGATGTTGAGAAATCCCGATTTGGCATACAAATGGGTGCAACGAGTGTCCAGAGGTACAACACAACACAGACCCAGCCAGTGATGATTTTCACCCAGAATGCTCCCCATGTCCCTTGAACATTCTCTGTGTCTGACACATCAGGCCTGTGAAAACAACATAAGTGTTAAGAGACTGACTGGACTGACTATCTATCCCAGTAAACATTACATATTACAAAAAGGATTGTTTAACCCTGGATTAATAACACACTACCCATGCTGCATGGTGGAATTTATCGACATGGGGCAAAGAATTCTTTACTTACTCAACCCAGTTTGTCATCACCATCATGATGTAGAGGGCAGCAAGAAGATAAATAAAATGGAAGAATGAATAACTGTAGACAACTTCTTCCTCTTCATCATTTACAACTTTGCCTTTCTCTTCATCTAAATCTACTGTGGAAAGAAACTCACTGAGATCTTTGGTCACTTGAACAAGAAATATAATTTATAAACACCCTAAGACTTATTAAAAATTGCACACAACAAAAAAAATTAATTTAGTTACAAAATGTACCTGGAGCAGTGGTGTTTGTGGAAAATTTATCTGCACTTCCAGATGTCTTCAAACTAAGAATAAAGTTACAATTAGTTTTCACTACATTTACATACATATATTCACAAGAATGTTCAATGGAAAAAATCAATGTATTTATAGTTTTACCTTGAATAAAATGATCATGACAAATGTCACAACCAGCCCAACAATCATGGTTGTGTTTTTAGATCCTCCAAAATTTGTGCTTTGAACATCACACGAGGTTGAGGTGGAGTTGCTCGACGCATCTGCAACATAAGATAATTTGTACAATGATTTAAATTATTACATTTATCAAAGATTATTACATTCTTATTACATACCAGGTAAGTCATAAGGCTCGTTAGCAACAGATGTCAATGTGATGTAAGAAAGGAAAAGAGAGATGATGGAGGATTGCAAAAGACCAGATTTGGGCTGAACTGAAAAATAAAAAATGTATACCATTTTTAGACTATTACATCGTTAGTGGCTCAAAAAATTATAAATATATTCAATTATTCAGAATGTTTCAGAGGCAATCATGTACTACCGTTAATCAATATGTGAATTATTTAATATTCATCATCTAAGATTTCTACCTTCCTGTATTTTTGGTAAAATGGAAACCCCCAACATAAGAACGCAGGTAATCAGGTTGAAACTGATTATAAATCTGTTCAAATCGCAGCCTTCACTCTAAAATGCATTGTGTTAAGAAAAACATTTAGAATAAGGACTATAATATAACTTCCAATTGTCTCACCCCTTGGAAACCAGACATAAACCATGCACTCACTGTTGTAAACCAGACATAGGCTAGAATGAAGCCAGTCAAGGCAAAACCAAGAAACACAAATACGAATGTACCAAGAGCTGAAAAACAAAGTTATTCAATGTACGTAGAATGGAAATTTAAATAAATGAATGTCAATGAAATTTATCCACTAGTTAATACAAACTAGATAAAGTAGAGTAAAGATATTCACCTGCCAACCATCCTTTGTTTCCAGTCTCTTCAGCATTGTTAGTCCTGTTAAAATAACAACATATTTCAAGACAATATAACCTGGATGTTTTAACACAATATATAACCTGGATTTCAAGACAATTCAACCTGGAGGACTTCAATACAATTAACCTGGATTTCAAGGATGAGGTTGCTTGTTATTGTTATATATTAAATATGCTTACCAAACTTCATTCCAGGTATGAGCAAAATCAATCAACAGCATCACCTGAATCACAATGAACAACAATCCACCAACCAAACCAATGTACATCCATGCTAAAAAGGAATAAATATAAACATTTATTTCCAGGCAATTGCTGCATCAGCAAGAAAGCTCCAAGATGAAGCTTATTTGTGATAAATCAGATTTGATCTCACCTTCAGCAAATTTATGACTTTTCACCCAAAATGACCAGAGACATAGGACAAAAAGAACAAGGAACTTGATCCCCCAATACCTAACATAACAAAAATATTACATAATGAATACAGTTGCATAATAATAGTGCAGCGTAACAATGGTGATTTGTTGCCTTTGTGATATCAAGAAATATTTTAGTGTGTCATATATACAAGTAGTTCAAATGAGACCAAATATATATGTGCCCTAAATTTCATAAAAACTGACAGTAAAAAACTCACAGGATTGCAAAAAGACCTAAATTTAAACATCATATTTACCCATTTTGGATTCCTGCCCGGCATTCTTTTTGTGACTTCACTCCAAGCGTGATGATCATGAGAAGAACATGAAATATGGCAAAACCAAGGAAAATTCTATACACAGACAAGTAACCCATTATCTCTTCACACTTTCCACCGCTCTCATCGCAAATCTTATCATGAAATGGAAGCTGTAAAAAAAGCAAGATAATATGTGAGTTGGCTACGTAATCAGCTTCATGAAATTTGTCATTGAGGTTGAAATAATGTCTGTGGATATGGATTTCTACCAAGTAAATTTAAGGTTTGTTTAACTTTTAATTTCTGCTGCAATTTTTTGTGGGATTTTCCTCTTTTGACAGATAGAAACAAGTAAAAAGTTATGAATGCTCTAATGTATAAGAAATTTGTACATCTGTACATATTCATTTGTACATATTCATCTGTACATATTCATTTGCACATATTCAATTGGCAATGGGAGTATTCAACTGACATGTTCTTTCAAGCTTTCTGCCACGTTATCTGATGATAATATTGCAGATATGATGACACCAATGAGAAGGAAGAAGGTATACATGATCCTTGTCGTAACTGAGCTGCGACATGATGGACAGCACGAACAACAGCAGCTGACTGCAGTTGATCCACAACAACATGCAAGCTGAAAAACATATCAAAGAAAACTGTCAATGCTTTTGCAGGAGAGATACTTTTGACAAACAGGAAAACTTTCAGTATGACGTCATATCGTGGACATTTAATATTGGTTTTACTTGTAACTTTCATTTATAACAAATTTTTAATATTTCATATAGTCGCGATCGAAACCACGACACCAGCATATGTAGATATATACTTACAGATCCAACAACACAACCCATTTTAATCGTGTTCTGAAAGTCGACAAAAACAGTTGATATAAATTATGTACTTCACTAGTTTAGTACTTACAGTAATATAATCAGCTGTTGAAAATAACGCGTTTTGACAACAAACAATGATAGTTTTACTGACAGAATAACAAGAATAAAACGATATAGTAAAGGTAACGTAAAAATCCACATCAAAAGATCACCTTTTATTGCGTTTCTGTTGTGTTTTGTTAAAAATTTCAGACAAGATACAGCAAACAACAAGTGTCCTTCTGCGAAATCGTAATAATAAACAAGAAGGTGGATATTTAGGAACATATGTTTACATGTAGGTACGAGCGCGAGTTAATCCAAAATTGTACATAAGAGTCATGATAAAGCCATAAAGGAGTACAAAAAGTACAAATGAAAGAAGTAATAAGTTTCATACATCAGGCGTCTTTAGAGCATTTTAATCTGTTTATTTTTTCTCGAGTAACTAGCATTCTGCAATATTCTAGCCTATTAGAATATTAGAAATCAATTAAAGCTTCTAAGTCGCTTTTTGACGCTCGACTTGAACGAGACGCGAAAGCGTTACGAAGTAGCAGTTCTGTGAGACGAGATAAACGCCTGTTTGCATAATGAACTGCCTCTTTGAAATCGAGGTCTAAAGCCATACGTTGTGCTTTTTTTCCGTACTCGAAAGCCCATGTGAGGGCCTGCCTCTCCCCAGCTGGGCATCGTGAAAGTGTGGAGCGCTTATAACTCAAATCAGATTGCGCTAGTAAAATTTCGATTTCTTGGAAATGCGTAGGCTTGATTCCATCAAGGATCGAGCCTTGGACCGCCTTCAGTTCCGATGCAGCCAAGTCGATGTCAGACTTAGTCACGATGCCCTGTTCTAAGGGTTCCCCGCTTAGAGAACACCCTAAGTGTGCCATTGCCGAGTAGATGTGCGCCTTTTGCTTGAGATCAGCAGTACTTCTTGGATATTGATCTTGGTCAAGTGTATTTGCGTCTCTCAGAGCAGCCTGGAGATATGCTTGATTTTCATTTGCAAGATCATTGTATCTTTGAGGATCAGTCTCTTTGCTTGCCAAAATAGAGGTTACAGCAGCAGCATGAATATAGAACCATACTGTAAGAAACTCGGGTGGAATAGACTGCATCATTTGCAAACCCTCTTTCGCTGTTTGGTAGCTTTTTTCATGATCTCCCTCAGCACGTTCATTCCTGCTCCTCAAACAAAGTCCCCTTACGTCGAAAAAGGTCATATCCTTCACGTCGGGAGCTTGTATTGCAGTGGAAAAGTCATTAAGGTAGCCTCTTGCTTCTGCGAATTCGTTATTCTTACACGCGATTGCGGCCCTCTCTGCTGCTACCACCAACTCAGCGCAACTCCCAGGAAACTTTCTCATGGATATTTCACAGAGCTTGTTAAAATCCTTTATATTCTTGTCATTCCTAAATTGAACAAGTTTAGACGTCAGAAGCTGATAAATCTTCCGGTTCTTTGCCGAGCTCCAGGTTAAAAGCGGCATTGTTGATGGAACAGGATCCGCCGGTGCATCCAATTCGACTGGAAAATATTCCTCCCAGTCTTTCTTCCTTTCCACTTTCCCGTCCTTGATATGGTACATGTCAGGCATTTTGTAAACACACCACCGGGACAGCGAGCTATGGCGATGACAACCACATAGGTCGATGCAATTTCCCTCCCTTCACAATCTTTAATAGGTATAAACATTATATCCCATTGTTCACCCTTCTGTGGCTCACCGCAGTATCTAGGCCAGATCATCCCCTTGATAGCTTTCGCGACCTTTTTTGTAATTTCAATTTGATCTTTTTCCCTCACTTTCTCCCCTTCTACAACACCACAATCGTTGATGCCATAATAAATATGGCCGCCGGACAGGTTAGCATAAGCGGAAACATAGTGGGAAATTTGTTAGATTTACCTGTGATACGATCAGCCAAAGTGAGGGTGGTGTGCGTGCCTTCGGATTCCTCGGATTTGAGATTTTTCCATTGGATGTTAACATCTTCATCGAAATTGACGCGTTGATTTTGGACAAAATCTGCATAAAAGGACCCAGGAGTAAATAGTTTCTTGACTGGTTTACACTGGCTGTTGTTTAACAGTTTTCTTACCATACCAATAGGCTGTGATGACGGAATCGCTTTGACCTGAGATTTGGTTGAAACGTACAAATTATAATTGACAACAAACGGTCCTTCGGCTTTCTTCACTTCGACGAGAATTTCATTGGGATTCGCTTTAAATTTTACTACGGAAACCAAAGACACAGTTCCTATTAGGTCGTCCACCTTTTGTTCTATGGTCCTAACGCAAGAATCAAGCTGTTTTCTCGTCGATATACTTTTGAACAGAAGCTGAATCAGTCCACCGTCTGTGTTTAACAGCGCGTTGATTGCTTTAATTATTTCATTCATGATCTCATCTTTGTAGCTTTTCTTTTTATTCACGTCTCTTGGGCATATTTCTGTGAACGTGATTGAAGTTCTAGGGCATAATTGATTTCTCGAAGACTGCATGATTGACTGCACTGCAGTCTGCAGGCTGGTAACACGTCAGCTTTTCGCGACTTCACCCTATGCAAACAACAACAAAAAATTTACTGCATTACAAAGGCTCCATTTACCCTACAGACAACTATTGATTGGTAGACCGTACACGTACCAAATTGTATTAGTGCTCAAACTCTCAGGCTACAGATTCCAATGGAGACTACTGTGTTTGGTACTCATTTAATACTCAGCTAAACATGTCAATTGTCAAAGTCGTGTGAAAATAAACGGGGCTTCCCCTTTTTTACGACTGAGACATATATATATGAATATATTTTAATTACAGCGAAATTAAAGTGAAATTCTGAGAATCAAATAATTCTCAGGTATGTGACGACAAAATTAGCCTGCGCAGCTGTGTATTTTCTCACTGTTCCCTTGTTTTGGCTCAAATGCGTCGCCACAAAGCCATATTATATATCCATTTTGCATTATAATTACCTCGTTGTTACACTCGAGGTTACACTAACATCTCGTTCCTATATACTGCCTTATAACTGCCCTAATGGGACTGAATTGGATACATCCTGGCATGAGAACACTAAGGAGTACACGAGCTTCGCAAATGGCTCTGTATTTTCTATCAACATCTAATTCATTATTCACCTGTGCCTTTCGGCTTGGCGTATGTGCTTTATATGACCAGAATTAATCAATTGCTCTACTGTTAGTTTTTGTTGATAAATGATAACCTACCTTAAAACCAACTTCAAAAGCTCGGCTTTGTCAAATCAGTTTCAGCACAATACGTTCGTATTCGTTGCACGTTTTGTCTCTACATTGACACACTGTATTTGTTGCAGTACTGAGACCGAGCCAGCGGGTAATTAAGGCCTGGTTTCCAGCCATTTAACGAAACCCACTACAAAAGTAGTCTAATAAGCTACTTAAGTATGATTATATTATCCAAAACTTGGCGTATTTTTAACGATTAAACCTGTTTTGGCGATTAAAACTGTTTATGTGCATCATGCATAAATAATAGTATAATAATACTGCTGTTATTTCCATCATTTTTTCAAGGATAAAAATTATCCACTCTTTTCGTTAAACAAAGCCAGAGTATATGTAAAACCATAGACAATCCAAAAGACATGTCTTTAGGATTGTCTATGGTAAAACAAACTAAATATGGTTTCCTAACTTTAGCGGCTGCGCCCATATCGGGATTTGGTTCATATTTCCAAAACAATATTCTGAACAAACTCTACGGGTTTATTGTGAAGTATTTTTAATTCCGATGGTGAAGAAATCTGATATTAAATTCTCGAATCATTGGTCATGACCTGAGAGACCTAGAAGTTGGAGAAATTGCACCGGAAACGTAAATCTCCAACAGTCCTCTTCTATCCTGCATTACCCCAGTGTTTCCCTATGTTGTATTTATCATGGCGGAAAAAAAATGAAAAGTGGTTGAAGTTGTTTTCGCTGTTGTTTGAAAATGGTGAATGTTCGTTTCCGCGGCGTTGAGTTAGAGGAGTCTGCTAAGTCTGAGGAAGCAAGGAGACGTAATCCAACCGCAGAAGCTGAAAGAGAGTTTCTTAATTCCGTAGGCGAAGCGTACATACCTGAGGCTGCTGGAATAGGTATAGTTGATAGTTCATCTTTCCACTTTTAACTATGTCCACGATATTCACCTTGTTTTTGGTTTGATATTTTCCCTGTGTTTCTGTAGAGAATTGGCAACGTTTAGCAGGTTTCAGCATCGGTATTACAAGGTATATAACTATGATATTTTTTTAAACTTTTTATGAATACTTGAATGAGATTTCTTTTTCATAGTTTGCTGATTGAGGACTTTCTGACACACCCGTTTATCGTTGTAAGAAGGCAATGCATGGTATGAAAGACTCAGTAATCTTCTAGTTTTGAAATGCAAAGTTATTCCCCTAATCTGTTTCTTTTATAGTCATATTTGTTTTTAGGTAAATAGCTCAGCTGTCCTGTACCATCTTGCCCCATTTTCTGTCTGCCGTGTCATGCTAAAGATCAGAAGAAAACAGGTATCTACCCTGCTAAAGTTAACAGATTCCCTTGAAAAGTTAGCTTTTCACCCCCCCTGAAAAGGGTAGCACTTTAAAAATCACCCCCCTGAAAATTGAAATCTTGCAATGAAAAAGTTATACCACTTGCTGATTAATATCACTATTCACCCCTTAACAAATATATCATGCACACCCCCCTGAAAAGTTAGGTTCTAACCTCAGCAGGTAAGACTTCCACCACATCATGGGTGTTTCTCTTCTCAGGGTCTGAGTACTTTTTGGAAAGGCCAAGGCAGTAAGCTTGCTGTAAGAGGAATGAATCTTCTGGCAGAACTATTGATCAGTGAAGTTACACATGAGAGACTACCAAGGTGAGCTTGTGCTAGCAAGCAAACACAAGAAAGGTCTCCAACAGATCTTGATTGAGGCATGTATATTCTTATTAGGGACATCAGTAGCCCATCATCAACTATAACTCAACTAGTTGGACATATCATTGGCAAAAGGTGGGTATTTTACCTTCACAGTGAAGATGATATTTCATATTTTCCCAGTTACAGCGTAGAGTACATTCCCATCAGGGACAAAAACGCGCATATTTATCTTAAAACGCGTGTCTTTTTCAAGCGCGGAAGTTTTATGCACGACTTGTACTTTTCCTGGGACAAAACCAACCTAAAAATGCGTACTTTCTTTTAGTATCAGCATCGTCTTGACTTTACCATTTTACAGTGCAAGTATCACTGAGACAGTCGAGGTTGGTGGAACACGAGACTTTGAATTATCTTTCTTACTAGTAAAACTCTTGAATTCTTGACTTTCACCTGAAGTCCTTGTCTGTATCTCTTCAGACCGAACAGATTAAGAAGCAGCGTAGTCCCTTCGCCTTCATTAAAGAGGGAATCTTCCGTCTTATTGGCTGGCAAAGCTCGACCCAGGGTCACGGTCGTCTTCTGCCGCTCTGGGCCTTAGTGGCACCCACAATGCTTCATGGTCTTGTACATTACGTCATCGCCAGCTGCTTACAACACATCATCCTCGCTCGCACAAAAAGTCGGAGTATTTCGTGGGAATCGGAGAACCCCGACAAAGTAGGCCGATGGCCGAAGCGTATTTTCCCAGAACTCATGGCGAGCTTAACCGGGACCGTCCTCACTGAGATCCTTCTGTATCCCCTCGAGACCGTCATGTACCGTCTTCACCTGCAAGGTACACGAACGATGATAGACGACACGGACAATGGATTTGCAGTTGTGTCACTCTGCACTAACTACGACGGACTCTTAGATTGTTTTTCACGCATAAAATCCGAGGAAGGACTTCAAGGATTTTATAAAGGTTTCGGGGCGTTGTTATTGCAATATCTTGTGCAATTGCTTGTCCTGCGCATTACAAAAGCCATTTATACGGTGATTTCACAAGATTTCAGAGGGGACAGTGCTAATGTTGATAAGTAAACATACCCCAGCTAGGTTTTGATGCATGCGTTACAATGCTATGATATATGGTGAAGGGTCAAATGTATGAGGGAAGTTTAACAGACAATATATTTGTCCACTTGTTGGGTTCACCTCGTGTTCTGACAAATAGTTGTAATGATAATATTTGCCATAGTTACCAGCTTCATTGAGAGCTAAGGTACCCTTAAACTTACCACCTTACATGGTTTGAACCCACGGAAAGCATGCTGAATAGCATTAGAGAGTCGTATGCTTTCTCGTGTCACAATTCCTAAGGAATCGAAGGCTGTGTATGTGTTTAATGAAACTATTAAATTAATGTATGTATTGTTGACGATATCAGTATATTTAATCAGTATGTGTTATTCACCAATCTAGCAACATTGCTCTGTACAATTAATATATCTACAATAACACATATGGTCATCAAGAACCCTGAATGTATTTTGTGCTCAAATTGTTATCGCAACGGTTACTCTAATAGTCGAAGCATGTGATCAATTTGTGAGTCACATGATGAAATTCTCGTGGCACGTGATTAAATCTTTAATCACGTGGACAAGTTTTGGATTCATGTGAACAAATTTGTACACCACGTGCTTCTTTGTTATTGTTCCCAGGGCATTTCTCTTGCCTTGGAAACAAGGCTGCTTGCGTGTCTGACGTGTTCACTCTTTTGCAAATTTGCGCGCTAGGATCATTGCGTCGATTTTCGCAAATACAGCATGTAGTCGTTAATACTTGAATGTTATAAAAACTGACGCTGATTACAAATCATCATTGTCGATGTTCGCCACATCATCCTGTGATATTACTTTTGGAGCCTTCCTGGACTTGGGTTTTTTCGAAGATTTACGAGGTTTTTCACTTTCGATTTCCTGCATGATAAAAATAAGAACACCTTTACACCATTGCCTGATAAACAATACGAATGTTGTGTCTCTCTAGTTTAGAATGAATGCATTTCGTTACCTCATTTTGTTTTCTCTGTTGAAGACGACAGTTCTCCATCTTTCTCATCACTTTCCTCCGCAGAGGGAAATACGACGTTTTCCTGAAAGTTGAAATGATTAAAATCATCCATATTGGAGTAAGATCATTTAAATCAAAACAAGCCCAGTTTAAGAACATAAATGAAGTTAATTCTAATTAATAAATTGTTTCTTCCGGTGTAAAAATTACTAATTACCTTTTTATTCAGCTCTCTTTCCTCGCAAATACGGCTAACACAGTCGTACATGTACTTGAACTACAAAAAAATATACCAGATATCTCACAAAACAATCCCTAAAGACACTGAAAAATACGAATGAGTGGGAACTATAAAGTTCACGTACATATGGTGATATGATTCGAACAGAACGCGGCTTTTTGTTGGGTCTTGAATATTGAAAATAGAAAGACATTCCTTCCTCGTCTTCATCCCAATGAACGAAATCTTCGTAGCCAAAAGTGTGTGTTAGATCCTAGGACAACAATAGCATGTATACGTTTCAAAAAGACAGAAAAAATCGACCTAAAAGATCGGTTAAACGTGATATACCTCCGGCTCTCCATCCACAGAACACGCTTGAAGGAAAATGCTGTTAAGATTGAAGGAAACTATGACATGGCCTTTTTTACGGGCATCGCATTCGCAATGTGGGAAGCGAACGCAACCATAATCTTGCAGTGATCTTGCAAGCTTTAAATACTGCAAAGAAACAACAATTACATATTGTCATTGTGATATTAACTTAATATTAAGTATGGTGCTTCCCAGAATTCTCACACAAACCTCGGCTTTCTTGCCCAAACTTTTATATTCTTCAAGTTTTTTGAACTTTTCATCTGACTTAATTTTTAACGTTCTTACATCGTCCACAGCCTAATAAAACGAAGGAAAAGGTTTATGGTAATTGAGTGTCAATAGTTATATGACATTGACAAACAAAACAATGTTCTTGTATTCTACCTGATCGTAAAGTAAGTTGAATGCTAGTTCTTCATCATCCATTTCAATTTCCTACAAAGAGTTTATATTGTTTTCATCAAATTCTGGTTAACTTAGCTGGGTGCAGTTGTATAGAAGGCTAGTTAACTTTTAACTGTAGTTAAGGACAGAATTGGCCAATCAGAGTTGTGTATCTCTGAGTTAACAACAGCCAGCTTCTGGACTGTTATAACACTTGCCCTTAGGAAAACCTACCCTTGGTAAAGTGAAAACCCATTTCCTCAATACAAGACAACTGGGCAGCTCGCTGGAATAATTTCTGATGTATATTGTGTGTGGAAATTCATTGTCTCTTAATTTTCGCTCTGCAAAAAAAGCACAAGATCAATATATGTCCTTGTGTTTTTATTTTAGGGTTTTCAAAGAAAATGACTCACCAAATGCTTTTCCAATAATTTCAAACAAAGCGAAGTACTTAGCAGATGCTTCGCTCATTCCAATCTTTTTCAAAAACGCCTGAAATACAAAATATCTCATTGCAATTCATTTGCAAATGAAGCACCTATAGAATTAGAATTACATACACAATTGTGGTTGTCATATCATGTTTGTGAATAATAGAAAAGCAATAGTTTATTAACCTGACCTTGCAAACATCCTGAGTTTGAAAACTTTTCTCAACCTTCACAGGCCTTTCTGTTTGGTCAGGTAAGGCAATTTTCAATTCCACTTCCAAATTATTGACCTGTACTTCCTGAAGGATGCGGAAATTGTTGGATATGTATGAATTATTTGAAGACACAAGAAGTATCATATTTCATGCCATTTAAATCAGTATTCCTATACCTCTGAAGATTTCATGAACTCTTTCATTGCATCGCAATCATGAATTATCCGAATTGATGTAACTGTAAACAAAGAAAGGATACATTGAGACCATCAAATGAACCAATCAATTAACACTAATTTAATATGGCAAATTATTAATTACCTTGTTCTAAATACAACTCCAAGGCCTTCCGTCGGTTATCCAGTTGTTGTTCAGATAACTGAAATGGCCACTTGCCAGGAAATTTAGGAAAATCATAATCTTGAAACTGTTTCTTCAGCTATACAAAATGAAGTGAAGTTAGAAAGCTAAATGTCATTCATTGCTACTCATTCTATGCCAATTTACTCATTTATGGTACCTCATTGTTTAAATTTGAAAATTCTTTGTATCGTCTAGAGCAGATATGTCTGTCATTGACATAGATATTAAACACCTAGAAAGTAGAAAAGCCAAATTATAAACTATTACATAACTTGCAGGAAATATGAGTATTGCAAGCACTGAGAACAAGTCTTACCGCATATTTCTCCCTTCCGTTATCAATCTGTCGTGTTTCTGGTATTGTGACAAATATTTGTCTTTTGTCTGAGTAATCAAAGTATTCTGGTGCCTGCCCATCCTCTGGTGGATCCAATTTTCTGACCTCGCTTGGCGGCAAGGATAACACAACCATCGAAAGCTTTCTTCCACCAGATTTGATCAACTCCACAACATGCTTATGCGTGGCTCCCTCAACATTCTCTTCATTGCTAAAGATAATAGAAATTTTCATTTGCATTGATTTAGAATAAGCTGGAGATTGAATAAAACATGTAGAAGCAAAATCCACACACAGTTAATCAAACATTTCTGGTCTAAGACAATTTCATTATATCTTTTCTCTGCAAGGCTGTATTAGGAATAGGATCACTGCTCTTCCTATAAGCAGTTTGCTGAACTGTCAAACTTCTTTGAGATTATAATTACAGTCAAACTTCTTTGAGATTATAATTATAGTCAAACTTCTTTGAGATTATAATTATATAAAGAGCAGAAGCTATCTGCAAAGTACACAAGATATAGTCAAAAGACATGCCGATTTCAAAGCTTTCACTATTAATAAATGTGAAATGTTGGAAAACACGATATACGAATCAATACGAGTGCCGATATTCTACACCCAACTTTATATTGCATATACTGGCAATATACCTGCAAAACAGATCCTATTTTTAACCGGACGAACAGTTTATGCAACAGATACTCGTATTTAATTTGTAATAATTATATTTATTTATATTTCACGACACACAAACATGTACAATTTGTGCATGGTATATTTCACGCACAAGCGGAAATGCAGCTATCAATCGAGTATTAGTTGATCACGAGAGATTTGACGCGGTGTCAATTTCGAATTCACGAGTGGCATTTAGACACAGGATACATAAAACCTCGTTCTTTTTTACTTCCAAAGTTGTTCTCAAATTCTAAACGGCCTAATTTGAGACATTAAACATTTAAAGCGCTTACCAGAACGAATTGAATAAACAAGTCTTTTAAATACGCTTCCTGGCTGCTTAAACAGGAGTTAAAGTAAAACAGTTTGATAAGCTTTCATCCATAAATATTTTAAAAACTTATATATGCCATTTCAGAATGAATACAAGGGTCAAAGTAGGTACATCTCTATTACAGTTTTGTCGCAAAAAATTCGCTACGTTTGTGGAAATAATCGAAATATATTAATATACAACATTTTGAATTTTATTTCAAACAGGAATTCGCACGTAGAAAATTTTTAATAAAATATATTCAAACGTCAAACGGATTAAAACGTCTCGTAAATTTATTGTTCTCTTAGTTCTGTCGAAGCCAAGAGCTTTTTTTGCCTTAACACAGCGATTTGCGTATTTTTAAAATACACAGAGAAAACATTTATTTAGGTGTACGTGCATTATTATCGATTTGTTATCAAAAATATATTCATCGACTGATTATGGGAGATAAAGAAAGAAAACAAAATCTGAGGGAGTAGAACAGCTAGAAATGGTGCACAGCGTTCTGGAGAAAGCCAAGCAAAGCACAAACTTACACTTGCAATATGCGATCGCCCGTTACTAATCCAGCAACATCAGCTGGGCCATCCGGTAGAACGGCACTGATGTGTTGTAGTGGGGCATAAAGTTCGCCATTAATCGGCCGCAGCTGCCCCCCTTCTGAAATCTGACCACGGACATTGAAGCCAAAGCCACGTTCGCCTTTTTTCAGCTCAACCAAACGTGGTTCATAGTATTTTGGTTCTTTTCTTTTCCGACCTACTTCGCCTCCCCCAGCGTCGTCCGCCATTGCACCCGATTGGCATGGCAATTATCGCCAAAAAGACGTAAAAATTATCCGCCAAATATAATGCATCAATCCAGGATTTTTGAGATCAACGTTAATGTTCCTCTGTGTTCTATATTAAAATGTACTGATTTATCCCTCAATCACACTACGTATTCTATAACGTGTCTACGTAAGACCATATTTCACCCTTTTTATCCCTCTTCTTTAACGTTTGCTGAGTTGGCCTTTGTTACTAGAGATGGGTCAGTGAATTTTTACTATTTTAACCATATATTTTGAAATTTCCGAACGAAATATCTTTTGTTAAAGCTTATGAAAGTCCCCTGCTGTCGTACCTTACTTTAAATTGTAGATCTGTCGTGAATATTTTGCAATTTTATCCGTTCCTAAATTTGAGACATGTTGAAAAATCTATAGAGCTTTTTTGCCTTTATAGATCTTAAAATGCTTCAGTCGTCTAATAATTTTATTTAAATCGTAGCTCTACCAACCTCAACATCCTGTGTGTTCTCCGCAATGCTGGCTGTCTTGACGTCAGCAGCTATGATGGCATTTAAATCACAGCTCGCATCTAAGGAATGGATGACTATCCTGGGTGGTTTCCTGGGATCACAGTTTTTCATCTTTCTCCTTACTGTATCCTCTTTTATACGTACTCAAATCATTCACCTCAACTTGGACTATCAAGTTGCCAATCGCCTGTTCATTCCAGATTTATAGCTGTGATGAACTACGATACATGAACCCAGACCTATACAAAGTAATTCCTTGATTCAATATTAGGCTGTAGGAAATTTTGAACATATGACATTTGGAAAGAATTTTCAGACAAAATTGTTTCCTGAGAGTAAGTAGCAATGGTTTTGATGTTCGAAGTATATATCAGAATATTATGAGCATTTTTCATCAATTTTTTTGTAGTTGTGTTTTGTTTGATGGCATCAATGTTTGTCTCTGGAATGGTACACAGAGTTTGTGTTACCACATGGTAGGTTGATGTTATTACTCCATAGAGCAGTAAGCATTAGGTATATAGTGGATATTTGTATATACAGATAAATTATAATATAAAGCAAGTCCTTGATAATACTCCAGCTAGGTGTATAGAGATCAGAAACAATGTAGGACAGATGTCCGATCATGAGGTTATGCTATAAAGATCAGTAATAGAAAAAGCAAGTGGTCAATCAATAGAACTTAACTCCAGCTGAGTATATAGAGATCAGCAATAACATGTGAATGTTTGTCTTTCCAGCCTGATTTTCTCCTGCATCGCGCTGTACTACATAACACGTCTCTCCAATATCAAGTACACTCCAACTGTGAAGCCAGTAGCAAGCTCAGGAAAAGGAAAGAAAGGCCAATAATTGTCTCTCTGTATATGTTGTGAAGATTTTAATACAATAAAAATGTGAATAAAATGCCTTTTTAAATGTTCCCCATTTGTTTCAAGTTCTGCAGTCAACTTTACATTATTATCACAAGCAAACTGTCTGTATCCACAAAAACATGGTCATTGTACATGCAATTCTTTGTACAGAAAAAAAAATTGAAAATACACATGAACGTCAAAAATGTTACGTTGCAGATTTAGGAGGTTTTTCCTGCTTTGTCTCCTCTGAAACTACTTTCTTTGAATCTTGGAGTTGTAGCAAGGCTTCAACTAAATTTAAGGAGATAATTCCTGAGGAAATCTGTGCTTCGTGTGTTTACATGCTTTTGACATGCATCCCCCGGCAAATGAAACTTTTTAACACAATCTTGTAAATAGAGAATCCTCCCTACCTATCAATCGAATCAGCTGTTTTCGCTCCACAAGATTTTCTCCTGAAGTTGTTCCATCATCTGAAAATATCTACGAGGAAAGAGAGAAACGTTTAAACCGGTCTCAGATGTTTAAACACTGGGAAGCTAAATTTGAAATAACTTCCCCTAAAAACCGAGTTTGCTTCGATGAAATAACATTACTTGAACAATGTGTCTCTTGGCCACAATGTCTCCATTGGATAACGTTGAAAGTTATGTAAGTTTGCATCGACAGTCTTTTGCCAATCTACAAGGAAAAACACTAGTTACAAACGACAAGAGTTTAGAATGATTATCCTAATAATCATAGGTCTAGCACCTGCAAACTCAGCTTCCATATCTGTTTCTGTTTTCTCCCCTTCATCTTTTTTCTTAGTATCCTCCTCATCCTCGTCTTCCTTGAACTGCACTCGTGTGGTTCTTGGCTCGTCCATCTCCGAGCTCATCTCTGGTATAACGCACCCACCTTGTGCTACAAAATCCTCTCCATCGTCCTCCGTATGCCGAGCGTAGTATGCATGGAAAGAACTTGTTCGTTTTAAGCTCTGTTGATCGTTTGATCTAAAAGGAAATTCCAGATGGAAATTGAATGGGAAGATTCCATCGAAACACACGCTTGGTTGAACAAAATCACCACCGTCAAAGCTTGCTTGAGACAAGCCGAACCTCAAATTTATTGCTGATCTATCCTGCGTCTTGAGAAGCATCTTTTTGAATTGGGTTCATGGGTTGGTCTGTTTTGAACTTCAAAATACCTCACCTGATCTGTGCAATTTTTTCGTGTAAATCCGAGACGAAATTGGGCAGTTTTGGTTCTCCCTTTTTCTCAGTCTCCTTGGGCTCCTCCGTCGCTGTCTCAAACGCATGCGCGGTGCTTCTTCGAAATATTCTGTTCAGGAACGAACTCGCACGCCTGTCTCGACCTTCCTGTGCTGTTGACCCGGGCACTGCAAGACTGCTTGCACGTCTGTAAAGTTTGGAATAACACGATAAGCACGATCATGCGCAGTTCACGACTACGGTAAAGGTATATTACAACCAAAAACCACAGCAATACCACGAGGCTTTCACGTGGTTTACACTCACCTACTTTTACGATGTTTTTTATCATGTTTTTCAAGTTCATCTGCTAGTTGAGATCTGATTTCAGCTCGTTCCTTCACCGCTATCTGTTCCTTGATTTGTTGGTTGAAGTCGTTACGAATGTTTTGAAAGTTGTTCACTGAAGGGAAAGGTCGGACACTTTATATCACTTGAAGAGATCATACGAAGATTTGAAGTGGTAGACATTGTAAAGACGATAGGAGAAACTAGTGTGAAATGATGCCGACATGGAATAAGAAATGATGGAGGTGAGTTGATGGAATGTAGAGATCAGAAGAAGTTGTAAGTTGGGAGACTTTGCAGAGAAGATGAGGGAAGCAAGGTTGAGATGATATAGACACGTAATAAGAAGAGATGAAGGAGAGCTGGTCAGAGATATTATGAAATGAAGAGATCAGAAGAAGATGTGAGGTGGTAGACATTGCAGAGAAGATGAGGGAAGCCAGTTTGAGATGATATGGACACATAATAAGAAGATATGAAGGAGAGCTGGTCAGAGATATCACGAAGCAAAGCCATGTTGATGCAAGTATTTTATAAGAAAAGTTGTTATTTTAACGTACCCATGATGCCTGCAAAGATGTTCCTGAAGACAAAAGCTCCAATGCAAATCCACAAAAGAACATAAATCTTCGCAACGACAGGATTCACGGCTTTTGTCATATCTTGTTGGATTTCGTACCAATGATCCAGGGTGAAGAGTTGGAACAATGTTATAAAAGCATTCTTCAGTGTTCTAGAATGATGGAAAACTCCGCCGTTATGGCGCGGTGATCCGAGGGTCGAATATCATCTTTCGTACAAACCTGAAGCTGTTTCTGTATTTGAGATCTGTCCTCTTCGACTTGGAGTAAGAATCAAAGACGATTGTCCCAGCCACAGCGAAAATGTACATGAATAACATCAACAAGATCATGATGAACGCCATGGACTGAGAAAAAAAACACCGGAATTTGCTGAGAACAACTTTATTAAATGCTGGATAACTCTATCGGTTCTAAACTGCTCTTACTGAAGTAACTCAGTAAGAATCATCTCTTATTTATCAAGAGTTACTACAGGAGGAAACCTATAGAGGTCGAGTAAGGATCATCTCTTATTGATCCAGTGTTACTACAGAAGGAAACCTAAACTAAACTAACTTTATTTATACTGGATAGCTCTATCAGTTCTATGTAGATCAATTGCACCTTACCTTGAATGCTTTAAATATTGTCAGAACGATTATCCTGAGTTGCGCAAATCTGGAAACCTAGGAAATCATAGAGAATGTATAGATTTAATTCAACTCTAAATAGTTCCAATGCAAATAGTTATTTTCATTGTGTACTGACCATTTTTAATGATCTCAGTATCTTGAACACACGCATATTGTCTCCAATGACTGATATCGAAGATGACGATTTCCCTCCCAAAGCCAAACTGAGTACCTCTGGAACAATGGACTATAAAAAAAATGGAATAAAATAAATACTTTGTCTGACTTACTCTTACTTAGTTTCATTGTAAGAATTCGTTTTAGATCCAATCTGGGTAATTACCATGGCTGTGACGAAAAAGTCAAAGATATTCCAACCATTTTTCCAAAACACCCAAAAACCATCCACCCATTTAACAAGGATCTCAAGGACAAACACGACGAGAGTTATGTAATCAATAACATTAAGAAAAACTTTGATTAAACTCATTGTTGTCCCTTTCATGTGTACGATCTCTGAAACAGAACAGCATTTTACTTTTAGAAGTATTTTGACTTAAACTTTAAAGCGCTACAGGCTGCTAATCTCTTGTTCGAGATTTTTTCAAATCAATTGATCATAAAAGGTAACCAGGTTTATTTAGACTGCACCTGCTTGCAATCCAAGAACGATACTGTTCGCGATGATCAAAAACATGATGAAATTTTGCACCTGTGAACCTGAAAAATTAGTGAGATGTTACGCTGTATTCTCACCCCCGTCCACTGGCAATGTTCTGTCCGTGTGAAAGTCTGCACTTTGAAAAATGTCATCATCAATTGTATCAGTAATGGGACTGATCCTATCCTATTTATTCGCTAAATGCACAAAGATTTCAAATGCATGGCTACATACTTTCAGTGACAGATCGTGCCCATGGTCCAAAGGGAATACGATTCTTATTTCTGACACGGTTCAACCTACGATCAGTAAACTTCAACTCCTCTCTCTTGGCAATCACTTGAAATTTCACGAGGCTGTGCGGTGATTCTTTCAACATTTTTTCCATGATCTCCGGGTCTGGGAAAAAAGTTTGGCCTGCATGAAACAGGTGCGTTTACTGTTCGCGTTTGTCTTAGCACCAAAAAGAGCAAAATCAAACGCTTTGAACAATTAAAAGCAATTAAATTTCAAAAAGACTCAATAAAACAACCAGGAAATACTCAATATGACAGTAAATGTGTCTTCTTCCTAATAAAAACATAAATACTTTGTATTTCGTTTGAGTAAAATCTTGGTGACTCGATGTTTCCCTTTGATTTCAAAGTGTCCAGAAGTTGAAAATCCTCGATCAACTTCGAGCGAAATATTTCACCCCTTTGTGATAACTCTTCCACCTCATCAGTTTCCATTTTATTTACGTTTGTCATCTTTTCAGTCAAAAGCTACGTAGAAAAGTTTACTTCGTGAAAAAAATTTTTTTTAAAAAAATGCTGCCATTTAAATTGGCGACAAGTGCCGAGTACGTCCCGGAAAACATCGTTGACCTTCGGATTTTTCTTGCAAAAAATGCTAATTTTTGGCAAAAAGCGCTAACATGATGAAATTAATTGCCAGCATAAGGTATCACCTTTAAAAACAGCGGGTTTCATTCAAGGCAGAATTCTATGTGTAATCTGTTCGCTCTCTCTTCTAACTTTGTTATGAAGTCGCTGTTCTGAGTAACAATGAATGCAGAGACGAATCCATGTTCATCTTTTTTTGAAGAAAAATCGGACAATTGCTCATTATGCTTTATTTTTTAGTGACACCTCAACTTAACATCGAACAGATGATTAGTTAACTCCTAAAAAATGAAATTACTTAAGTTTCCTCTATAGTCTAGCTGCATGCATTCATATACGTCAATCATATTTCTATGGCAATTACATTATGTTACTACATTGAAGTCCAAAATCCATCGTGTTTTCGGATCTTCACGATCCTTACATGATCAGTTCTGATGTTCCACTATAGAATATCTATCATATTTATCTCAACTACGTTATTTTACGAAATCAAAGTCCAAAAACGTTCCAGTCCTTTAACCAACAGATTCCATCCGATCTTTTTTAGTTTGGGATCCTTCTTAGATGATCATTAAAGGTACAAGCTCAGTTGTAATGAAACTGTTATCTCGTCCTTTTACGATTATAACCACGTTCAAAGTTTCGCCGATCTTACCTGGGGTTCCACCAGTGTAACGAACCTTCACTCGTAGGTATTTCTTGCTATTGCCACGAACTTTCATCCTCGAAGCCAATCTTTGTGAACCTGGTAGAGAAGCTGCGTAACCTTCCCTGGTTTTGAAGGAAACGTTGTATGTCTTCTGACGTCCCAAGCCGTTGAACAGGTACAATATGACAAAAGTGCTGCCTTTCTGCGGGATTGTGTAGTGTTTGGAAGTGTAAAACTCTTTAATCACCAAAGGTTTGGAGGAGTCGACGTGGCGGGAAATTCTTTGGAAGTTTTTACTGCCTGTCGTTTTACCTTTAAGCAAGAGTTTGAAAGGTTTGTTTGGTGGCACGAAATTGAAAATGAATCGAATTCCACTTTTTCCCGCCTCTGTGAGTTTCTTGTTGGTAACAAGAGTGTTTCCAGCGATATCAATAACGTCAACTAACAGAGATGATTTTCGAATCTTGCTTGCACCAGACACAGTTATACTGACCTGTACACTTTGACCTAAAAGAGTATGTTGAAATATCTTCAAAAAAATCACAATAAAAAGGATGGAATGAATGATGAATTTTCTTTAAAACAAGAACAACGTGTTCTCAAAACTGTGAAAGTACTTACCACTCAAAGGATTTCTCAAGGGCACCAATTTTCCTCGTTCATTCTTACTGAAGTAGTGTTCAAAGTCGATGTTTTCAGGGCTGCTAACTTTCGCGGTAAATTCATATTTGTCAGTGCTTGGTGGTACCAGTCTCCAGAAGCCCTTGATTGGGTGCGTGATACTAAAGATGACCACTCCGGACAGGACTTTCCTACCACTTGTTTGAGTTCGACCAGTAGGGGTGAACAATTGGACGCTGTGAGGATGTTTTGTGACTATCGTGACAATCAATTTGGTAACTGTATCATCAACTGGAATGGCAATACTGCTGGTTGAACGACGTCGACGTTTTCCAGAAGTACCTTCATTTTTGCCAGTCACGACTGGTGTGGTGCCCTCTAAGGAGTCGCTGGTATATTGGGTTAATTCTGTGAATTTGAGTGGATCAAGTCTGAGGTACTGTCCACCAAATTTCTCAGCTATGTCCTTAAATGGTTGTTGTTGGGTTTCACTACCACAAAAATTTTTTCCAACGAAGAAGTTTATGGTAACGCCAAGCTCTTCGGCTAATACTTCCAAACTCTCCATGTTCTCCTCCTTGAAGTCCTTTGGTGCGGCGTCCGTGAAAACGTAGAGGGGTGAGCCCCATCTGGGATTCTCAGATAAAGCGCTGATCATTCCGTCAAAACTGTATTCAGCACAATCACCACCACCCTCAGCCGGGAGACCTCCTAGCTTTGATTCTAATTGACCAACTTCGTCTTCAGCGTAGTAATTGGCTGTTGTCAAATCTATAGAAAAAGAAGTTTGCTTTTTTAAGGAGTATACTTTTGGAAACCCTAGGTACAGCAGCCAGAAAATGCTAGCTGAACCTCAAAATTGATCATTACAAACGAGAATACAACAGAAACAAGCTAAAATGTACCAGTGTACCAATCAAACCTACCAATAGGATCACTGAATGTAGTCAGTATATAATCAACCGGCTCACTACGATCATATTTATTGATTTTTTTTATGATATTCTTGCATGCGTTAATTTCCTCGCTCATACTGCCAGTGACATCAAGTGCATACATCAAGGTCACTTGGCCTTGAAGGGCAAGAGACTCTGAGAATTTTTCCGTGCCAAGATCTCGCTTTATGTCCTCCAGGAATTTCTTAGCGTCGTAACCAGTGGAGCGCTTTCCGAGACGTTTTGATTCCTTGCGTGCTGTGTATAAAGCAATACCAAGAGCCCGTCGAGCATATCTATTATAAACAAATGAAAAATTTAATCACTTTATAATCACTACCAATTTGTTTTGCTTTGTAGCAACACCGCTCTTTATTATGACCAAGAGCTGAAGAAAGACTTCATGATACAGACATAACGTCCGCATTTTCGAAAGTATATACAATTTGCATCATGTCTATATATAGGTCATGATGCTCACAGCTAGAATTTACATTGGCTAAAATTAGTTAAGTCGATTGCAAGGTTTGGTTGGAAAAGTTGGAAAATACAATAAATGTAGCTTTGCAAATTTTTCAACGCAACGTTTTATTGCGGAAATTGTTACGTCCATTTCCGGCCAAGTAGTAGCTACTGAAATCGTCAATGTAGTGACAGCCTTGAATGTATACTGTACAGGGTTTGTTCCGTAGACAATTTAGTAGGTTTTTACCAGCATCTAGCTTTCTATCTAATTGTTCTCGACAGTCGCTAGGAAAGTATTTTTGAGAAGTGACAGTCTGAAGTATTACCGTAACGGCTTTTAATTGCCCCCTCAAGCCGTAGCGTATAAAAACCGAAATGTTATATAGTTTATAGTTTGGATCATCTAATTGAAGATAATCTCTTTAACTTACATAACATTTCCCCCGTTTACTGCACTAACAATATTTTTCTTCAAATCTGTCATTTTGGTTCTTTTTCTTGAAAGTTCTGCTTGAGTCATGGCGCGCTCAACTTGATCCATTGCTTCGTTGAACTTATTTAAGTTAACGTCTTTCGACGTTATGCTTTTCGAGACTGATTCAATCGTCGAGCGTACAAAATCCAGATCATCATACCCCAGTCCTGCCACCTCAAGGTACCACTTCGAGAAAAGGCAGGCAAATGAAATCAAAAATAACCAAGCACATTTCATTTTGATTTCGAAAGTAGCGCAACGTTTACCACAACCAACGTTTACGACACCCAACTCTGAAAACTTACATAACAAAATTAAACTACATTCCAATTTTATCAGACATATAATTAAATCGATCACTCCCCCTGGTTGACCTTCTTACAAAAAAAAATTCGCAATACGATTGGCTATATGCAAGGAAGGAAGACTACATGGCTATTATGCAACAAGACGCCCACTCTGGCGTTAGCTTGCGATGCGAATTCTAGGCTGTAGTTACGAACAATATAGCTACGATAGCACCACAATTAGATTGTACTAAGGGTTCGATTACATGGTGCAATTACAGAAGTAGCTGTTGATGTATGGAAATGAGAAATATTGATTCAAAAATGCTGTTTTTCATTTATATTACGTTCTTAGTTTTCATACACCAACAGCCTCTGCGGAGTCGAAATGTCCGCCCAGGCTTAAGGCGGATTTCCACTTACAGCGAAATCGTTCGCTAGCGAAATATTTGCATATTTTCTTTTGAATTTTAACAGCATAAATAAATTAGTGCGACTTGACTGTTTTCAATTCAAAAGAAAATATGCAAATATTTCGCTAGCGAACGATTTCGCTGTAAGTGGAAAATCGCCTTTAGATTGCACCGAGTGCTAAAATAATATTTCGCGCTAATAGACCGCAAGTAGTATTAAATATGTCATGCATGATGATTTATTTGTACGTGGATAATTATATTTAGCTACCAACACCAGATCAGTGACAAACACTAATTATAATCACCCGAAAAAGGAGTTTTAGTCATGAACTACCGTAGTTGTACAGCATACCTTCAGGTTTTGGCGAACAATCTCACCAATAGACCAGATTCACTGTAAATAAACCTTGATTTTGTTGTATGCCAACAAATATATTTGGCCAGCGCGAGTTACAAACTATAGTAATTGTGACGTTACCTTATAGGAAGTTACTTCGTGTGGAGAGTATATACCGCTTCTATTATAGTAATGAGCCCGTTGAACAAACGGCAAACAGCTTCACGATCATAATATATACACTAAGCATATATCGAAATATGTTCACAAGTTTTGGCGTTCAAAAGGCTTAATAAACTTTGAATAGTTATTGCTGTTTTACACATAGTCTAACTGGTGTTAATACGTGGTATACGTGGCCATGCAGTTTTACGATGCTATAAACGTCAATGTAGAGATTCTAATGCCAACGCACATTATTTCCTCTAATGTACCATCACATGCATGCGTAAACAAACGTATCCCACTCCCATAATCCATGCCAAAGATGACAGTTATGTTAATAAATAGAGGAAGTCACACTACTTCACTGAGCTTCAGTGACTTCAGTGATGCTTGTTTTTAAATGATGTATTATACTATACTCTGAATTTAATACACAAAAAACCATGAACTCCAGCAAATACTAGGAATTACTGTACAAATAAATGGTATATAAATATAGAAAGGACTCCGATTGAAGGTCTTTGGTCTGTACAATAAACAACACTATAAACATCAATTGTATTCAGTGCCTAAGCAGAATCTATTCAGTTGTATCGGTTTAACTTTTCCGAGACAAGTTATGCTACAAACTGAATATGAGAATTATAGATCCAAAATTTTACTTTATTCTTCAGCTTTTTTGCAATTAAAATTTTGGACCCCTGTAGTGTTTTTTGACCGAGTGCTATGACCAAGTCTATACAAATAGCACAGCAACTAAATAAGGTAAAGGTACAGAACCAAACAACAACAAATCATGTGAATGCGGATAGAGGCACGCGTTTCAACCAACTTTGGTCATGTCGTCAATGCTCGCTGGCTGAAAGGACATCCGACCAGATAACTGTAAGCCTCCGAACAGACAATTCTATCCATTGTTTGCAAAATGTAAAATCGTGTCGTACAGGGAGCATAGACGTTAGTCTATAGTTAACAAAAAGCCTTTTAAAACGAAGTCCAGTGCAAACGCTTGATGTTTTACAACGACGCATGCGCTCTGTATTACACGCACGCTTGCTAAATGTCTCCCACAAGCTACCCGAAACACAATAGTCACGGTAATATATACGAAGGCGTTACGTATATCTGATGAAAGAATGATGAAAGATCATTAGCGTCGTGTTTTGACTGTGACGGAAGCTACGAAAAACTCCGAAAAACTGACGACTGTATGGTGTGATACTAAATATCCGGGGGGGGGAGGTCAAACAGCTAAAAGATGTAAGACTTTTGGCTGAATAATAATCAGTCGCTTGAATAATAATGAGTTGCTGAATAATAATTATACCCCGTGGCCGAGCGGAGGTCTACTATCTAGAACCCAAAAAATAAAAACAAAAAAAAAAAAAAATGCCCATTTTAAAGCTTGCTATGCTACGCATCGCAAGCAATTATCGAAAGAGTTAAGTCTTCATGACTTCAATCTATATGAATAGACGCTATAGAAGGCGCCCTACGCAGGTCATGCCAACGTCAATAATTACGGCAAGCACTGTAGGAAAAAATAACCCTGTTTATTAAATACTACTTGTCAAAGTTTTGTTTTCGTAGCGTTTCATTGGTCGAGAGCGAATCACGCGAGAGTTACGAAATTTGATGTCGCCAGCGCGACCCCCTGCAGAGTGAGATAACGTGTTGTGTCATGGGAAATAACAACTTTTATCCATTTGAAATTATGTCTTTTATGAATAGATATTTCGTTGTTTACCTTTTAGTTCGGTTTTTCTTTGACAAGTGGTATATAATAAAACACTTATATACCAAAAACTCAGAAAACATTATGTTTCCTTCGTTCGCAGTAAATAAGTGTTAATTATTATATACACAGGCGCCATGCAGATATGAGGATGCTGCAATTTCATTGGTTGGCTACTAGACAGATATTTAACAATTATTGGATGAGGTTGAGTGTGATATCGAGAATTATTATATACACAAGCGCCAGATATGAGGTATGCTGCAATTTCATTGGTTGGCTACTAGACAGATATTAGCTCATATCTGTCTAGTAGAGAAGGTAAACAAAATGGCTGAAAGATTTGGGGAGTTGAGTGAAATGAAATCCAAGCTTTGGTTGATAATAGCACACTAAAATGCACCGAAATTAAAGGGCGACAAAGTTTGTGTATATAATAATATCAGCTCATATACGACTCGAGTTCGCAGAAGAATTATGCGCATTTGAAAATGTATATTGATATTTGCGCAATATAAATTAATAAATTATTATAATAACTGTTAAATATCATGCATGTAGATAACGTCGACACTTAATTCGAAGGTTAATTAAGATTCAACAGAACAATAACCATTGAAATAAGTTTATGCTGCGAAGGAAAATTCCGTTGGGTTTCTTGTCGTTACAGGCAACACTTCGCGCGCTTGGCTGGATGGTTTAAAGCTCGGCTACAATAGCAGTTTCTGCCGGCGATTTTCTCTCCTGAAGCCGGTTGTGTAAAAGCCGGTTGGGTTAGTTTAAAGGGGTTAAAGCAAATCTTTATATCAACCTTTTTAATCGCTTGTTTACAAAGTTGAATATAATTTTCCATAAACATTTTCTGGACTGACAAAAGCCATACTTTGTAAAGGTTTTAAAACAAACAGCGGTTCAGAGGCACTTGAACCAAAACAGTTTATAAAAATTTAACCCAGGATTATAGTACTAGTGGTAACCCTAAAATCGCTTCAGTAAATCGTGCATGTAGCCGCAGCTTAAAAAAGACAACCGGGACGAGGTGATTTCTTCCGCTGCATTTTTATATACAATATATTTCGAAAAAATAACAATTATTGATAACTACATTAATAAAGAATTTTTTTCTATCTAGATGAAGTTCTATAAATGTCATTTCAGTTTCTTAGAGCATTTATAACACGTAGGACTATAATTATTTTTAAGTATTCCAAACGGCTGATAAAAAAAATTTTAAAAACATATCGACTAATAAAAAGGTCAAATTGCATGTACAACTGAAAGAAGGAAGCTATATATCAGAAAGACCTTCAGGCTGCAGAAATTAATAGGTTTAGCTCAGCATATACCCTGCATGAATGTACTTTAATACGGCTACGAAATTATTCAAAACAAATCATCCGATTCTAGTATCTCTGAACAAAGTGTATTAATGTCTGAACAAAGGAATCCCTAGTTTTTCCCTTTCTGCTTTGTGGGTTTATCTTCTTTCTTTTTTGCATTTTTTGCCTCACCAGCTTTCTTGTCTTGTCCACCAGTACTCTTCTCTTTCTCTTTTCCTTTCTCCTTTGCACTTCCCTTTGTTTTGCTTTGAGTTTCCTTGGCTTCCTTCTCTTTTGGCTTCGTTTTACTGCTTTTCACCTTTGATTCTTTGCTCGTCTTTTCTTTGCCGGCCTTGTCTTTCGCTTTCCCAGTCTTCTCGTTCGTCTTCTGTTTCTTGTCAGTTGTAGCTTTACTCGCTTTCTCTTCATCTTTGCCTTTTTTCGCTCGTCCACCGGATGCTTTCGTGGCGCCATTTTTGTTTGTAGTCTTTTTAGCCTTTGGTTTATTTTCCTTGTCGCTATCCATCTCGCTTTCTTTGTCAGCTTTCGCCTTTTTACTTTTGACACCCTTGGCTTTCGTCCCCTCGTCCTTCGTCTTGCCTTTCTTGTTTGTTTTTTTTCCTTTTGCAGCGGCTTTTGTAGTCGTCTTTGCTTTAGTTTTAACAGTAGCGCCCTTCTTCCTCGCCTCTCTTATTTCTCTCGCTAAAGAAAACCTGCCCGACATTCCCACGCCAGATTTTCGAACGACTCTTTCCTTTTCAATGAGTTTCACAATGGCCAAGCTGACGTATCGATTCGCTTGATCGCTGACTTCGAAATTCGCTCGAATGTATTTCACGATGGCTTGCTTAGACGAGCCAGTTCGCGTTTCGTTGAGTTGAAATAAAGCTGTCTCGATCATCTCGCTGTAAGCTCGTCTTGTTTTGGTAATTTTCTCCAAAGATGTTCTCCGTTGAGGGAACAAGACAGTCGGCTGGAGTCGTTGGTCGTCCGTCGTTTCGGATGTGTTGATTTCAAAAACGGGAAGTTCATTCCCCGATTCCTCACCGTCTGTTCTTTCAGCTTCGTTTTCGGAAAATGCGGGACTTTCTGCCATATTTCAGGTATAATTTAGATCTCTCTGCGATATTGTACGAGTTCTTCGGCTGTACTCAAAACTTTGTGGCCGTTATAAGTAACTCAGACCCAGTTTACTGCATGCTTTTCTTATCAAAGCTTTTATGCTGCAGGCGTTTTTACTTTTCCAAGCATGACGAAAACAATGACGAAAAGAAATTGACAATAGAATAGTCAAGCTCTTTTTAAACGATGATGAAAGTCATGGGAGATTCCTGCGTGGGTTTTAAACGGCTGACAAGCCAATAGTGTTGGCCTCTTTTTATCAGCAGCGCAGCAAGCGTATTATAATAACAGAAAAACAATAGGAAAAACAAAAGAATGCAATGAATTGTGCAAAATAAGCATCAGATGGCGTAAGCGTAGACTCGAAATGAACCAAGAAAAAAAACAAGACTGTTTAGAAATGATTCCCGCTTTTTCATAATGGCTATAATCAATGTTTAAGTCAAGTGTTCTACCTCTCACTGCTTGCGGTTTTACACAGTATACTGAAGGCTGATTTCAAAGTATTTCAGGACATTCCTGATGATCCAACTTTTAGTTAAACTAATTGTTGCAGATGCCAGAGGCGATAAATTTTTACATGCATGCAGAGGTCTAGATTAACCAACGTTTAGTATATTGTTTTCTTACAGCGGTGAGCTTTCTATATTATAGTCTGTAACTAAACGTTCGTTGTCCGAGATTTTTGCAAGATATATCATTGACACGTGTTGGGATATTCGTTGAAATATGTGCTCATATTTCGGTGTTATACTGGCTGATTCAACACAGCACATGCGGCCTTTCAGTGCAAGGTTGCACAAGTGTCTTATACGTAACCCTTTCTCACTTGCCCGTCCCTTAACTGAACAAATCGACACAAACCTTGATGCTGCTCACTGGAAACTTCTTAATCACACACAGAAACATTTGCTGACTCAAAAACTTCCATAATATAAAGTTAAACCAACTTTAACATCAGCGCCATCTTGTACGAATGAGCAAATGCAGTTTCGTTTGCATATGCTAATCTCAGGCCATATTCATTTGATCATCAGAAATTATACTCCCTCGGGTACAAATAGTTGGATTTCTTTAAGATTTCAATAATTATTCTAAATTTAAAATTCCGTTGAACTTAAAATGCTGTACGTATATTGCAATGCGCATTTATATGATTTGAGAATGCATGTACTTTCGAAGTATTTTCAGATGAAAAGTTTAAATTTAAGCTCATTTAAAAAATTTCACAGTGATATAAGATAGACTTTACTTCTCACTAATGTGATTTTTTTTCTAAATTTCATGAACAAAGGTAGTTTGCTTCATTTTAATAGTCACAATAATTTATATCCCCAAAGCACTCTAAATTACCCTGAACATCAACCATCATCCCTTTAGAATGATCTAATATACCACTACGGTTTAATTACAATGATAGCTTGGAGAATTTTCACAATCCTCATAAACATGATCCATTTTTGTGCATTTCTCTAATTTGTTTCAGTTTATCCACGTAGATAAATTGTCGGCAATTATGAAATCTCTAGCTTCGAAGTTTCAGGCAAGAAACTGAAAGATTTTTCGTTTCATTTACTGAGAGACAAATTGGGAGAACCAGTATCGGTGGACATTGTAGAATAACTGGTGTCGTTTTGATCAGAGTCCATCCTCTCGCTTGCAGGAATTGAATTTGAACACTCCAGACTGGTTAGATCACTTTGCAGTTCTAGAGTTCCACTGGATGTATCCACGTCAGTTCCATTGCATTCAGTTGTAGACCCCTCTTTGCTTGTTTCCAACACGGCGGACAACATGACGTCCGTCTTTGTTTCCAAAAGGTTTCCTTTTTTCACGCTATCTTGAATATGAGAACACTTTTTTGAGTTTGTGTGAAGCTAGTGTGTGGTAATAGAATATCAAGGCTTTAAATTGACCTCAAAGATGGTCAGCCGAGTTATCCTTCCAGATCACATAGAGTTCACTGGCATAAGCACTAACCTTCACCATCATTTGGCTCTGTGGTATTCCTCTGCCACGCCGGGATGCTGGGGAATGGGGAGGATTGGACGACAGGAGAGGGGAACTGGCGCCTAGAATACAACAACAATTAGTGATAGGGTCACTTGGGTGGAAATCTTGTACACTTGTACATGAAAATGCTAATATTTTTACCTGTTTAACAGGAGACCTTTGAGTGACGATAATTCTGATTTGATCTCAGAAAGAGAATAGCTTTCAGTCATACTCTGTGATAAACATGCCTGAAATTTTTATGAAAACAACGTGGATTTTTGTTGAATATTTTTCATTGTGTAAAAGGACACACTCCATAAAACAACAAAGCTAAAATTTTGGGATTGCAAGATGTTATCCTTCAGATTATTATGTTTTATGGATTGCATGTTTTTCATCTAGTTGCGTACCTGTGATGTTGAAAGATTTAGAGACATTGTCTGCACTTTCTCCTGTTGATCTTGAAGCATTTTTTGAACAGAATCCAGGGTTGTCTGTATATCTCCAACTAAAATTATTATGTGACTGCAATAAGCGACAAAAACAACTTTCATGATGCAGTATTTCTGAACCAATAGTGTCTTCAGTAACATGCTACAACTGCCTCAGGTTTGCATTAAAAACTAACTCATTATATAACAACATCATAACAATCTTGTTCAAAATTTGGTGAACATAAACAAGACGTACCTGATTGACTTAAATTTTCCTTCAGTTCACTGACAGAAGAGTGGAGTTGGTTGATTCTTTCTTCTCTCTCATCTTTTTGGTTCAAAACATATGGCAATAGATAAGTCTAAAATGTACAGAAATGAGGATGAGCTGTGCCCACCATCGCCATCTTTCATCATAAAACCTGCTAAGTTTAAGTTTGTTTCTTCAGCTGCATGTTGGAAAGATTGAGCTCAATCCCTCAATTATTTTACAATAGAATCCAAGTTACCTTCACCAAATGGACAAGAAGATATCCAAAACTTCCTCCAATCAATCCAACCCAAAACAAATCCCGCAATCGAAATGAATACGGTGGTGGGCTTGGTGGCTGACCTAAAACATTGTTGAAACATATCTTTAAAGTAGTTTGGACACAAATCATAAATTATACACCATTTTCAATGAACCTCCCAATAGAGACAATATTTATTAATGTATGATCATATTTAAATATCACACACCTGGAAACACAATTGATCTTTGAGGCGGATTCCTTGATTTGAGAAAGATAGAAATTACAAGATATAGCATTTTGATATATGGGATGCTTTATGCATGGTTTCTATGCAGAGTGGTTGTATAGGGAAATGAACAATTGAGCATTAATCCTTTACCTCAAGAGAAGATCTTTATTTGGATCTGTGGTTTGTGCAAGTTCTATAGCTTTCTCAATTTCATCTTCTGACAAACCTAAGAATTATAAAAACAAGGCAAGTAATTGCTGGCAAATGATGTCACAAGTTTCACAATAACCACAATTCCTTTTAATCCAGACATCATTTTGCGTCTACTAGTGAACCTCTTTAAATAACAATAAAATCTCACCTTTCTTTAATAGGAATGCCTTTCGCTGACTCAAAGGTGTTTCCTTAACTTTGGGATTTTGTAAGAACTTAACAGCGGTCTCAATCTAAAGTTGAAGGTTGAAAGATGAGGTAAAACTATCTTTGATACAGAGCAACATACGTTCCTATCCATACTCCATACTGGCATACTCCATAGGACGTTAGTTTGAAACTAATTCAGCTGTCAAATACCTGACCAAACTTACTTGATTTTTGGATCTGTCATCGTCTTTATTTCCCTAAACATCACGATTTATTTCAGAGAAGCTACAATCAAATACTTTTGAAGAAATCGTAACAAAAAACTCACCTCCATTTTGACCCCATTGTCAACCATGTTGGATGGAATAGCTTTCGTCTATGAGATACTTCATCTAAGATGAATATCAATGACCACCGTAACCTCTTTCACAAAAATGAGTTTATCTGATATTCACTTTCGATGGAACTTTGTAAAAACATTATAAAGCCCTATTTACACTACACGATTTGTCCTGTACGATTCGTACCCTGGCGTATGTGAACGTATGAACACACGTACAACCGTAACACTTTTAATTCCACCCTGAACAATATGAATGAAGATTGTGGCATAGGCCCTCTTTTGCATCCGTCAGAATGGTCATAGACCTTAAGTTTTTCAAATCCGTAAAATCATTCACTATATTGTACAATTTTTTCAAAAAATAGCATAAAAACTACATAGCACTACTTTAACACAAACGTACATAAACTACATAAGTTATAACAATAGTTCAATATTTACCCGATTCATTAAGACTAAAGACTAAAGTAAATTTGTAAAATTTTAAAACATGCTGTCTTTGAGATTGCAATGATGATTAATACATGCACACCGAGTCTAGAAACTGTTTAATATAAAGTGTATGTTAAAGGGTTTTTAAACAAATTCAAACGAAAAGCTGATTGACGCGATTTCTACTTTCATTCTTCAAGGTTTTTCAAGAGAAAGCATTTTAACTGCAACCATTAGCTATTCTGGTTTTACTCGTTTACCGGCACGAGTGCTTTGGGATCCATCTTTTTCATTACAAGTTGTGTTTAATGTTGAAGTTGAGTTGTTAACAGGTTCGAGAAATATTTCTCGATGGTTGACAACCGTCACTGCAAAAGAAGTTAACAAAACCTGTTGTATGAACTAAGTAACTTGAACTTCATAAATCATTACCCTCCGTTTTTTTAAAAACAACAAAGGTTCTCCACTTTTAGTCCATAAACAACCTTGCTGTATTTATATTTATATATAATTGTATAGGAGTAAATGTAAGCACCGTGAATGTCCTTTCTTGCTCATGCCCATCCCTTTTGGATGGACCCGATCTAAAAATATTTTCACACTATAAAAACGGCACGTACCAATAGTGCTGTTAGTACTGGATTGTTCATTCAGATTACTCCTAGAAATCAAAAACATGATTTTCAAGTTTCAACTGTGAAATGAAAATGCGTTTATGCAAAAATCGTCATCGCCTGCAAGTTGATTCAGACCTTGCTCTGCCACGATTCAAGCAAAATCCCACGCTGATAGCCACCAGAAGAAGAGTTACGAAAGTGACTGTAATTATAATGATGTTTCGAAACGCGGTATTCGGCTCTTCATCGCTGGGAGGAGTCGTTGACGTACTTTCTGGTGATGCTCCATTGACTGTCATTCTCTTTGTAGCAGTCTAAACACAGTTTTAAAGGCTAGTTTCCACTCGAGACAATGTTTCTTAGGCTCAAAACAAGCGAAAGAACTTCCTTCCTGTGTTAAAAGTCGTTTGTTCGTTTTGGGAATTCACAGTTAATTTATTTTACTTTATGGTCTAGTTTCGTGTCAAATATTTACGTTCAAAACTATAGTCAAAAGTGACTTACTTTACGATCTTGGCTTGGCGAGTCTCTATTATTTGAAGAAAATAAGCCGCCGTCGGATAAATCAAATGTGACTGACGCTTTCACCTATGGGCAGGTTTATAAGCACAATTGAAATTACAATATTTTTCAGTGAATACTCTGTAACTTTATTCACTCCGAACTGATACCTTTGTCAGTTTTATATAACTGTTCTTCCTAGAGGTCTAGTGAGGATAATCTCTTATTGATCCAGTGTTACTACAGGAGGAAACCTAAACTAAACTAACTTTATTTATACTGGATAGCTCTATCAGTTCTAAACTGTTCTTCCTAGAGGTCTAGTGAGCATCATCTCTTATTGATCCTGTGTTACTTCAGGAGGAAACCTAAACTATAAACCTAACTTTATTTATACTGGATAGCTCTATTTTTAAATTTGTTTTTATTAAATTGAACTGCAGACCACAGTACCGCAACATGTCGACTGACTGAAGAAGCAGCTTGATGTCCTGGTGCTGGAGAAAAATGACCAAAAACTTTTGCTCGGTTGTAAAGGCAGGAATAAATAAACAACGAGATAAGTAAAATCCAGCTGGCCGTGAAATAATTCTTCTTCATCTTTTCCTGATATATAGGCGGCTATTTAACGCGGTAATCCAAATCTGAAGGATGGAACAGTAAGACCTGAAAATGCCTGAGGAATTACAAGCAGAAACAAATGCTTGCATGCATCACAATACGAAATAATCACTCTCGTTGCTTCTTTATTAAACTTCATAAACACTGCAGATTAGTTTTAATTTTTAATATATTTGTGATGACTTAAATACGTGAGCTCCCCACGAGTTCTCATTTCTAAGCGCTATAATATTTCCTGCCATTTTCATACAAACATTTTTGAACGTGCCATTATCAAGGAATGAATATTATTCCTTGTACTTCTTTTCCCAAATTTCTACACGGCAGAGATATCATCAAATCTTTCGCATTTATTACTCATTATTCAAACCGATGACTATATGTTGTCGTCCTGCAGGTTAAATTTCGATATTTCATTTTCATCTTTATTAAAAACTGTCACTTATATTAGTGCATGTATGATTTGTTGATGATTTTAATAAGTTTTCACACCAAACAATAACGGTTTTTATAATCAAGCGAAGGCCACGTTTGCCATTTGGCCCATAATGAACTAAAAAGGTCCTTTACACTTCGGTAGATGTGAACGATTTGCTTCTTTTGATAGATGTGAACGAGTAATTAGTTACGAATGCTCTGATGTATAAGAGCTCTTGTTTGAACATCACTAACTAATTCACTCGTTTGCATCTATCAAAAGACGAAAATCGCACTGAAAATCAGCTTTCAATCTTTTAAACAGCTTGCTTGCGCTAGTAAAATTCTTGAGCCTGCAGTCTCAGCGGCAAAGGCATTCTGAATTTGTTCTCTGTACAACCTTACACCCTAACCTAGCTTCGAGGCTTCTCCTCCCTGAGTCCTGGGGCAAAGTATGAAGAATATATACAGTAGTGCCACTTGCGTCCCTACGTGTCCCTTATTTATACAAGCAATCCTCTAACTCGTCTTGCCAAAGTAATTGTGATGTCGGGTTTGGACTTAGTCTCCTGTATGCCATGATATGTGATTCGTAGATTTAATTAATCTTTCTTAAAGTCTTGATCAGACTAAGGGCGGCTTTCAGCTCTCCACTGTCGCGTTTTTTGCACGTACGTGCACGCACGTAAAAGTTCAGAAGAAGCTTATTGGGGGGGGGGGGGATTGCATATTCATATAATCCGCTTATGCCCAACTGAAAGCTATTGTTTCTACGGTTGTAGAAACTGTTGTAGAAACTTGAATATATGAATATACACCCCTCCCCCCCTCCAATTAAGCTTCTAGCGACGGCCCCGTCATGAACCATGGCAACGCAGATATACAAATGACTGGCGACAAATGAAAGATCGCGGTTAAGTATTATAATTGATAATGCCAATCAATTGAACACTTTTCTTTAATAAAATACCCTGCAAGGCGTAAATAAATATTTCATTATCGCACGTACGATTACAAAAGGGGCAGTTTGCGTTTCCTTTCCATTCTAAAATAAGTTCCGAAGCTACGACAGTATATGTGATGCTTTTAACGCAAGTTCGGGCAAATTTACCAACCATAATTAGGTTGTTTTTTATCTTGGTCAACAAGGACATGCTACTGGGTAGCTCAGCCGATGAAAAAGGTAAAATTAATTTAAATTAGATGAAGAAAAATTCAAGAAATAGAAAACCTTCGTAAGTTATGTCGAGACAAGTATTTATTCAGTGGAAAACACAACTTGATTTGCAAAGGTTTCTCGAATAAAACTGACGTGTTTTAGCGCGTCAAATTAGGCTTATTTAATTATATATAAAGCGTTGTTTATTGTATCATAGCAATTCTTCTTAGGACATTTGTTTTAGTATCTGCTTTGCATGTTCAGCTGCCGGAAAATCGAGAGAATAATCGTTCTACTAAGACAATTTCAAGCTGTGGAACAGTAGAAGCTCAATGAATAGCCTAGTTATAGTTGACGACTTGGCGCGAGCATGAGGCAGAATCATTGTGTTTAAACTATAGCAACGGCCGTACAGAACTTCCCTTGTAAAGATCTCTTCCAGTGACTTGGTTGAGAAAACGATTACGCTTTTCTACTAACACAACATTTCTATCATTTTTTTCTACTAATTTCGTGGGGAGGGCATTCTCAAACGTTTCCTGCATGCGTGAAGAACTAAACGGAACGTGAGTTTTGTTTCTAGGTAACCACCTCCCTCCCCCCAGATCCCACATGAAATGATAGCATATTCCTATTCTATTTTTTATGTGCGAAGATGAGTGCAACGTTGTCCGAACGACAGAATTTCCGGGTATGATATTCACAGGTCATCATCATCGACATTATCATCATCACCTTATTGCTCAATCATATTTCAACTTATTTAGGAATACGACTTCAGGGCATCGCTGAAATTGAGAATCATTGCAATATCAATAAAGTAGAATGTTTCTTCAAATGTTTAAACGTGACCAAATGCCGTTCATTTGCCATTGGCATGAATGAAAATTGTCCAGGACCATTTTGCACTCTCTACCTTTCGTCGTCTGTCGATACAAATGACTTCTTGGCGGATAAAAATTCGACCTACTACTTCATGGTATGTTTCGTCGCAGTTGAGCCAATTGCATGGGTTGAATGGGTGATAGCTCGTGCGATTGGTAAAACAAACTCTTTCTCTTTCTCTTACTGCAGGGCTCATCTTGTTGTAACAACGAGTGTTTAAATGGAGGATGGTGTCGGAGCAAGGTCTGTTCATGTGCGTGCAAGAAAGGATATTCATCATTTAAATGTATTTGCCCCGCAAGTAAGTTGCTTTACTGTTTGAGAGAACGTGCTATATGATTGTATGTACCTTACCCCACCTCTATATATCAGAGGACGTCGGATATTTCATGTCTCTTTTTGCGAAACCATGAATCCATTGACGCCAATGGAACACAGCAGTCAAGATCGTGGACGTGTAGCTGGTAATATAGGAGGGATATATTTCTAGGAAATTAGGAAACTCTAGGAAAAATAATTATGTAAAACATGAAATGGATCACAAGCGGGTCAATCCAGTCTTTGCATGCAGTCAGTTTGGAAAAGCGTCCGGAAGAAGATTGAATCCATCGATTTTAGATTGATTTTTATCTAAACAGGTAACTTAACGAGGAATTTTTCACATAATTGGAAGATTGTGAAGGAAGAGAGATTGCTGACTCAGATTGACAGCAACGACGAACAAACCTGGGCAACGAGACGTTCAAATCAGAACATTTTCACCTTACAGAATGGAGTCTGGGTTAAAATGGATGGAGGGTTAACTCACGTGACAGTTGGAAAATCAGGGGTCTGGGGCGTGAACGAAGTCGGCTATATATATTATAGGTCAGGGGTTACAGCCGTTGCACCCTATGGAACAGGATGGATAAACACCCCTGGGGCCTTAAAGCAAATTGACGCTGGAAGCTCTGGCGTTGTCTATGGAGTAAATAAGTTCGTACTCACTTTATTATCTTGTTTTAAATCATTGTCATATTGCTGTCTTTCTGTCTGTTTAATCAATTAGTATATAAACAGACAAAATTTATACCGTTTTGCACAAAAGAATATGAATCAAAATTTGGAACCAGGCTGTACTTTCTACAGTTCACAACAAACAGTAACAAAAGTCATGCATTGTACTACTTTTGTGATGCTTCTTACAAGATGTGGTAGAGTTACAGCCGAGATTTTTTTTTTCTTATACAACAGGTTCAATGATCTATTTTACCGGTCCGGCATAACGAGGAATATCCCTTATGGTAATAACTGGATTAAACTCCCAGGAGAGTTTCAGTATGTCTCTTGTGGAGACTACGGATGTTGGGCAATAAGACCGAACAATTCTGTCGCATTTCGTACCGAAGTGACCTTTGATTTTCCCCAGGGAACTGGCTGGGTGGATGTTGACGGCAGTTTCATTCAGTTGGAAGCGGGCCACAAAAGCATCGTGTACGCTGTAACTTCAGAAAACGTTCTCTATTATAGAGTTGGTATATGTTTTCTTCAACCTACTGGATTCCTATGGAAGCCTGTCAAGGAACTGTCGGTTACACACGTGACCGTCGGCCATTATATGTTGTTTGTAATCGCTACAAATGGAACTGTATATTCGTCCACTTAACGTCACGGGGCTGCAAATTGTTTTGGACAGCTTACTTCATTGTTATTCGAAACGTCTAAAATGATTAAACCATTGTTTTATATTCTACATTAATAAACGTGGACATTCTGTTGTTGCGTTAAGTAACGATAACTATTAGTTACCCATAGTAACCGCGCGTTATTTGTAATTCGAAGCGATGTAGACGCGCTTTAAAGCAGTTATAGAAAGCCTTGAAGAAATTGGTTAGAGCGGAGACGATGCACGCATCAGAATTAAATAAATCTTTCTGGCATGTGTCTACCACAAATCAAACTTTTCAACAAAGCTGAAAACGTTAAACGTCCGTTGTTAATGCATAGAATAAGTATAATGGTTCGGTTAAATTTATGTCATTTCAAATTTTTCCAAACATGGATTTTATGCCACATTGTTCCATCATAAACACTACTAAATTAACTACAAAATTTCATGATATGCGACACAGTTTAGTCAAGAGCTGAGACGGTTGGGTTAATATATTGCTATTTCCCTTTAGCCGCGGAAACTTGCAAAAACTACTTTGTCGGCTGCCCTGCACCTGCTTACAAAACTATCTCCGATAATAACCGATTTTAATTACGAATGCATGGACTGTTATCATATTACGTTGCATTTAAAAACTTTAATTCACTTTCAAGAGAAACAAAATAACATTGTTTAATAATTCTATATCACAAAAGACTTTGCGATAATAACAATGAACAATTTCCTGTATTGTACAACATACTGATAGCCAGTATGCATAGTTGTAGAGAATAAGTCATTTTGTGGCACCCTTGGCCTTGCTAATTAATTATTAAGGCAGTTTTAATTATGTCGACAACCAATCCAAATGATATGCAGCTTGTATATAAACGAAACACATTTAACAGAACATGTTATATATAATTGCATACTTGACAGCAACAAATCAATAATTGAAAATATAAACTACAGTTTGCTTTACAACAGCCATAGCAGTCTTCAGCAGCATTCAGCGTGTGTAGAGTATGCTGACATGCTGTTTCTTTCAACCATTTTTCAGCTCTATTTGCAATTTTACATTGGAAAAGTTGGTGGGAGTTTACAGCACGAAGGTAAAGCAGCTGCTGATTTTAGTTCAGCTCATTTCCGATGATAATTTTAGCAGTTCATTTCTACAAATTTTCCTATTTTTGGCTGTAAGATTATCGAAATTTTGTAAGTGATTAATTGACGCGAAGACAAATTTCTCTTTTGTTCACTTCATGATGCAAGTATAGATATTAAACACTCGACGTTTTTCGTACATTTCGACGTTTCCACGTTTTTAATGCCCCTATATATATACTTATTATTTCCTTGCTTTCGCAGAGTCAGAACACAGTTGTGATCTCATCAGGCCCAAAGAATTTAAAAGTAAGGGCAACAAACAACATACAATTAGTAAAGATATACCACTGGTTACATCTTTATAAATCCACGAATAAAATCCGCAGTTTATTTTAGTGTTAGACAAGATATAGACATGCATATAACTAAGAGGCATTGTATAGTAACTGTATTGACATGCAAGAGACAATGGTAGCCGCTTTTTTCCCCGGTTTGAAGTCAGACAAAGTGAAAATTTTCGATGAAAAAGGTGTCAAAATATAGTGGAATACAGTGAAACGCTAAGTTGGAAAGTATGAACGAAAAGAGTATATATATATAATGAAAACTAATCAATTTTGCATGGGTATTTTGTATTTTAGAGACAAAGTTGTCTATGAGTCCATTGAAAATTCGCTGTGGCGAAAGAAAGGGTGAATGTTTTGTTGAGTGTCTTCACCTGTCGCTGTGTCGTTCATTTGCTGTGGCAAAGACAAGCAATTGCAGTTCATTATGTCTCTTTTACAACGAAACAACTCTCAACGAAGATTTATTTCTGAGCGATAAAGAAGCGACGTATTATTTTCTGGTAAGCAAAAAACAATTGCAGTAAAAGTATTGTTGTCAAAGGAAGGCTCGCAACCCTCGAACCTAAACACTCTGTATCCAAACATGCAGAACAGAAAAGAACCCCTATAGCAGGTAGAGATTTATTAATTATATATCTATGAGACTCGCCTGGCATGATATTTTTCTAATTATCTGCAGGAGTCGCAGACCTGTTGTCGTGAAAGGTGTTATAACAACGGTTTATGTGATGGGAAGAGTTGCAAATGTTCGTGTACAAAAGGATACACTTCTACAGGCTGCGTTTGTCCATCCAGTAAGCGCATGAACGAATTATAGTTTTAATTCTAATAATCTTAAAATTATAGTTCAGGCACTGCCACTATACGGTTGAAAACAGGTATGATAGGAACTGTTTTTTCCACAACCTGTAAAGCGAAACTTTTCTTGAATTTAGAAAACACAAGTCGTCAGTTTAATCGCCCAGGAAAACAGATGTTAGCGGGAGATGTTGCCCAGTTAGATATAGACGTTCACATATGGGCAGTTACCAAGGCTGGCAAAATATGGGTGCAAAACTTACGGCAGACTCCCGGAAGCTGGTCAGGAATCCCGGGAGGCCTAATTTGTGTTACAAGCGGTCCATCCGGAGTTTGGGGGATCAATGTAAACCATGGTATCTTCTTTAGAGAAGGCGTTTCAGATTCGAACCCAAAAGGAAATAGTTGGACACAAATTCCTGGCGGATTGAAACAAATCGATTCCGGTAATTTCGGAGTGGTATATGGCGTTAGCTACAATAACGACCTCTTCTGTATGCCCAGTATCACCAAGGCTACTCCAAGTGGAACCCACAGCTGGATTTATATTCCTGATGTTAAATTCAAGTACGTTTCATGTGGCGAGTTTGGTTGCTGGGGAATCAAACCAGACAACTCTATGTTGTTTCGCACTGGCGTGACAGCCGACAATTGCGCGGGAATCGCATGGTTGCAGGTCGATGGACTCTTCATAGAGTTGGACTCTGGGGTGACGGGCAGTGTATACGCCATCTCTCCTGAGCATGAAGTGTACAGAAGACTAGGAGTGTGTGCGGAAAATCCAACCGGCGAAAAATGGTCGAAGATTCTGGAGGGAAGGTTCACGGACGTCACTGTTGGCCAGGAAAACTTTATTGCACTTTCTGAAAATGGCACGATTACTGTATTCAATTAACAATGTTTATCAGCTTAATACTTATCTAATGATACTAATAATCCTGCAACTGCAGGACTGCGGGACTGTGCTCGGCTTAACTGTCCCAAATATGGCTAAGCACCAATGGCAAACTACCAGAGCTTTCGCAGTTACAACTTTGTAGCATATATACGCACTGCACCTTGGCATTTTACCAAATTCGCGAAAACACATATATATATCTCCACCAGTGCTAACTGACATTGATATAATAATTAGGTTAAGCGAACTTAGAAGATGATATACTTTATGATACATAAATTCCATATATTATAACATGATTTAGATGATATATAAATTCCACTGGAATCTTGTCGTCGAAGAAATCACAAAAAAAACTCAAACGGCTGGATAAACGAGATTATAATTAAACTGCATGTGTATAGGAAAACGTTCGTATCTTCGTAACGAGATTTCATGATTATAACTTGTGTTTAATTTATTAGCCTAGAAGATGCTGTAAAGTCATATGACGTCATGCGCGTCAAACATTTTGTATTTTTTTATTTGAAAGCTCATTTAGTTGTTAGCAAATGGTACCTGCATACATACTGGCGCCGTATCGGCTCAGCAAAGTAGAAAAAACAACACTTCTATTACATGGAAATATAGTAGAAATAAAAAATGGCTTTTAATGTACCGCGATTGTCGATTTCATCTTGCAATACTACAATATTTTGGATTATTTTTCTGTTGCTTGGCATACTCACAAAATTGGTTCAGCTTACAGCGATCAAAAGTAAGTGTTTGTCAAGTTTGCAAAATTCGTGACATTTATTTTGTATTTGTTTCAATATAGTTTGTACAAACACCTAATAAAACAATATTAGCTAGTAAAAACCTCTTTCATGGACAAACAAAACATGTCTTCTTGAGTGCAACACAGGTTTGGGAATGTGTTGATTGCATGCAGGGAATCGGAATGTGAGAAGAAGCCGGTTTGCGCGGTCGTTATGAGCGAAGCTCTCAAACCATACCACCGGGTTTTTTTGGCAAGTAGTGCGGCCAGGTCACAATCCCAATCTATAGAGCGACAGCGAGAGATATTCCTTTGACACAGAAACTAGGAACGATTAACTGTGAAAGTCGCCAGTGGAATTTTAATCAAACGATCATTTCGATTCATAACGACTGTCAAGTCGAACGTCATGGAACAACCTGTAAATGTTCAAAGTGAAACGTGCTGGAATACACAAGCTTTTCTTGTTTTGTCATCCTTTAGACACCCGCGAGAATCCTGTGTAACTTTCCTCTTAGGTGTGGTGACAGTTCGATAAAAAAAATGAAATCATTATCGTGCATTTCGACTAGGTCTTTGTTTTTAAATTTCAAACCATTAAATTTTGATTAATGACTTTCATAAAACGTATTTCTTTTTACAGGTGCTGATAGTTCTTGCAGTATTATTGCTGCAAAACCAATAAAAGGTACTTTTTGAAAACCTATTTCAGACAGTCATGGGCAGTTTTTTTAGTTAGTAGTTAAATTACTATAGTGCTGGTCATAAGTCAACTTTTCCGTGCTGTTGACTGGTCTAGTACTTACAATGTTTGCTTTGCAATGTTTTATTCAGTGTCTTTAAACTTTATCAATGTCAGTTTTTCATTACATTACTACAAGTCTGAGTGAGCGCCTGCTGTTGCTACAAACACAATAACATACTGACGACTTTACAATGTTATATTTAGTGTTTCAGTTCACATTTACTTTTCCTAAATGTCATTTGAATAATGCGGTACTGCTAGTCTAACTGGTGTATTGACAATATAACCGCTTTATTGCAATATTTTATCCAGCGTTTCCCTTTCAATCCTTCCCAACCTCACACAGCTTTGCAATGTTGTATTGTTTTACTTCTAGAATAGATTCTCTCATTTCTTTTGTACAGAGAAGAAACCTTTGATCGATGCCATAGAAAAATCCTGCGTGGCGAAAAATGGAGAATGTTATTCTAGATGCATTGGAAATCCAACATGTCGCTCGTTTGGAATCGCTCGTGGCGTCGACGAATGCCCTAATTCACTACAGTGCTTTCTTTACTCTGAAACAGTGGCGGATAAAAATTCCTATGGTAACGACCGCGATTTCGACTATTACATATCGGTGAGTTTCATGATACCCAAACAGTATCTTAACAAAATATCAGTTGCTGCAACTTCTTATCTCTTAGCTTGACTCAAACTTTCATGCCGTCTCATCAACTTTTTTCTTTTGTGAAACGGTTTATCCCCACGGCTATTGTTTAACCAATAGTGTAGCCTCACTAGATGTTCCAAATTATACACATGCATACTTTGTATCTTGATGACAGGGTCCACTAACGTGCTGTACCAAACCCTGCATTAATGCTCAAGTGTGTCACGAGAAAACCTGCCAATGTGAATGCCCAGAGGGATATGCGTCATACAACTGCATGTGTTTAGAAGGTAGCTACATTGTACCACTACTGACTACCGTCATCACCATACTGGACCACCACCATCATCACCACCCCCAACCATCATCATCATTACCCCATGATCACCATCACTACCACCATAATTCGTGACGGGAATTAGAATTACAATTTTTGCTTTCATATATAGAGGAATTAAACCAGGTTTTCAACAGAAAAACTCCGATGATGTTGCCGGATGTAATGAAACAGGTTGACAGCGGTGAACAGACATGGGGAGTCAAAGATGATTTAAGCTTGTGGACCTTAGTTGACGATCAGTGGACCTTAGTTGATCAAAATGCCCAAATGAAATACATTTCAAGTGGCAAAGCTGGTACTTGGGGCATTAACTCTAGTGACAGTGTTTTAGTGAGAGAAGGTAAATCTAAATCAATCACTTAAAATACGATAAAATATTTGACGACACAATAACAGCGTCACTAGCGTTGTTCTTCCATCACAAATGAATAACCAATTATTTCGTTTAGTTACTGTTTTTGGAACGTCTTGGAAACATATTCCATTTCCAAAAAATGAAAACCAACTGATCCAAATCGACTCGGGAAGTTCTGGAGTGGTTTATGCTGTTAACGGCGCAAACGAGATTTACTGTCGTGCAAACATCACAACACAATCACCCTTTGGTAGCAGTTGGATAAAAGTGCCTGGTGCCGCTAAACATGTATCGTGTGGTGATTATGGGTGCTTTGCAGTTCGATCTGATGGTACTGTTGCTTTTCGTAAGGGTGTCAGCGTTGAAAACTGCAAGGGAACAAACTGGACTGATATACCAGGTATAGAAAATTAGACGAAGTTTTTAGAGCAAAAGAATCCATCCAACCTCATTCTTCGCCAAGCTTCAATTCGCGTTGTAAATGTCCGTAGACATTAGAACATATATCATTTTTTTATTTCAACATTGTGATCCAACAAAGTGCTGCATTTGCAAAGAAAATTTTGCATTTCTATGGACATTTTATAGACTTTTTAATTCGGACATCCAAGGTCTTAAATTTCCACTAGTGAACATGAAGTGGTACGACATCTTTTTTGCCCAACCATGCAAAAAAAACATAAACACAGGTCGAAGTTGAAGAAAATTTTAAGTGGGTCCCCTATCAATCCGGTCTACTACAGCTCGATTCTATATTGATGCCCATATAAACGTTTCAGGTGACTTTATTCAGCTGGATGCAGGAAAAACTGGCAGCATATATGGAATCGGGAGAAACCAAAACTTATATCGAATAGCCGCGATTTGCGAGAAGATGCCTTTGGGACACAAGCGATGGATCAAGGTCCTTAATGAGAGATTCACACACGTTGCTGTTGGTGATCAAAACATGTTTGCTGTTGCTGAAAACGGGACAGTTTTCAAGTTCTCTCCATGAAGATGAAACGAACGTTTGATGAAAATCAGAGTCCTTCTAAATTTCATGCAACATGCAGTGGGTTCATTCATGAAAAGAGCATAGACACACGCACGATTGCAGATTGCCGCCAATTTTGACGGGGACTTTTTATGTAGGACGCATTTTTAGAGTGGGTTTGAGATGATTATGAGTCATAAACCTTGCATGTAACCTTGTGAAAGATTTTATGTCAATGTTAGTGGAGATGGAATTGTAAAGATTTATAGTGAAATAAGCCTAATTTGTATATTTGAGTATTTAGCGTTTAATAATTAACAGTTCAAGGAGAGTTTTGCACAGTTGGGTCAGCCGTATGTACAAAATATATTTCACAAGGAAAACCTGTATAATATGTCACAATAAAGAAATATCAATAGTAGCTATTCTTGCCAGGAATCAAAATCCAAGAGATAATCATATCAATGTCAAGTCCAGAGTTTTACCAAAGACAACACAAGTTGAGAGTACCAGCAGAGAAAGGTACTTTGCATTGACAGTGCAGAAAAAAAAACACTTCAAATTTTGAGTTAAAAAAATAAATGCATGGGACTTGCCGATCCGCCGGATCCTGATGAAATAATTGTCAATTTTACCTCTTTGTAACCACACCATAATACAATATTTAGGTTCTAGGTATGGTTGAAAAGCACGGGAGGAAAAAAACTCGAAATACACTAGAACTTAAGTTGACTTTTGTTTGTTTTAAACCACGGCGTCTCCCTGTATCCCCTTTATGCGACAGCCATCGAGTCCTGGGATAAAATCCTTCAACAATAAACGTGGAACATTAACATCTGCAACGTCGATGATATCTGTGGAAAGAAAATTTGACGTGTTGCTGTTGTTTTTATTGTTATTATTGTTATTTTGAATTATGAACTATTGTTGTATAGCTTTTGTCATTGCTGACGATGTATTTTTGAGTAATTTGTTTCTGGCTTTACATGTTAAGCCTAATGATCAATACTTTTTAAGAAACACAATATGTCATTTGCAGATTTGCTTACCGGGAGTTAAACTTTCATTAAATAGGTCGAAGTCATCATCGCTGCATGTGCAGAAACCATCTACATTCACGGATGATTCGTTGGGTGTCGAGGACAATTTAGTAGTAAAATAGGGTCCCCCTGCACTATCCGTAATGTCCCGTAGAGATCTCTCTTCTCCTACAAAAATGATCTTCGGAACTTCAGATTTTAGTTTCTCTGATACAGCACGACCCACTTTTTGATCTTCATTCATAGATACCACGCTGGTGGCTGCTGAAGATTCCGAGAAATCACCTCCAGTACTGGCGTTGGTCTGCTGGGATATCTCATCTCCAATAAACGTGGTCTCCGGGGTTTGACTTTGAGTGGTGGTAGGCTTCGTCGATGCTCTCTGATCTCTACACACAGATGTTGTTCTAGATGTTGAAGATACAGAGTAACCACTTGCAGAAGTGCTTGCAAGTCTCTGTGGGGATTCGTCCTTCTGGCGAGTGTTTGTTGTTTGATTTTTGGGTTGTGCTGTTTCAAGTCTCTGTGGGGATTCGTCCTTCTGGCGAGTGTTTGTTGTTTGATTTCTGGGTTGTGCTGTTTCAAGTCTCTGTGGGGATTCGTCCTTCTGGCGAGTGTTTGTTTGATCTTTGGGTTGTGCTGTTTCAAGTCTCTGTAGGGATTCGTCCTTCTGGCGAGTGTTTGTTGTTTGATCTTTGGGTTGTGCTGTTTCACAAGTTGGGTGATTCTTTGAGGATGCTTTTGAGGAAGATCTAAGACTGTTTTTCAAGGAGTTCCCAGACTCAGAGAGATGCGATGAATTATTGTTTTTATGAGTTTTATCATCTCTGTGGTCATCTATGGAACTCTGTGAAATTTCGATCCCAAGTTCTAAGGTGAAAGAGATCAATCATCGGATCACCAAAGCCACAATTACCATAATGTGATCACCATCATCACAACCACCATGGTCTTGTCACCATCACCAAACCACCATCATTTCATAAGCATCATCATAACCACCTCATCTTATCACCATCAACCATTATCTCATCACCATCAACCATTATCTCGTCACCATCAACCATCCACCATCATCTCAACACCATCACCAAACTGCCATCGTCTGATCACCATCCTCACAACCACAATCATCTCATCACCATCATCCAACCACTATCATCCAGTAAACAATCATATCTTCTATCAACTACCACCATCCTTTAACCACTATCCTTTCTCCTCATGGCCTACCATTCAACTGTCTTTCAGGAAGAAGAATTGCCTTCATAACATCGATTGAAGCAACCTCTTCCTTTGCAGCAGCAATAATGATGTCCGAATGAAACACTGTCAAATGACCTGACAGAAACTCTTCACTGTCAAAAATCCTATCAGTAAACAAGAAGCATTGTCATAATAACGAACAAAATGGACTTTAACCCCTGGGATAGCCCTCAAGTTTAAAGAACATTGGATAACTAACCTTTGCACATCAAGAGCTTCACTGTCTTCTGCAAAAAGAAAATCAGCTTCAAAGGGATCTGGCTCTAAACGACCTCCATTTTCAAACCAAATATTTTTCTTTGTTTCCGGTGTAGACAACGAGAACCAGGCAGATCTGCCATTTGGAATCAGACCTGCCATTTTGCGATAAAACCAAGAAATTACTTCATATTCTCATGGAAACTTAGGCTAGATAAATACCGATATGGCCACCTATGTACGACCCATTTGACAAACCATAGTCAAATATCGTATCCTTGGTAAATTTCAGGCTATAACTGCCTTGAAAACGCACTGAAAGTCAATATTTTGTATCCATTTCGGTTGTGATCTTTCCTGCAGTATACTATCCTTGTTTTATGATTACATGAAGTATTGCAGTTAATAATATAGAGAAAATCTTTAAGAAGTAAATAACTGAAATAAAGAGCCTGTGTTAACTAGTTAACAATACAGCATATCTTGTTATGTTGTGAATAAGAAATAGACATGAAATGATACCATCTCCGTCGAAAAAAAAGATATTATCACTGATAAATACAGTTTTATTTCTGACAAAATTCAGTAACAACGCTCTCATAATACTAGTTTTCAGTCCCCTTGCGCCACTTCAGCAATTCAGCTCATTGAGCCTCATTCTGTCATTCACCCATTGATGAATTAGCCTTCTTTTCAGGATAAAAACTCTTTTGTTTGCGTTTAAAATCGCTTTAATGGATCGTGAACTACGGGAAAGAAAGGGAGACGCTAAAGAGCGTTATCGCACTGAGTGTGAAGGGCTTCCTCACGGCTGGAGCAGGGAAGTTGTTATTAGAAAGTCGGGCAATTCAGCAGGCAGAGTTGATATCTATTATTACAGGTAACAATGTCCGCTCACATTCGTTGATACCCTATTTCTTTGTCAATAAAACTTTTTTAGAAAGAGCCACAGGATTGTGAACTACAAGTGTTGTTGATCTTTGTATTGATTTGCCAGCTTTGATACAAACATATTGTAAACTACTACCTATAAAACCAAATCTTCAACAAGAGTAAAGGACCAATTCATGTCATACTAAAGCTTTTTTAATCATTTTCAACCTATAGTCCCTGTGGCAAAAAGTTTCGTTCAAAGCCACAAGTTCAAGATTTCCTGAAAGGCAAAGTCGACTTGAGGAATTTTGACTTCAGAACGGGAACTATGACAAATGGAATTGTACGGAATAGCAGTCGGAAAAGAAAGGCTGACATATTCACTAGAGACTTTGCTGCTCAAGGAGCCTCCCCCACAAAGATCCCACTAAGGCAAACCGCAATTAAATTTACTCGCCAGCCTGTCACGGTTGTAAACAACTCACCAATATATGTGTCAGGTGTCGACAAGAAATTTGATACCAAAGGCAGTACTGCTCAGCAACCACGCTCGATCTTCTGGGAGAAATGCCTGCAAGGTTTGCATGTGGTAGATGAGAATGATAACAATCTGGATGAGTATGAGTTACCAAGCCTTTTTCGACCTCTTGGCCCCAAGAAAGAATGGGGTTCACTTGTGAACAGTCTTACAACAGACTTATACATGACAAAGAAGAACATTTCCGGTCAAAATATGTCCCTCAAAGCATTTGAGAAAAATCCTTGTGTTTGGTTGAACGCAGCCCAGCCATTGTGTGCTCCATTTAAAGTCTGTGATTCTGACATTCGTCGTCAGGAGGAAAGAGTGCAATATATTAGAAAACGATTAGCGGATGCGCTGGAGGAATATGATTATTTGAAGTTTAAAGCATTGGGGGTTTCTGGTCAGCACTAGGACAATACAGTTATGCAATATTTGTTTATATAAATTTACTTTTTGTATGTATATATGTATGTCAAGATATCAAGACAATAAGCTTTTACTATTGATGATATTGAGGTGAATAGTTAGTAATGTTTTCTGTGAGACTGTAGGAGTATTTGTTTATAATAAAAGAAAATATATATGTGATTTGTTTGCAAGTTAGATGGGTGGACAAAATTCAACTTTGGGGTCTTCACATATCCGTACCTCACTTTGCCCTTATCATACACAATTGTACACCATAACACACATACCTCCCCTGTGAAAGTCAGGTGACAATGCAAAACATCCAAGACCAGTAGATCTGTTGCAATTCCAATGAGAATAGACAAGAATGAAACATTTTGTAACATTGCCATGCCAATATGGCTGGAACTGGGTCATGACATCATGGTGGGACCTGAGAGTAATGACGTCATTGAGACATCCATGATGACATATGAGAAGTGACGTCATACCAAAACTGTGCCCCAGACTTCCTGTCGGAGTCGGACGGTCGGTAGATTGCAACATGGAGGTCTTGCCCGAACCAGAACCCCAAATAGAAGTTAAACAATTAGCTGAAACTCCGCCACAAACAAACGGATCTGTCGAAGAGAAATCGAGAACGCCTTGCGAGGCATTGCCTGGCTGGACACGAGTCGTTGTTATGCGAAAATCCGGCAGTTCTGCAGGCAAAAGCGATGTGTATTACTACAGGTAGTTCTTGCCGTTTGCTAAAATTGTGTCAATATTTCAAAAAATCGCTGTTTGAATGGAGAATTTAGTAAAATTTTCAATGATTTATAAGCTTACAAAGCATGTAAAACACTTGCAGGCTAGTAGCTTTGAAGTCAAAAGAAATATCAAATATTTTGCTGGGAATATCATAGTACTCTGACACTATTTAGGCGGGGTGTACTAATGCATTGTCTTGAGTAAGTCAGAGCTGTGTCTGGTGGGTCTTAGATGAATATATTTCATATTTGCACTACAATTAATGCATTGTTTATGAACTAGTCCCACAGGAAAGAAGGTCCGCTCCAAACCAGATATGGAAAAGCTACTGTTTCAAATGGATGGTGGTGTGGAGAAAGACTTGAGCAAATTTGATTACCGTACGGGTACTTTTGTAGACAGAACTACAACCAGGAAACGAAAGAAGCCAATCTGCAATATTGATGCATATGGAAAGGACTTCTGTGACTATAATAGTATGGCGTCCATGCCATATAGGGAACCAAAAACAATTGATAATACCTCTGTGACATTTGTATCTAAAAATCCTAACCCCACTGTCAATGGTTTGGATTCAAATTTAGTTCATGTCTCCAATGGGAATGAGATGGGGCTTGTCTCACCTCGGCAAATCTATTGGGAAAGGCGTCTACAGAATATGAATGGTAAAAATGGTCTGGTTGATTTTGATATATTTTCGGAAACAAATGGAGAATTTTGTTCATTACTGCATTCAATTGTTATGACACTTCAAATAGAACGAGACATAGCAAATGAAAAAATACCAAAAGGTACACACAAAGGACAACCATTGAAGAAACCGATAAAAATTACAAAGGCAGACATTAGAAAACAGGAGAAGATGGTCATAAAAGCAAGGAGAGAACTAGCTAAAGCTATCACAGAATATGAAGCCTTAAAATGCTCATGATAATAATGAATTTTAAACTATTTATACTTGTGTGTGAGACCAAGAAAATGTAGTTGCTAGTTTAACAATATACAAACACAATCATTACCAAATGTGGACTTTCTGTTCAAAAGTGATATCTGAGTAGGATTATTATCTAATGGCAAGCAATTATGGCAAGCAATATTCCTAAAATGGGCCCCACTTTTCTTCAAATTTGGATAGAAAGTCTGAATCTGTGATGTATGTCTAGAGCAATCTTAAAATAGTTGAAAAAATGTACAAAAACGTTAAACTTCGTTTTATAATATGCAATTATGCAATATGACTTTAATACAATCTAGTTAATAACTTAATATCATTATTCAATTACTTTTTTGCCACAGAATAAAAGAAAATCTTTTTAATCTGAGTTTATGTTTAAGATATCCTTTTCTCTAGAAAATATTAATAAAAAATTTAAATTTTTAAACGATATTTCCAAATTCTTTAAAATTTCAATAAAAAATCGGTCAAAGCCCAAATGTGGTTTCAAATGTGGCCAAAATTACCAAAGTTTGCCAAACTATTCAATGATCGGACTGGATTATGATTGGTTCGTATATTCGCTTCGCAATTGGCTAGAATCTTCGGGCTCTGATTGGCTGAAAATGCCATAATTTAATAAAATATGACAATTGTATCGAAGAGTTTACGCACGCTATTTATTTTGAAAAAAAATGAAAATATTTAAAAAAAGTATTCGTGTAAGGTGATGAATGGAGACAAAACATCGGCTAATCTTCTCGACTATTGTGGAACCCCGCCTGCTTTTCAGGTGTCTCGCTGCAGGTGAAGCGTCAGCCTTGCAGGCAAGCAATGCGATGGGCACTTGTGCCCCGCGAAAGCGCAGCGGTATTTCATTAAAATCAACCTTGTAGTTGCTGCTCGCAATTGGTAAGTGCGCAGCGATATGACATGCTTCCGTTTTCTAATTAGAAATCATTGAAGCTTGAATTTCAATAACTTATTTTGCCATCTCACACTGAAGCCAGCTGGTGTTACAACATCGTATTGTTACCCTTGCCCACTAGGGGGTGTATCATAGGACAATATCAGTCACTCGGTCACTAACTCCAGGCTATATATAACCTAATATCCAGCAGACAATGTGTCAAAGTAAGCCAATATAATAGCGTTATCATTCACAAATAGAGCCAAAGATTATAGATTTGATTCCATGATTGCAAATTTTGTTGGGAAAGTCCTTTCAAATGACGTCATGTGTCGATGGAATTCGTTTGTTTATAACAAACATATTTTATTATCCACTTTCGCTAAAGCGCTCTTCGAAAGCTGTTTCACCTCCGTTTAACGAGCTTACAACAGCTAGCTTTTAACAAAATGTTCCAACACTGCACGATGGCAAAATTCTGTTTGACGAGAAATCACTATTCGTGTCGACAGACAGATGAACTTTGAGATGAATTTTGTGGTTGAAAGCGAGTGCTAATTGAGTTTATAAACTTTTGCACCTTCCTACATGCGTTCAAACTTAACCATTTAACTCTGCATCTGTTAAACAGGGTCGAAATTGTGAAGATCAGTTTAGAATTGATACATTTGTCCCTAACCAATATCCAAAACAAACGTGAAATATACAATCAAATCATTTTGAAATCGATGAACAAAAAAAGAAAAATTGAATTATAGGTGCGCGCATTAAGTCGCCTGTTTTCTTCGGCTATAAAATTGTGCACATACAAAAGAGAATTGACTCCTACGACTACAAAAAGAACGATGAATTCTGTCATAAACAACTGCAGGTGGATGTTATTTTCATGCTTTTAAAAATATTGAACGAAAACAACAACATATTGGGAAGAAATTGAAGCAATTGTTACCGAAAACGTTCTGCGAGCACTTGACTTTGGTAATTAATCATGAAGCAATGTTTTCGGATTAAGTGAGCTTTTCTTAAGCTCGTAAAAAACAAGTATTTTGCATAAATGATTATATATTTCTCTGGGAAGACAGCGAACGTGGTGAGCTCATAACAGGTCGCCATAAGATAAATTATGTATGGCAGAGTGTTTTTAACGATGCGCAAAGTGATATATTAAGTTTACAACCGGCAAACATGTTTATATACAGCGAAAAGTGTGCCGTGTTTAAGATATGCTGACGAGATATAAGCTCCTCGTAAATAGCTTGCTAATGCGCAATGCCGTTACGGCCATATGAGCCGGGACAATGCGTATACGAATACAGCATTGCCACTTGTGGGAAAATTTATCTAAGCGCGACAGGCGTTCTTTAAAGGGGAACTCGTAAAACCGCAGAAAATATAGCGTCGACGTCGCTCGATAAACAAGAGAGTTGATAAAACTAAACGTGCTCGCTTCGTGAGCAATTTGCGACTTCGTTCGGCGTGATCGAGCCCTCTCATTTCGACGGCCGTTTTGGAAATCATTCACAATTATTTGAATTGTTTTCTTTAATTGTTCAGCGTCTATTCTCGTTTTCTTTATGCGGTGACTATTTGAATTTAAATAATAATAGCTGCTGGGGAATATGTTCACAAAAGGACGCCGAATGAAGAGTTTCCCGCCTCTATGCGAGTTTTTATAAGATGTTTGGCTGCAGCGAACACGAAATTTCGAAATACATCATTCGCATTGACCCCTTGTTTTGTACGCGAGTTCGTGAAATTCTACGCTGTGCCGTAGTTTTGTTGTTTACATTGAAGTGCCTTATATATATTTGCATGAATATTGGTCAGCTAAGTGCGCCGGTAACCAAACACGAACAGTATTATGCGGCGGTAAAAAAAATACAATCTTCGACGATAAAGACGAACTATTGAAGTTCAGAGGCAGTTAAGAGGCAGGGCTGGTTTAGAGGCATGTAGTTAGGAGATCCTTCGGATAGCAAATGTTCTACACTAACTTTAAGAGGTTTAAAAGAGCTTTTTAAAACGTTCAAAATATTCGTTGATTACGACAATACGCTTGGATAAGTGGACAATGTATTATAAACATGCAGCCAAGTTACATAACTGCATGTAGATTATAAATGAGCTTTTCTTCAATTTTCGAGTTTCCATTCTCAAAATACTACATGCGGGAAGGCATTTTCCTGGCAATTTGTTGCGCAAAAAACTAGTTGAGGTTTTTGAAGAATTGTCGAACCAAGTCCAACTTAACTATTCCCATGATAAAGCATTGAGAAGGTCGCTAAAATTTAAAGGCTGAATTCAAGAGCAGATTAGCAGAAATGTCATAACTTGTATATGTTATCGATTCAAAATCAAAAAGAAAACAACATCATATTTTATTATTGTGTAATTTAATGAAGAAAAATAAAGCTATACAATTTGCAATATTCTATTCTTATATTCTGCATTTAACATTGTTTAGGCATAAAATAAAAAATAATTTTCTCACATCATCATGTACGTTATTATATATATATAATAATCTGAACAACTCTATATCTGCATACCTTGAGTTTGCGAGTGAGTCTTAAGGCGTAAATGGTACATATATAATATTATATAAAACGGCAAATAGGACTACATATATTTATATATATATATAGTGTGACTCTACTCTGTGAAATTACTCTATTATTAATCGATACAAATATTACAGAAATCTTGAATATTTAAACAGTCTAGACATATATATCAAAATGCTTCTTTTAAATCTTATAATAAACACGTAAAATAGTCATGGATAAATACTTATCTATTCTTTTTATATATAACACGGCTAGACTAAGGTAGTAAAATATGAAATCTAAAATATTTTGCTATACACAAACTGACTCGGTTTGCCTAAACGCTTTAACTGCCGATAGCCTCGCTTGTAACAACATCGAAACTTTGTTTAACTTTAAAGATAGGCGCATAGCAGTAAAGCTAAAAGCAAACAGAGCCATCTCTTGATAATGTACATAGATTTTTTGGTATTCGCACGAAAGTATACATGAAATAAATGGTGCTGTGTGCAATAATCTATACAAAAAAATCAAAGACTAAAATCCTCGCATACAAAAACCCGTTTTTGACTACAAAACTCTCCGAAGACCTGACCAGCGATCTTTTGTTTGTTCTTTATTGTACTAACTGAATTTTTTCCTCCCAAATCTTCTACTTATCATATAATAAACAGTTCATTTCGATATTATATTGTGTGGTGTAAATATACTTCAATGTACTTAACTGCTCGTCGTATGTCAGAATCGACCCAGCAATGCATTATACTGTTCAATCCTCTCACGAAATTATACGCAGAACGTGCGACACTTGTTCCTGACAAACAGGACAAGAAGAATCCTCAGTCTTCAGTTTCGTAGCACACTCCATGCAGAAGAAATTGTGCCCACACGGTACAAGCGCAGCCACGACTTCGGCAACAGAGCAAACCATGCAGTCCTTCTTCTTAGCAGGAGGAATAATGTTGTTGTTGTTCGACGAGGAATCGACTGTGGACGGTGAGCGAGAGCCTATGATACCGTTAACTCTAGGCATTTCACCGTTCACAGTCGACGTGGTTATCAAAGCACTGCCTGAGTTACTTAGCGTTCCGATTGGAGCAGTACTTGCGCTTGTAAATCGCGAGAAATTGATTGTGCTCGGGGGAAGCGAAGGCAACAATGGATCGCTTGTCAATCTTCGCGCGGTGGTATGAGGTGTTGTAGGTCGTCCACTACCGATGGACCCGACGCCATTCAAAGCCCCATTTGATGTCGAAAAAGCTGAAGTGTCCGTTTTCGTATCGGAGCTCCAAATTGACGGGGAAGGAGGCGGTGGACTCGAGTTGAAACCATTGCTGCTGGGAATAATTAGGTCGTCGGTTGGGGATGGAATAAGATCGTGGTTAAAGAAATAGCCGTTCGTTGTACCGTTGCTTGATGTAGAGAAAGGACTTGCCAGGGAATTATAGTCCGTGATTTTTGAAGAGTTGGTAAGGTAGAATGAATCTGTTGACAGGGCTCGCTGGAGGTCTCGACCACTTCGTGCGTTCGCGTAAACTTGACCGGCTTGGAAACCATTGAACGAATTAAGTGCATCGGTAGTGTTGCCTTGGAACACGTCGTCGTCTAGCAATCCGCCTGTACGAAGCACGATATGCGTTTCAATCTCTTTTCTTGCTGATTCAACGTTTTCAACGCTGCCGGTGACTTCGAATATGGGCTCTTTATCTCTAGACGGTGTCACGATGTAAGTATTTGTGGCTTGCTGTATACGTTTGATAGTCGCTCCTTTCGGTCCGACGACGAGGCCTACGACACGGTATGGAACTCGAACTTGAATCGTCGTCTGGCCTGGTCCTCCTGTCGGAGACGACGGCCCCGAGTTTAGTGTCGAATTCTTGCGTTGGGCTCGAATCTGTGAGAAATGGTTCGCCGCCGACAATATTTCTTGCTTCGCAACAACCACGTCTTCTTTGCGACCGGTTATAACGAACACAGGATCCTCGCCTCGAACCGGGGTTTTGATGTAAGTATTCGTCTTTGCTCTCAACGCCTTGATTTTGCAGCCTAGACAAAATACGAAACGTTAATGTAGACATGGATACATTATGTTTGCTTATGCACCTTTTTCCCGCTCAGGTCCTTTGTAATCGGGGGATTTTTGAATATTTCAAAATTCATGAAATATTATTGTCATGCAATTGCGAGCAGTCTGTGATGTTTTAAGGCACCACGGCTCTTTTACGGGGTTTTCAAGCATCACATCATCTTGTACAAAGAAAGTTTCGTACTTTTCTACATTTTTCGATCGTCTTCGGGCTGTTTTAATCAAATCGACAAGGGCTATATATTTCATGCTTCGTAGGCACGAGGAGTTTAAAATAATCGAGACATGTTTGCCCTTGAAATATGCTTACCTTGTCTTCCAACGATTTCGGCGACGTGCTCTGAGCTCGGGACGGCAACACACTCCGTCATATTTACACTTTTCTTCACTCTCAGTTCGTCGAAGCAGTTCGAGCCTTCATCCTCTGTCGTAAGCCCTAACATGGAGTATTCTAAAGCAAGTTGCAAAACTCTCTGGTCGGCTTCTAGTTGGCTACTCGTGCTAAGGGTCTCTGTTCCTTCCATATAGTAGCTCGTGGCTGTGGGTATAGGCATCGAGTTAGCGGAGACGGTGTCGAATCACACCACAAAACGATTTAGCCGAAGTCAATGTTGTGACAACCACGCTTCTAAAGACGTGACACATATATTGCAGAGAACATTTGGTGCAATTCATGTTTTTGACTTCGCAAGACAGCGTCCATAATGCATCGCGGCGCTTCACGCCAGCTGTGGCACGTGCTCGCGAGGACGCCTTCCGATTGGTGGACAAGTTAGAACATGCGGCAACCAAGTGAATAGCCCGTCTTAATTTGTCAAACGGCAAACAAAGTGACATTTAGGAGAGTTGACTTTCAATCAACATACTCAAGACACGAATTGTAATAAAATACAGCTGTAACACTCGCCTAGACAGTTCTATACGTTCGTTTACAGCCCGCTTTAAACGCTGTTGAAATATATTCAAGCAAAAATACCTCAAATACGACGTTTTCACTCAGTTTATGTTCATAATGACATGTAAATTCCCACAATAAAGCTCATTGTCACCTTGCTTCACACCCAAAATAAAACATTAGTATTAAAGGTTTCTCACTTCTAAACGGAACTCGCTATTAGTTATATAAAATCCTGCGCCATCGACATATAGGAAGTTTAAATCGAAATGGTAAATGTTTAAGTCTGAATAATGAGTTTGCCATCTTCCGACAGGTGTCGGGGAGCTTAGCCTATCTTAGATAAACAAAGTTCTGTTCAGGGTTTTGCATACTCATTTAATAACCCGTGGTTATGTTCCGCTCACATATATAAAATCCTGGATGGGTCTATCTAATTTCCAGGGGCAACGGCTTGATAACATGTGACAAAGTAAATAAAAAATAAAGAGAGAAGATGTAATTTATGACCGTTGGATCGGAAAAGGATGTTTTTAGCGCCACATAGACACGTCTTTTGTTTGTTATCATGTGCTTGCCAACGGTATACAGACGTCATAAAGTGCATGAAAAGATGAATATTTAACAAGCCATATTAATGCACGTGTTTTGAGGCGATTAACCCGCAAAGATGTCAGAAAATTTGTCAAATTTCGCGTTGCGAACGAAGCTGAAAGCGTCCTCCAACGCTAGCTCTTGGGGGATTATTTTTTCGATTTCTTTTCAAGCGAATATCGTAGCGTGAATTTGTAAAGAAATGCTCCACGGGAGAAGCAAACGCTTCAGCGATCATTGTGAGTTGGCAATTACGCACCACAATTTATACACGGATATTATAATGTTAATAAAGATTTTACCAGAGACTTCCTTTTCAAAGTCATTATTTCAATAAGCTTGGATCGCGTTCAAGAAAATAAACTCGAAACAGTTTTATGAAGTTAGCATCGCTTTGTTTATCTTTTTCAGAAGTTCAAACTCAATCTACTTCCCTATCATCATGAGATATCATTCATGTTCTGGCAATTTAAGAGGAGAAAATGTGCCAAATCATCATTTATGCTAACAATTCCTGTAATATGTTTTCGCCCATGTAATCTTTGTCACTTGAGCGAAACGCCTCTTTATTCCTAGCCATTTTGAATCGCAATCATTCAAGAGCTAAAGTTATGCCGGCAAAAATTACCAACGTTCGTCACTAACATTCCGGAGATTTGTATCATTATTTCTTTCGCGCGCAAAATCGTTTCTTTCAAATGTAATACTTTGCAACAGTACCAAGCGATGTAGTTTCTCTTTTGGCAAGAAACGTTTCATTGAAATATATATAGACACAATTGTATGTAACATGTATATTTATATAAATGTACGTAAAGGAAAATGTCGGGCCCTTTATTGACGGTTGATATATTCGCGACTTCAACTCTTAAGTTTTGCCGATTAAAAATAACTTGTTATCAAACTGTGTGTTGGAGCTTTTTTGCCTCTGGAAATAACTTGCATTCCAATGTTTTCAAGCAATTATTCATGAGACAATTGCAAACCACAAGGTATTCTAATGTAAATTTAAATTGGATAATTAGTTAACGTTATGGAGAAGCTAAATTCTTTCAAAATAGTGTCGACTTGACACGCCACGCATTGTAATTTCAGTCTATTCCGACTTCCCTTTGCAATTGAACGTAATTGCTATTTATTTTGTCTGCTCGAAGTTGCCAATGCACGAATGTTTTAATTGAAGACAGCAAGGTGTTGCGACGCACTTTGAGCCACCACTTGCCCGCGTGGCTATCGCGAGAGGATGTCAACGTTGATTGCTAGAAACAGGTCGAAGTGCATACACATATTCCTCAGCGTTGATAGACATGGTGATTTGCATAACGGGATATACCCCTGACCATAAAGACCTTTAGAATATTGTAGCCTTTGACAAGTAGGACGAGCAAGCTCGCAAACTGCTCTTCATCAAAACCTGACGCTATATATCTTAGTGATAACGTTGCACACCACGCGGAAAAGCCAATTTACACGTATATTTTCGAAGCGCCAAAAAGCGCGTAAAACGGTTCTAAGAAGGTGTGAAACAATTAAACACGTGTTGTGCAGGTAATGGCTTGACCTAGCTATACATACAGGTAGCTTGCACGTTTCTTGGTATCAGTTTTGACAGATAAATGTTTCTACACAATGGTTCGCATGTGCTTGTATTATCTAAGATGTAACAGTCATTGCCATGCTGGTGACAGATTACTGTGTCGTGCATGAATGGTATTTGACGAAGTATTTACGAGAAAAACAGGGTTTACATGTGATATTCGACTTAGTGCAACTCTTGTGAAGGTAATTTTAGACGTGTAGGGAGGTATAATGCGGCCAAAAATTGCCGTATCTCAGCATTGTTAATCAACCTAAAATGACCCTTTCTGTTTATATATAACCTTTCTAGTCAGGTTCAGATATATTATTTACGCCAATTCCTAGAAAATCCACATATATTTGAAACTGTATACCGACAGTAACTCTCCTATTCTCCGCTATTTTGATGTCCAAACATTGCGCTAGCAAATTCAAACTTTTACGAAACATTTATCGGTCAAAACACTTCCCTATCCCAAACTATAACATTTCATTGAAATCATGCCGGGCTTGAATGCAGACTGCGGTGCTGTTGGCTAAGACTTTGATTAAACGAATTTCATTAAATCCAGAAAACTAGTTAAATGTAATAAGACCTTAAGAGACCGTTTATTAAAATGGAATTAAGGTACTAATTTTGAGGATTAAATATTTAAGTAAGTTAAATGAAAATTTTCCAATTTTAAATGTAAGCATGTCAAAGTGATATGCAATGCAGTAATATGAACCCCATACAGAGTCTGTCTGATTTTCATTTTAACTCGAATTCCTCTCACACAACAGGTGAAGGGCGATTTTGTTTTGAGACTCTTTCAAAAATAGGAAGACATTATTTCCCATTAAACAAATGCAGTAAAAGTCGAATTTCCTCCGCATTTTAATTACACAAACGCTTGACCTTTTGCCAATCTTTTGCCTGCGTTATCTTTCATTTAAATCCACCCACAAGACTTCGCCACTTCAAGCACTTGAACACAAGAAAACGCCGACTTTCACTTCTGTCATATTATCTAATAAACTCGCTGTCATATTTTGATCATTTTGCGAGTCTGTTTACCAAAGACTTAGGGCACGAAATTTAATTTACGGCCCAGTTTGAATCGACGTGACAATCAGTTGAAGTGCTTGGCTTTCTTTTATTTAAACTCAAAGAAAACGAGACTTTATCGTCCCTTGCCGACTTTGAGGCGAATTTTATTCGCACATTCAAAGGCAGTTTCCCAACAATTATCATCATTAAATATATCTTTGTTTATATATACACTGGACAGTTAGTTATCACGGTTGGAAGAAAATTTCGAGCAATTTGACATTTCATTATTAGGCGCGCGCATAAATTCACGCGAGATCCCGCAAGCCGGTTAAGTCAGATACCGCGGGCTACGGCAAAGTCCGTCGACCTGTAAATCCTTCCTCGGCCTCCAAAAATAGACGAAAAACGTTTAAAAGACGTTTTATAATCATTTGAAATAAAAAAAATAATTGCAGCATTATTGACTGGCGGCAAGCTTTGGACGCAAATGACTAACAAAGATGTCTCCTTCAATTGGTTTATGAGGTTACGGTCGTCATGACAACCGCATAAAACACGCCATTAAGCGTAAACGATAAGCAAGCGATAATTGCCTGTTTTTAAAACATTGCGGATATATTGGCTTTGAATTGCTTTTCAATAGAATTGCGGGAAAAAAAATAGATCACGAATCACCGTTTTTTTGCACAAAGGGACGCTTGGAACGAATTCTGTCGACTCATTCAACGTCCATTTTCTACTTAAAAACTATTTTATCATTATCTATTTAAGGAGGTTTAATAGGATGATGGTTTGGGGATGGTTAGAGAGTTTTGTTTGAAACACGATACAAATTAAGTATATTGGTAGAGATTTGACTCTCTATATTATATATAGATTATGTATAGAGATTAGAGCGGTGTATATTGTATATACAGATAGCACAAGTTGCATCACATGCCAACACAGGGTAACTAACATCCTACCGTTTGTCAGCACGCATCATTCGCCTTATCTAAGAGTATTTCTTTCATTAGAAATTCTTGATGCTTACAAAATGGAATGTTGAATGTCCTCATTTCATCCAAAGCGTCATCGACGTGCTTAGAAATGAAAAAAAGATAATTGTTGTAGAGGCAAAGGAAATTTCACGCCCCTGAAAGGGGCTGTGTGTGGTGTCACAAACTGGAAGCACGTTTGACCAAATTATACGTCGCAGGTTTAGAGAACAAGCTGTGCCGAAAATAAGTGTTTTTGTAGAATCATTTACCAACCATCTGTTCTTCATGCGACTTACTTTGTTATGTGGTTCGTGTTTCTCGGTGTGATGTGAACTGAGCGGTAACAATGTGAACCTAACTGGATTGATAGCAATAGGCATGACGTTGTGTTGGTCTTGTGGTCCCCGTCCTGGTCTCTGAGGCATTCCATAGAACTGGTTATGTTTGTCAATATTCAGGAGAACACCATAGAGAACCTTAAAGAAGGATTATATAGAGTTAGAAAGAGTTGTAGGGCGTGGTTTGGTCCATGGTATGGTATGGTATATGATGGTATGGTACGGTACGGTATTGTATGGTATTGCATGGTATATGATGGTACGGTACAGTATGGTATGGTATTGTATGGTATGGTATGGTACGGTATGGTACATTGTGGTATATTATGAATAGCACAGCATTGTGTAGTACCATACAGTATTATAGCAACATAGTATATTGGTAGACAGAGTAGATAACTCACCCCACACCGTTGTAGATGTTTATTTAGGTTACTATTGATGTACGGTGAGAAAACATTTAAGTCAAATGGATCAACAATATCTTCCAAAGTCTCAACGATTTTTTCATATCTTGATTTGTACGAACCATTATCCTGAAATAAAAACCACAGCACAATTCTTAGACCCACTTTCTTATACAATTCTACAAACGCAATGATCCTAATCAAGTAGAACAAAACAGGGCACAACTTGCATCAGATGATTTGGATGCAAACCTACCTCGCTTTTGGAACGGTCCCCAAAAACTGATGACAAAAACCGAAAGTCGAACAAGGTTTGCAAAGCTCGATTTTGATCGATAACATTTTCATCCTTGTGTCGGTCCAGAAGTTTCTCGTAACTTCTCAATACATTGTCGCTCAGCCCTTGAACCAAGTCGCGTAAAATGAACCTGAGAAGAGAGGCGGATAATTTTACACGTCGATCAAAGCGCGGGGAAAAAAGAGCGGCGATAGTTCGTTTGTTTGCATATGTCATCAGGCGATGGCGAGTACAATTATGGAGCGATGTTTGAACATTTTCTGAAGATTGAACGAGCTGCTGTAATTTTTAATTGTATGAGCAATCGCGTAATTTTTTTTTATTATTAGCATGATTGAATCATACGAGCTTTATCCAGTTTTAAGGGGCATAATTTTCAACGCAAGCATCGTAGTTTCTTTACTGACAAAGCTCAGATTTCATTCAATATTTTGTAATTTTGCCAGTATTTTAGTTTAGTATTCCGGCTTAGTTTGAGTTCTTCCAAGAATATCTCGTTTGTATGCAAATACCTTTCTGTCATTTTGCCTATTTTGGGAAAATTATCAATTGTGCTTCAGTAAACTGATCGATGAAAATTCTCACATCAAACGATCAACATCCGGCGGTTTTATCATGCTAATAGAAACTTTGATAACTTGTAATTATCGCTGCATCTACAAACAATACCTGTCTATGGCGTGTCCACCCACCCGGTTGATTTCCTCGCAAAGGCTGAACAAAAGACTGGTCACGTACGATGAAATCTGATGGGAAAAATACCCCAAGAGTTAAAACGAAGGATAGCAAAACGAAGTACGCAAGCCAGGAGGAGCTCGTGAAATTAAGTGGGTGAAAAAGATGATATGGTAAACCGTATACCTGCGAGGGAACGTAAATAGATGAATGAACCTTTTGGCCTGATTCTGTCTCTTCATCAATAACAATTTCATCCCAATTCTAGTAAATACATCGTTAGAAATGACATTGGAATTAAAATATAGTTTATAATTGCATCTAGGCTGCAAGCCATAGCACGGTATCGGAGACACTGCTTATGTACATCCGCAATCTACCTGGCCGGAATTTTTACATTGCCGGGGTTTAGCCTGAAATAGCAACTGGATGGACTAACTTACCGTTGCGGAGAGAAGAGAGTTCGGGTTTTGGTCGTGAAGTAAAAATATATCAAATGATACTTGGAACATCGTGGAAACCCATTGTGACCAGATTCTATGGAAGAACAGAAACAACAGTCGAATGTGTTAGACGCAGAAATACGCACAAACTCTGATGCTATTTGGACGACAACTTTGAATGAGTTGAACGGAATTTTCGAACTAACCCAAATGCCTTCGTACAGGTCTCTTTTAAAAGCTCTTTGATTTCTTGCAATCTGTTGCTTAGTAATCTTTCTCTTTTGCGATGCGAAGTCTTTTGGTATCTGTGAAATGAAAACGAAAACGACCACCTTTAAAAAACTTTCTGCGATTTAAATACCAGTTAGATAACGTCAAATTTGAGAACTCAACCAAAGAGGTTTTGGAATATCTGACCTGGTTTTACGAGATTTTTCTTCTTTTTTCTCTCCCATTAACTCTCCAATGTTCGAGCAGTTTTCTGCAAGACCCCGACACAGTCTTGCAAGAAGAAGAACTCTGCAAAACAACGAAGAATACAGCTTATGGTCAGGATCGTAATCAGGGTTCATCATACTGCATTCAGCTACTATATAGAGATCTGTGGCTAAGAATAGCGCGCAACCCAAACAGTGAACTCTATATCAACTGGAACGATAACTCGGTCGCCATCTTTGAGGCCAATTTGTAGTCGAATTTGGCACCATTGCCTTTTTATTGCTTTTTTTCCTTTAAAACCTATGTTTTACTAAGTTTTCCAATAAATAATGAGCAGATATCACGCAAGCACCTCACCTATCAACAGCAAGGACCAATTCTTCAGTTTCTGCTCCAAATCTTGTTTTCTCCCACGGGTATTTCTTGAGTTCGTCCTCGTGCGCCTCAAGAAGCGAGTTAAAATGAGAGAGAAGATTTTTAATGGCATCCGAACAAGTTGTTTGCAAGAAATCTTCGAGAGTTTTCGATTCTCCAAATCGGTCAAATGGTCCTTCTTCATGATCGTGGAACGAGTTTTGCTAAAAAAATTCCAACATCAGACAGAGTTTTATTTCTGCTTGAGTTCAATGAAAACACTGTATTTCATTTATCATCCATGAAATTGCCTCGTCTAGTCAACTCTTTAGGTCTGTTTACACGATCCAATTTTGTTGGATCTAATTCACTTCTGATGGATATTTTATAGTCCGTTGTCTTGTAATGTGTATCAGCAGCAAATCCACTGAAGCCAATGTACTACAGCTTCATCAATAACCAACTATATTTCATACGTCAGAAGTGAATTGGATCCAACAAAATTGGATCGTGTGAATAAACCTTTATACAACTCATTACCGCTTACCCTGGATTGAGGAGTTTGGATTCCGGATTTGTTGACGTCAGCACTTTCATCGTTTCTCGCAAATCTTATGAAATAGCCGGCATCATCCAGTATATGACCAAGACGAGAGTTCAGTGACCCACACAATCTGAATATGACGATAAAAATGGTAAATACATTATTTCAGAAGGCCATGAAAAAAGGCCATGTTTATGTAAAATAGCAAATATAGCGAGGCAGGCTATATACACCCTGATTAACCGTAATAGAGACGAATGTGAATGAATTGCTAAAGATTGAAGCTTTAAGAGATGGGAACCCGATGAAAGGCCAAAGATTTTCATAACATAAATTATTTTCGACTGACTCACTGCTTATAATGAAGAATTTGAAATGCTACCTACCCTTGAATCACAGGCGTGCAGGCTTTGGTTTTAAACGTGAGTCCACCTTCATTGCGGGTTGCCTCATTCTCGAACTGCTTCCCAGTCTTTGCTGGTAAATCGCCCAGACTTTCGTGCCAAACGTACAAAGATAGATCTCGTTCCCATAAGACGCTAGGGTCTGGCTTAGATCCTTTGGAAGCCAAGTCTTCCAAAGCTTTTGTAGTAGAAGTTTTGCACGAATCCGCCATAGCCTCGAGTTGGCCATGTAATATCGCCTGATAATAAACGGTAGTTTTTAATTGGGAGAGTGTTGTGATCAGTAATTCGCAATGACTCGGATTATGAAGGGAATAATTTCGATCCATGGTGTCTAAGTGTGATTTATACTGTATTTATTACTGGTTTACCTTTGAGCGTGAAACAAACTCATCTTTGAAAAGCTCTCGCCATAAAGACAAGGAGCTCCCGAGGCATCTGTCAGTTACTGCGTCCCATTGTCTCAGTAAAGAGTTATGGTAAGAACTTGCACGGTCTTCCAGCGTCTAAATTGCGTTGAAAAGATGGAGTTATGACTTAGAGATGAGTCTATAAGTTGGTACAAAAGATTATTAGCATTTAGGTCGGGGGGGGGTACGTGTTATATAGAGGGGGGGGTAGACTTCACGTTGATAATTACGGAAATAGCTCAAAATCTTTCTAACCGGATTCATTAGTTCCCATATCGCATCACGGATGGATGCAAGCCCTTTCAAAGTCCCAACGTATTGTAGAAAATCTCCTAAGTTTTTCTTAACATCTTCAACGCATCTAGAAACATTGAATAATCATTTCAGATGCTTTATTATACCTATTGTTGTCGATGTATTCCACATGGGAAGCGCAACGTTTGAAACAGTTCATAAAGTGTAATCCTAGAATCTCGCAATGCCAAAACATATTCAAAATGAAAACTCGATGCTCACTTTTGGAACCAGGTCTTACAGTTGCTCTGAATATAATCAGCCGGAATGAAATTCGAAATGCTTCGAACGCGAGGCCGAAATCCTACATAAAGAAACAAACAAAGTTATCTTTGAGGATTAAACCCATATATACGTACATTTGCTTAAAATGTATTGAAAAAAACTTTGTATATATACGTATAACAGAATAACATTCTTACCAACGACAGACGTTGGCAAATGCCTAAGTAAGGTCAAATCAAATTCTTGTCCAAACAGTTGTTTGAGAACTAAAAAAACAGCGATTATATTTCTTATTGACTGTTAAAATTTAAAAACAATGAAACTAACAACAAATATATATGGATGAAGTTAGACTAACATTCCATAGTTTAATTTCATCCGGTTTTAAGATGAGGAAAAGGCGAATTGTGTAGAATAAAAATAATTTTAATTCTCAAAGGTTTACGGACAGCAACTTACGGTCTCCTTCGGAAGACGAGCTTTCGTTTCTTGATGTGATCTTGTTGACTGTGTCAAATAGCAATGACGGTGGGTTTTCTTCAAGAGGAAAAAAAACAGAAAAAGTGTGAGACGAATGCAGATATTTGAGGAAATTTTCGTACACACTGTATACAGATGGTTTGAAGGTATGGAGAGCGGGAATATACTGTAGCTCGTGATAAAAACAAATATGAAAGCAATTTAAACGGCATCCTGTAAAAATGAAATCTTATATTACATTACCTGATTCAGACGGCGTTGCATCCTCAGAACTGAACAAAACAAACGTTTGATAAAGACTGGACATTATCAACCGGGCCACCTCGCATAGTTGGATCTTGATTCCAGTAGCTGAAAGTCGAAAGAAACCCGTAGCGATAGTTATTATTTCATACTTTCATTGTACAGGGAGCAAGGAATTTAATTACGGTAAAAACATCTAAAAGCTTTATCCATCAAACCTTGCTGACTCGGGTGAAAGAGTTCTTGTAACGAAACCTTAAAACAAAGAACAAAAAAGAATAAGATACTCTGAACGTTTATATCATCCCATTTAGTCAAGATACTACAAAGCTTAAAATGATTTCGAGGTATTGGAATGAGTATATAACATGATCTTGGCGGTGGTATAGTCATCCCAACAATAACATGTGCACACTTGTTTGGTTTCATCAAGGACTCGTTTTAATGCCTCAAATTCATCTAACGTTTCGTTAAATCCGCGGGTAACCGTGCTCATTATTCTGAGCAACCTCTATAGAATGAGTTGGCAAATAGATTGCATGACACCCAAACTCTTTTGTGGTTAGGGGCTGCTTTCCACCGTTTAAAACCTTCTAGGTTTTTAAATAATTAATTTCATTGCAGAAAAAATACCAAATCATCCACAGAATCCAACTCTATATGAATTTATTCAATCGTTGATTTCATAAGTATCATTTAAATTATTTTAAACTTTTGCTGACGTGCGTTTACATGCGGTGGAAAGCACAGCTATTTCACTGTGAACGCCTGACAATTTTACTCCACGGTTATCAGAAGGAATGGTCTAAATGAAATACACGCAATACCTGGCGTGCAAGAAGAAATTCATTGAATACTTGACGTGGGGAACTATCCTCCAGGAACATGATGGCACATAAACATTCAGCGATTGTCTGCAGAGAAATGAAAATATGAAACAAATGGCGGGGAATAGATCAAGAAACGAGCGCTTGCAGACTTACTCACCTGCTCCGATTGCGTGTAATCTCGAAGCAATTTGCGGCTTCCCTAAAAAAAAGAAGAAATTTCCATGAAGACGATGAAAAGTATTGCTGGAGAATAGACAAATCTACCTGAAGGATGGAGTCTTTGAAGTGGCTGATCGACGACCATTGTTGAGGAAGAATAGGAAACGATGTCTGGAACAGAAAATTCACAATGGTTGAAAACAGGGATGGATTTACACCAGGAGCAGGGTGCAGGGGTGCACCTCTTAGCTTTGGGGGGGGGGCAAATTTGGGTATCAATTCAAATTTGGTGGAAATTATGCATGAAAATTAGTACCCAATAATAATTACTATGTGGGGAGTTCAGACTCACAAGAGGCTCTGACAGCTAGTCTGAGCAGCTGACCTTGTCATCTTGTTTACAATCTTTCGAACAAACAGCAGGTGTTTTAATGAAAAGCAGCTGGTCTACACCCCGCCCACTACAAAACCACAATGGATCCAGACTTGGTTGGAAACTTTTATTATTCACGAGTTCAAGACTGCTGTAGTCTGGCAGCCGGAACCTCGTTAATAATAAATATTTTCCACTAGAAAACATCTCAATATCTTCAAACCTGGTTGCACTTCAAGTATAAATAAATTAGAAGATGTTTTATATATAAGATCTTCTCTAATAAATATTTTTGAATTAACCAGTCTAATCTATTATCTTTTAGTTTTAGTCTGTTTAATATCACAACAGCACTTAACAAAGCCTGTTGTGTTGTACAATGATGCTTGGTTGAAATGTTTAAGATGAAATAGCACAGAACCAGAGCCAGCTTACCAAGAGCTTTGAACGGTTGTTGCCTCCTGTGTCAATATGCAAACTACTGACAATGTTCTGAGCAAGAAGATAAAGCTGGGCAGCTTTGAGGTATTCATGATTTTCCAAAGCATTCCACAGCTAGCAACAAAAGAACAAACATGTTAAATAACTGGTATGCTTCATTGCCAGCCATTGAAAATGTCCAAAACACTTCAATTTCAAACCTTTTCAGGAGTGTCAACAAGTAGTTTCATTTGTGATGCCACAGAATAGAACTTTCCTTTAGGTTGGTTTCTGTTATGATAGAAAATACTGGGTCATGGACATAGAACTTGGTAAGCAAGTAAAGCAACACACTAACAATGTTAGTTATGAGGGAATTGTATCCCACTTTTCATCCAGACCTACTGTAAATCTTTTTGAGGAAAAGATGGTGTATCCAACCACCTTTTTACTACATGTACGCATTTCTTACATATCACAATTATGTATTTACTGGGTGGTGGCCTGGCTAGACCCTTGCCGCAGTGAATTTGCTTTCAATACTTTGTTTAACACCATTTGTGTCATAATTGTCATTCAATACTATCACTCACACTGTTGATGGTGTTGCCACCTCTCCTGACACTCCCCGCGACTGATGTGTTTGGTAGAGCTGTTTACAGTTTCCTTGGATGGTTCTGATTGATCCATTTACCTTAACAAACAGTCATATCAAATTTGAAATATAGAAGCCATGTTGTTTAATTAAGCAGAAGGCCATATGAAAAATACATCTTGAAGTTTAAATTTTGAGAGTGGGACTTTGCATGAAGGTTTGTTATAGGCACCTGCCGCACTTCAAATATTGGAAATACCAGCTTCTAACCAACCTTGTCAGAACAATCCTTCATTTCACGGATGGTGTCAGCTGCATCAATAAGATCCCTATACCTTTCACTAAAGTCAGTTAAAATATCGATTATCCATGGTGGGTTTAATGCAAGAGGTAAGTACATTTTGCAAGCAACTGGGCGATCGTGTCAACAGGGTCGGGCTGACTGCAAAGTGCGTGCATTGAGAATGTACCAGAACTTCCTCAATAAAAAATCATGGCTTACCCAACCATGAGCCGCAATTCTTCCTTCTTCCTCTCAATATCACCTCTAAAATTTACAAGAAAACAATAAACTACACTTCACTGCACTCCCTGAACTCTCCACCTGCCCATCAACAACGATCGTTCACGAACCTCGCTCTTTTTTCCAACTCCCTGATTTCGACAACTGAATGTTTCTGGAACAAATTTTGCGCATCTTCTTCCGCATCCCACGCACCTGAAAGTTTGCAAAGAAACTACAGATGCCACGCTAAAAAACTAGCTATTTTTTACCGACAGAAACTCACCCATTCTGGAGAAATTTCCCGTGTGACGTGGCGATGTTGGAGGAATTGAAGAAGATAAATCGGTCGCCATTTTATCTCAGTCGATGATGAGCGAGCCAGCGATACGCCATGAGGAAACGTAGTGTTGTATGGTCCATTGATGGTCCATTGATGGTCAATACATATTGTCACTGGTAGATAGATCTTCTATGATTGTGGCAGAATCAGGAGTCTATGTTGACTCACTTGAGTGACTTGACTGCGCTAATATAAACTATTTATTATGCTCGCATTTCCGAATTGGTTATCCAGCTAATAAAACATTATCTTTTAATACACGTTTTAATACACTTATCAAAGTATTTTTACAGTTACCATTTATTCTTCACGTTTGCTAAGTATGTCGAAATCGAATGTTCATGAAACATGACCATCCTTTCTGATTAACAGAGTGTAGATAAAAAAAGACAGTTGATATTATGAATGGTTAAGCGGAATCTGTTTATCGGTTCTTCATAAAAAATGTCAGACTACAGTGCGGGCAATTCACGGAGAAGAATGGAAGAACAGAATTTGCATTCACATTGAAAGTCTTCCGTCGATGGGAGAATGCCTTTGAGAGCGAAAATCTTCCTCTGGGCAAAACCTCCAAACACTTTCTCCCCATGTCGAGATTCAGGAAGACATTGGCAATACTTTTCCCAGGTCCAGAGTAGATCCATTTCTTTATCGTTCCATTCGTGACACGGGTTTCGGAATAATCTTCGTCTTTTTCAATGACACCAACTTCAATCGTAGGCCCCTCTTGGAAGCATTCCGCAACATCTTGTACTTCATGGCCGACTTCAACCTTCCAGTGATGTACGCCTATAATTTTGTGTTAAAGTACCAGGTTTTAGTCAGCATTGACTCTTAATGAGAACAATAAGATCGTATAGCACATGGCTTTAAAAATGATGACCGTCATTAGAGAGTGGCACAAGTTTTGAAAGCATACAGTTTGCCATTAAAAAATGAAACAAAATATGACAGTAAATGGTTTGTTATTTTCAGTATCATACCTGCAGTCATGGGTGTATCCCCCAACCTAAAACAAAACCTTCCAACATCACCCTCTCCTGACATACAGTTGAAAATCTGCCCATTGCTCATTCGCAAGTAGCCACAGCCATGTTTGTAGTCCATCTCCCAATTCACGTCTGCATTCACTGAACAACCCGGGGCCAAACAGCCGTTGATCTTTGCTCCGAAATGAAGCGTCCCGAGCTCTTTGACAACAAATGAAATCTGGTGTGTGCCATCTGAGTTTCCCGTGTTTTGGACGTTTTGAAGCGATACGCCAGAGAAGTTTGGTTCGATCAGATCATCTCCACAGCTAGAGCTTATAATACGACCGTCGTTATCTTTGCTTGTTATAATAATAACGGATTTCTTTCCAACTTTCAGCAACGGATCTGTCAACTTTGCTTCACATCTTTCGGCACACACTTTCACTTCTTCTACAGTGATCAGCTGTTCACAGAGTAGAGATATAGGCGTTTCCTGCATCAATAAGCGAACTGGATTCCCCACGTTTTGTGCGACTTCGTCTTGGATGTCTGTCATTAAATTACTCAGATGCAATGTTATGTTCTGCTTTATTCCCAACAGTTGCACGTCACTACTGTTTTCCAAGGTGTGAGTAGCAAAATTGACGCCATTTTGACAAGTTGATAGCGCAAGATCGAGCTCTTTCTTTGATGCTTCGACCTGCTTCTTCTGGTTGTCTGAAGCGGAGGCGGAGATCAGCATTAAGTTCAACTTTTGTGCTTCAATTTCCTTGTGCAGCTGCGCGAAATAGGCTTCAATTTGAACATTGCAGGCATTTTCTCTGTCTTCTATATCTTCTTTTTTCTCAACTGCCCGTTGGATCCCAGCCGAGATCGTTTCCATCCTTTTTTCAACTTTCCTAACTAGATTCTTCACTTCGTCCTTTGCCTTCCCAGCGCTTTCTTCAACCGACTTAATCTTGTGCTCTTTATGTTCAAGAACAGTACAGCTTATACAAATGATCATCTTGCAAGTGTGACAGTAAAATTTAATCAGTTCATTGCGGTGGACACTGCACTTCACAGCTCGCGCGTTCTCGGCTGGTTTGTTGTCCTTCAACTTGTCTTTTGATAAAAGGAAATGGCTCCTTGTGTCCCCGGATCTTTGGTGGGATTCGGCGCAGGGATTACACAGGAACTGTAAGCAATCTTTACAGCGTTTTTCTACAGTTTGTTGCTGATCGCCACAGTTGTCACAAACTAATGCCGGAGCGTCGCTGTTTTCGGTCAAACTCAACGTCGCCAAAACGTTGTTTGCAAAGAAATTGGTTGGCAGCTTGGAAAGATCAAGCAAGTGACCGGGCTGTTAGAAACAAATCAAAGTTGGTATACGATAAGTAAACTGATAAACCTGGAACGCGTGATCGTAGACTGAATTCATCTACCCAGAACTAATGCACAGTTAACTACCGACTCAGTAAAAACATCCTTTTCACTATCGGCAAAATCATGCTTTACGCCTAGTTTCCATTTAGTTACCTTTCGCTGTAACGACAAGTGAACATGACCGATCACTCCGATGTGAAATAGTGTAAATTAACCTCTTTTACGTATAGTGTATGCAAATCGGTCTCTTCAGTCTTGGATCGCATGCAGAGATTGATCGTTGACGACATTGACCGACACTATCATGCACATCGGTCACTTGGCCATGTATGTATAGCGCTGGTAATATATTGGTTATAACCAAATTGAAATTAGGTCTTAAGTTTAGATCTTTTGGAAACGTTACAGTGGCCATGCAATGTTGCTATTGTTAATGAGCTGCTTACCTTCACTGGCGCGAGACATTCCGGGCATTCCAAGCCAGATTCACGTTTCGAAAGCTTTACGATACATTTATAACAGTATGAATGAAGACATGGAAAGACTTTTGGGTTGTCCAACAGTTCATAGCACACAGCACATGTGACAAGTTCCTCAAAGTTTGTACGTTTTGAGGGGCACTCCGCCATATATCTTGAGAACAATATTTGTTTTCTAAAATTCACAGGACAAGAGTTTAATGAACATAAGGGTACCGCCGTACCGGCCTAAAAAATTCCCAGACGGCGGTGTTGGTACTGCTATCTTACTGATTTCATTTAACAGCCCATGCATACAATAATTTAACCCGTGAATCAAAGATTTAAAAGCAGACAAGTCAGACGATTCCTGAATTGCTCTGGACGTCTAAGAGGGACTTTTTCGGTGTGTACAGAGCAGGGGCGTATCATCAACGCGAAATTGATCGCCAATAGTCGGGATTACTCTAATGTTTGCGGTTCTGATACGCAAATAGTGCACAAGTTGCTCCCAGTTGATGTTGGAAAAAAACAGGGTTTAGCACCGTTCTGCGTTCTGCAGTTCTGGGGCCGGTTGTTCAAAAGCCGGTTAACGCTAACCCAGGGTTAAAAATGCCTAACCCAGGGTTAAATTTTAAACCTTGGTTAATTTGCGTTGCACAAAGCTCGGTTAGCGTTAACCCTGGGTTAAAATTGATAAAAAACTTAACCCTGCTAGCTAGGTGGGTTAACTTTTTAATCCTGGGTTAACTTCGATTCAAAATGGACGAATAAGGAGCTGAAACACGTAAACACATATAATTCGTCATGAATTAAACACTTTTGAAAGGTTTTACGAATAATTTCGACAGCAAAGAATTATTTAAGTTTGACTTCGTTCGGTTTCAGCTGATGTATTGATTTATTTATCTTCGCTTCAATGCAATACACGATAAATGAATACAACCGTACAAATTGAAAGATTTTAATCGAAATATTTGTTTCGGATGCCAAAATTCGATTCTTTTGATTATAAAGTGAGTAAAATATAGATTGTTTTTAATTTGCTCGATTTTATTTCACGTCGACATTGTTTATTATACAAAATGGCCTTTCATTTCGAATCTTTCCAAAATTCCATGCACGGAAATTGCTGTTCAAAACAACGTCCCTGCGACCCTGCCCTCACGGCATATAATCTTTCGACTGAATATATCCTCGTCGGGTAAAGTTTTGACGTTCGTTTATTGACCAATCGAAAACGTTCTTATATCCAATTTAGTCCTTAAAATACATTTATTCTTAGGTTAAATATTTTAACCCTGGGTTAACTAACCCTACCGCTAACCCTGCTTTGAACAACACAGTTTTAACCCAGGTTTAGCTAACCTAGGGTTAAGGATTTTAACCCAGGTTTAGCACTAACCCAGGGTTAAATTTAACCTGCTTTTGAACAACCGGCCCCTGCTGTCATATATATCATGAATGGCTTTAACAATTCTTCTTACAACACATAAAGCCAAGTTGTAACAACGTTTTTAGCAAGCATGATTGTGAAAAAGCATCACCACAATAATTTGTTTGACCTATTTCCATCAATTAGCCGGAGGTGATCTTTAATCTCTGTTTGCGTAAGATTTTTGTGTGCTGGATTATAAACAAGTCGTGCATACTTACCAGCTTGGTGTCCTTCGTATCTAAATACCGCTGCCTTGTATCACAATGGCTATAGTCCAAATCAAGCCTGAAAAGAAACACTCCGACGGCAAAAGATCGTTCGCATCATTTCATTTATGAATGAAAATCGATGTCTTTTCTATAAGACAATATCTATGGTAAGTAGACTAGGGAAACCAAGGATTTCCTAAGAACAACAAAATGATAAAACACTCTGCAAGAGATCTCAAAATATAATGAAAGTTATATCAATAAAATTAAGATTGTTATATAAAAGACAATACAGGCTGATTCGCTTCGCTAAAGTGCAATCGGTGATGCGCGCGAACTTTGAAATTGCATTAAATAACCCAAGACAATAGATGCAAATATTGCGTATGGGAAAGGCTTCACAAAATTTCTTTGAAAAGCCCAGATGCCGGCAAATGAACGGCATGTATTTGCACAAATTACCCCTCGATATCACTTTTTATCATCTTATAATTATCATCTTTCCGGCTAAAGAGATATATTATTACTATACTTCTTCTTTCTCATCTGCTGAAATACGCGCTGATTTAGCCTGATTATGCGATCAATTCAGAATCTGTTTATCGGTTTATCATAAAAAATGTCAGACTACAGTGCGGGCAATTCACTGCGAAGAATGGAAGAACAGAATTTGCATTCACATTGAAAGTCTTTCGTCGATGGGAGAATGCTCTTGAGAGCGAAAATCTTCCTCTGGGCAAAACCTCGATATCCAAACACTTTCTCCCCATGTCCAGATTTAGGAAGACATTGGCGATATTTTTCCCAAGTCCAGAGTAGATCCATTTCTTTATCGTTCCATTCGTGACACGGGTTTCGGAATAATCTTCGTCTTTTTCAATGACGCCAACTTCAATCGTAGGCCCCTCTTGGAAGCATTCCGAAACATCTTGTACTTCATGGCCGACTTCAACTTTCCAGTGATGTACGCCTATAATTCAGTTGTGTTAATGAGAACAATAAGATCGTATAGCACATGGCTTTCAAAATGATGACCGTCATTAGAGAGTGGCACAATTTTTGAAAGCATACAGTTGTTCATTAAAGAATGAAACAAAATATGACAGTAAATGGTTTGTTATTTTCAGTATCATACCTGCGGTCATGGGTGTGTCCCCCAACCTAAAACAAAACCTCCCAACATTACCCTCTCCTGACATACAATTGACGATCTGCCCATTGCTCATTCGCAAGTAGCCACAGCCATGTTTGTAGTCCATCTCCCAATTCACGTCTGCATTCACTGAACAACCCGGGGCGGAATAGCCGTTAATCTTTGCTTCGAAATTAAGCGTCCCGAGCTCTTTGACAACAAATGAAATCTGGTGTGTTCCATCTGAGTTTCCCGTGTTTAGGATGTCTTGAAGCGACACGCCAAAGAAGTTTGGTTCGACCAGATCATCTCCACAGCTAGAGCTTATAATACGACCGTCGCTATCTTTGCTTGTTATGATAATAACGGACTTCTTTCCAACTTTCAGCAACGGATCTGTCAACTTTGCTTCACATCTTTCGGCACACAGTTTCACTTCTTCTACAGAACAAACATTCGTGATCAGTTGTTCACAGAGCAGAGATATAGGCGTTTCCTGCTTCAACAAGCAAACTGAATTCCCCACGTTTAATGCGACTTCGTCCTGGATGCCTGTCAAATTACTCAGATGCAATGTTATGTTCTGTTTTATTCCCAACAGTTGCACGTCACTACTGTTTTCCAAGGTGTGTGTAGCAAAATTGACGCCATTTTGACAAGTTGATAGCGCAAGATCGAGCTGTTTCTTTGACGCTTCGACCTGCTTCTTTTGGTTATCTGCAGCTGAAGCGGAGATCAGCATTAGGTTCAACTTTTGTGCTTCAATTTCTTTGTGCAGCTGCGCGAAATAGGCTTCAATTTGAACATTGCAGGCATTTTCTCTGTCTTCTATATCTTGCTTTTTCTCAACTGCCCTTCGGATTCCTGCCGAGATCGTTTCCATCCTTTCTTCAACTTTCCAAACCAACTTCTTCACTTCGTCCTTTGCCTTCCCAGCGCTTTCTTCAACCGACTTAATCTTGTGCTCTTTATGTTCAAGAACAGTACAGTTGATACAAATCGCCACCTTGCAAGTGTGACAGTAAAATTTCATCAATTCATTGCGGTGGACACTGCACCTCAGAGCTCGCGCGTTCTCGGCTGGTTTGTTGTCCTTCAACTTGTCTTTTGATAAAAGGACATGGCTTCTTGTGTCACAGGATCTTTGGTGAAATTCGGCGCAGTCAGCACACAGAAAGCGTGTGCAATCTTGACAGCGTTTTTCTACAGGATGTTCAGACAGTTCACAGTTGTCGCATATTAAGTCCGGGGCTTCACTGTTCTCTTCTAAACTTAAAGTCGCCAAAACGTTGTTTGCAAAGAAATTGGTTGGCAGCTTCGAGAGATCTGGTGGGTAACCGATCTGTTATAGAAATGAAATGAATCAAAAGTTTTATGATTTTTAATTTGAAAGCAATCATATATTGCAAACAGCAGCAGCTGTAAGTGTGGACCAGTTTACTGGCTCAGACCATCAGTGGTTCAGACATCAGGAATTCTCGAAACCCTTCGCCTGAAGCTAGTTTCAATTTCCTTCTCAGCCTCTAAACCGGCTTTGAATTGTTTTACACTTGTCGTATAAAATTCTGATGAACTTTTGCACGCCAAGGAAGGCTGCACTTACAGTGGCAACTTAAATTCACCTCAACGCAACAGTTTATAAACTCCCGAAACGAAAGCCGACCAACTATCGTTCAAACTAGATGGAAAACTACAAAACATACCTCCACAGGCACACAACATTCTGGGCACACCAAACCAGGTTTACGTTTTGCAAGCCTGACGATACAATTATAACAATACGAATGAAGACATGGAAAGACCTTCGGGTTGTCCAACAGTTTATAGCACACAGCACATGTGACAAGTTCCTCCAATTTTGACAAGGTACTGACAGGCAATCTTTTATCTCTAAAATATGGAGGGGGCACAGAATTTTTGAATTTTGATCATTCGTTCGGTTCCCGTTTGTGTGTCTTACAAGGTTCTGTTGACCGTAAAATATTAAATGTAACATTGGTATATAGCCTATACATTTAGATTCAGATGCCAAAACTTTCATAACAGAAAAATCAAACTGAGTTTCACAAACATACATGCGGAAATTCAAAGGCTATAGCAACGAACACAACTATTGATGGAAACACACAGGTTTTTTTTAAGGTCGGCGAAAACATGATTGAACAATGTTGCTCTCCAAATATGGCTGTTAACTTTTCAGCCTTGAAGCAGAAGAACTAGTACATGTTGCAAGAGCATCGTTGCTTGTTAAACAATCAGTTATGAGTTGTGTGGGACAACATTATTTCCTGGAGGGCTATTGATTACTGCAAACAAAGCACATTCCGCGATAAATAACGATGATGGAAACCAAATGTAAGATGTTGACGACAGAATAGCAACTGCTGTTGAATCGAGGGAAGCTACCAAAGCGAAAGCATGTATACAACTCAAATTACCTTATCTATATCTTGTAGTCTAACCTCATCACTCCCCGTTCAACAAAGACATATCGGCACTCTCTCTACGTGACTTACGTCTTAAGTTAAATGTGACAGCTTCCCTAAATTCTTGTCGTGCGTGGCAAAGCAGCTAGCTGAGTTCAGCTGCCAAAAATAGGCGATTTAATCCCTCGAAGTTTCCGCGATCCAACTATAAGTGCCTTTATCAAGATAGTTACGAAGTTTGCGAGGCATAACACTAATTTCGAAGCTCCTTGGATCATTCATGAGATTTTTGTGTCTTTTAGACCGTTCCTATAAATTCTAGTTTTATGAGAAGATACTTTTACCTACGTAATGACCTACAAGCTAATTTACTTATATACGGATGCATTCAAATTGCATTAGCAACGCGTCAAATTAAAACCAAGTGGCAAGTACTGCGTCTGTGTTTCCGCCTAAGAAAAATAAAGCTACATTCTGTATAACAGTTATAAGGTATCACTATTGAAAACAGCTGTTTCTTAGCAAAAAATTAGTAACAACTTCCTATGCGTGGTCGAGTGTGGATGAGCTACTTTTATGGCCAGTCACAAAACTGACAAAAGTCTACTTTGCACGTTGCTGCATTTTAAAGGTGTTACCATGAAGTTATATATCTCAGTTTGAATTGTATTACGTACATACACGGGTAGCCACTACGAATATAGCAATATATCTTAGGTAAAGATGACTGCAGCGGTGCGGTGCGACTGAGTAGGGGTATATTCAACACTACATCCAACATTCATCAATTTGAGGGGGGAACTTCAGATGGACGGATATAGTCTAAACTTACCTATTCTTTTGTACAACTTATATTGCGAAAATCACGAATTACAGAAGTTATTAGAAAGCATACAGAACTAACCTGTTTAACCTGTTAGATACGGTCTTTCCTTCCGTGTCGATGGCGTCCATATTTCATATTTTGCTGTCACGGTTACATCATTGCGACCTGATCGATCGGAACAAGTCGCAACTCGCAATACATCATCTCTCTTCGTACATTAACTGTTGCTCTTAGTGACGTCAAAGGCAGAATATATACGACGTTTATTAGCTTCGTAAAACTAACGGGTCATCAAATCTCGTTTAGTATCAGATTTTTCTCCCTCGATGCCGTTACGAGAAGATACTGACTTATTACTATGTTGTTTTGTTAAAGTGTCTGATTTTTTGCGAGCCATACTGCGCTCTGGGGCTGTTAGAATCTTCATAAACTTGGCAGCAGTTAGTTTTCAAATTCCAAGAATTTATTTCCTTACAAATTTCGAGCAGGATTGAATAATAAATTAACGCGTGGTTTTCATCACTAGCAGACAGACAGAAATTTTTATTGTCGGTGGACAACGAAGCATAAAATATTTTGTCTGTCGGAAATTTTCACATCCGACAATGAGCCAGAGTGATGACAACCAGGCATAAAACACGACATCACGAACGTAATGATTTCTCTATATAAAATACAAAGTGATTAAACACCAACAATTCGTTGTATGGAATTATAACAAAGTTAATCAAACCATTTTCATTAGTCATTGTTCCACAAATTAGTGTCAGGGTAAAAAATCTCATGTAAAGGCTTGTTCACAAGATCCAATTTTGACGGATCCAATTCACTTCTGATGGATGTTTTATAGTCTGTTGACTTGCAATGTATATGGGCAGCAAATCAACCTAAACCAACACAGTACTGCTTTATCAATAACCTACTTCATTCCATCCACCAGAAGTGAATTGGATCATGTGAACACAACTTAAGCTACCTATTATTTGGTTCTAAATTTAAATTGATTTTGCAAAAATTCTCGCTGTTTCTATTTACACAGTTCCAAGCGTTTATAGTAGACCAGAGTGTCCCAACTACTAACATCAACGTTCACTGATATTCCAATATTCTTTTTACCAAATACATTGTAACTGTTAAACTGTGCTTTCCAACAGCCAGCTGGTAAATAAACAGACATTGTAGTCTTTTTACTTTCCAACACGGGTGCAACAAGGTAGGTATCTCCCAACATGAACTGTGAGTCATTCTTCAAGGCATCCGGATCTGTCGGCGCAACCCACCATAGTGGGCGAATGATAGGCGCGCCAGTCAGGGTGACATTTTTAAAAGCATCCATTATGACAGGGGATAAATCTTTTCGCTTTTTAAACAGATTCTTGATGATTTGTGATGACTGGTTGAAGCCAATATCCCATGGTGCCCTGTCAAACTGTACACTCGGAAGGAACATGCTAACTTGCATCCAACGAATGTAAAGTTCCTTGTCCACATCACCATGGAGACCACCAATCACTGATGGCAAAACATAAGGGTATCCCATGATGCCAAAGGTCAACAGAGTTGGGATCAAAGTCCTTAAACCATCCCAAGTTGGTTCTTTACTCTTCATTCCTACAAAAATTGGGAGTGTTTGAGTTTGATGACCAATATGAACATTTATGCCTGCCATGCTGGCTGCAAAGTTTGCATACTCAATCGAGAAGCGACCAGGATCCATAGACGTATTGTGAAAATTATAACAAGAAGGTAGATGGCTGACATCCCCTCCATAAAAGCCAAATGAATCAATGCCATTGTTCTTAGTCAAGTTAACCAACTTTCTTTTAAACCATTTTGTGGCATTTTCTTGCAACAGGTCAATGCAAGCCGAGAGTGAGTTTCTCCATTTGATGAGGCCTGGGACTTCTCCTCCACAATCGTTTAGAAGATTGCCCTTCTCGGCAGCTTCTGAGAACATCTTTGAAGTAATTTGGAGGTAGGGGTTAACATTCATTGACACATTACAATGCAATTTACTAAATCTTAGTTCATTAATCTCCTTTCTTTCCACTCTAGAATTAAATTGTTCCCAATTTTTACCACTGATGACCACATTTCCACATGAATAAGACTTCAGAATCTTACCCTCCAAATCTGCAATATCCTTTGATATATTATCAGATTCGCTGCTAATTATCCACGAGGGTTTCTTAATCAGGGCCTCGTTTGGAACAACACTAGGCTTACCTAGGAACTTCCTAATCACCCTCAAATGCAAGTCTCTGAGGTTATATCCAGATAGAACTCTGTATGCAAGATAGGATACTACCGGTTGAAGGTAACCTGTCGGGTCAGATTTTAAACACAACATTCCATTGTTGTTTTCATTGATGCTAACGTGCAGCGGTACAGATTTGTCAACTATAATTGCAATTCCATTAGAACTGAGCCAATATCGTTCCAATACAGGACCAAAGGTTGCTTTGGATTCTTTATGGGAAGCAGGAAGGCTTTGAGGGACATATTGCATCATGTTAACTTGCACCTTTTCCATCGGCCATTTCTGCCAGTAAAGTTCAGCACCACCGTACCAATGGGACCCGGCCAAAACAAAACAATCCATAAACACGATAGGTTTATTAGAAGAACTCGTCCAATTCACAGCAAACGTGAGATTTGATTCTTGTGTCAACGTCAAAGACACTCCATCAGGTGCGACGTATTTAGACTTGCTGTGTGTTTGTGTTAAGTTTGAAGTCATTTTTAGGCCGACTTGGGCAGTAAGCGCATATTGATCGGTCGCATTTTTAAAATCGATCTGTTTGTCTTTAAGACTGAACCTTGCTGTACCAAAGTAGGAGACGTTATTGTCGTGTTTGCTATCTGAAACTCTTAATTTAAAAGCCAATATAATTAATACAATCAGTATAACGCCAAGGATACCAATAACAACTTGCAAAATTCGTCTTCTTACAAGGGAACGGGTTTCCCAAGCAAACAAAGCTCGATTTCTGCCCTCTGTTGTTCGTATTCCATCATCCTTGATAGAGAGCGTGTCTGCATCTCTTTCGTTGCCGTAAAATAACGTCGCCGCTTCTGTACCAGGTGTTTCGCTTCGCGTAAACGCAACAGCCATCTTGATTTCAAAAACACTGCGCTGGTCTGATGTTTGGAGGGGGGAAGACACCTCACACTTTGCATGAGATGAGAATTCTTGGGGTTTACCTTGTTTGTGAAATCTTGATGGATGAGGAATTTACGCTACTACGTACTACCGAAATGGGATCAGCTAAAGAGAAAGAAACTCAAGCGAGAATTATTTGTGTAGGATTTTGCAAAGCTATTCGAGCGTAACAAAACTAGGCCTCTTCGTGACACCCCCCGGAAAAAATATTGGAATGTTATTATGTAACACAAAGAATGCTGCTACGACTACATGAATTAGAGTTTTTTATACAAATTTATATATTTATACACCTGTGCATATTAAATAACTATAGTATTGTAAAATATCTAATTATCTAAATCCACACAACCATTATTTACAACTTGTACTTGCAAACATTATTTTATTGCTTACAAATAAGACATTCAAAGTAAACTACAGTTTTTAAGTTAACATAGAAGTTGATCCATTGTCCGACCTCGAGTTCATGTTTGATTCCCTTCCCAAACATTTCCCTCCACACACCTTTGGGGAGATACACTTCATGCTGTTTAGCTTGAGGCCACAAGACTGGGGCAATTAGGTAAATATCACCCAGCATAAATTGTGCGCCCAGATGATGCGTCACTGGATCATTGGGAGCCAGCCACCACATTGGTCGAACAACAGGAGCACCTGTATCTGCAGATTCCTTAGCAATGCTTACAATATTATCCCACAGCATATACCGGATATCCAGTATATCTGCAGACGCCTGGACTGTCTCGCTATCATCAAGTTCCCATGGATACGTAACAAATTCCATGACTGGGAAAAAGACGCTGAGCTGCATCCATCTAATGTACAGCTCTTTATCAGTTTTTGAAGACTCTATTGACTTGCCACCAATTGGTCCAATGGTTACATATGGATAACCAATTATTCCAATACTTAACACCATTGGTATTATAGACCTTAAACCGAAATCTTTATCCCAACTCGGTGAACGGTCTGCAATCTTTATTACCAAAGGGAGAGACTGGGTTTTATAACCCACTTTGATATCTGTACTTTTGCTTATGCTTGCTGCCACTTTGGCATAATTCTGCACAAACAAACCTGGATTTCTCCCATTTAATTTATATTCTGTAACAGGAAACTCCAGGTTTCCACAACAGAATCTGATTGTTTCGATGTTAAATTTCTTTTGAAATTTTTCAACGTTTTCACTGAACCAGTTCCTCGCTTTCATTGTAGTCAAATCGACCGAATGCGTCTGCCAGTTGCTCTTCATCAAGAACTCTTCAGGTACATGTTGTTTCTTGCTGAAAATTGAATCAACTGTGGCCATGACTCTTAATTTACGAGCCTGGATCTCTTTTATGAGACTTTTCGCATTAGGAAAGTCTTGTTTGTTGAACTCCAAACCTTGCTGCAAGCCCAAATCAATGTGTCCACAAGAGAATTGACGAATGACTATAGATCTAAAGAACCTCGTTAGTTTAACTTGGTTTGGTGATTTGAGTGCGCAAATTGGATACCTTGTTATTGAGCTACTTAACGACTCGGATGGTTTATCAAAATATTTTGAACTAACAAACTGATGGGTTGATTTTAAACTATTTCCAAAGCACATTCGGTACTTCAGGTGTACAGGTTTTGGATGGCCTGGATAACCCTCGGTATCCGCTTTCAGACATAATTTCCCATTCCCCTTCTCGTTTATGCTAACATGAAGTGGTACAATTTCATCGACAAAAATTGCAACACCACTAGAGCTCAGCCAATAAGGTTCAATAACAGATGTAAAATGTTGATTACCCATATCCTTGTAAACTTTCGCATAAAATGGGGACATGTGTAGATCAGCCTTATTCAAAGGCCAGTTGGGTATATTCAGTTGTCCACCCCCATACCAGTAAAAGTTACCCAAATTGAAACAGTCCATTGGTGTAAAAGGTTCATCGGTTATGCTATCCCAATCAACCGTTATACAGTTTTTATCCCCTTTGATTATGCTTTGCATAATATTCCCACCCCAAACGTAATGCAGGCCGTCCTTTTTGCTTTCCTCTGGATTTGAATAAGTCAAGTCGATATTTATACCCAGATTACCTTCAAGAATCGTATCACCTTTCAAATTTCGAACTTGTATTTCTCTTGTTCTTGGGTCGAATCGAAACAAGCCTCGATCGTCCTTACTCCATGGCTTCCTCAGGCTGCGTTTGCGACGAATTGACGTTAAAATAAACAGCAATGCTATAAAGAAAATCACGAGCAATGCTGTTGATTTGTTCCGTTGGTAAAATGAACGCATTTCGCAGGAAAATAAAACGAATGTACGAAACTTCTCAAAGTTGCAAATTTGTAAAAAAAGTAGCAATTATTTTCTGAATTCTGAAGTTCACAAAAATATGTGGCCGAGCTTTCCCAGTCCCCAACAATAATATTACGCAATACTTGAGATTACTCTATTTTAGATTACGTCATAAGAGTGACGTCACACATACAGAGATAATTAGTTTGAAGATTGAATTACTTCTACGTTTTTGACAGTATCAAAAGTTTTCATTAGTTCATTAGTTCATTAGTTCATTATACCTTAATACTGAAAAAATTGTTTGTGATTCCTTTGTTTTAAAAACTGGTTATAAAATAATCTTTATACATAGGGAACTTTCAGTTCAGATTACTGTTGAGTGGCAATGTTTTTAAAGTAGTACACATCACCTAGTGCAGTGTTGTTATAGGTAACTATACCACCTTCTGCCATGTTATGTGTAGCTCTGTTACCAAACTCTTCTATCCAGACACCCTTGGGTAAATACACATTATGGCCTTGCGCACCTTGGGTCACAACTGGGGCAACAAGATATACATCCGTCACCATAAACTGCTGGTCAACAGTAAGGGCGAGTGGATCATTCGGAGCAATCCACCATAAAGGGCGAATGATTGGGTCACCTGTCTGAACCGCATTTTCCATGCCTTCACGCAAGGTTGGCATGATGCTTGCTCGAATGTTCATGACATTATGAGCAATGGCAATAGTTTCATTGTCAAAATCCCAAGGGGCATGGGAGAACTGCATTGATGGAAGAAAAGCATTGAGCTGCATCCATCGTATGAACAATTCTTTGTCAGGATCACCATTTCCACCAATCATATCTGGTAAAATGAAGGGATAACCAAGAATTCCAAATGTCAACACAGTTGGAATGACAGATTGTAGGCCCATTGCACTATCCCAGGCAGGATCTCTGTCAAGGAACCTCACAAACACGGACAAGTCCTGGCTATGGTCAGCGACACGAACTTCAACTATGTTATTAATATCCGAAGCAAGTTTTGCATATTGTACAGAGTAATCCGATGGTATTTTACTACCATTCAAATTATACTGGAATGGTAGGTATGATACAGAACCAGCATCAAATTTGAAGGAATCAATGGTGTAATCCTTTTGAAATTCTTTTAGTCGATTTAGGAACCAATCATAAGCGCTGGGTTTCGTCACATCAATCGCAGCTGCGATACCTTCCCACCACATTACTAACCCAGGGGTCCTATCATCTCCTCCCAGAACAAACATGCCCAATTCACGTCCCTCCGCATATGCCTTCGATGTCATTTCAGCAAACGGATGAACCCACGTCGTAACACGGCAACCTGCTCTATGGATCTTCTCAATCATATCTTTTGGTGTCGGAAATTTGACTGGATCAAAATCCAAATCGCCATATTTTGTTGTGTAGTTGTTGTCAATTTCAAGTTGACTACACTTAAAGTTATTTGCAACAATTTGATCAACAAACTCTTCAACATCTTTCTGGTTCACTGCAGCATGATATTTCACCCAGGTTGACCACACTGGATCTTCCATCATTTTCAAATCAATTCCACTTGTCAATTTCTTGAAATACTTTTGGGCCATTGCTTGATGAGTGGTCTTGACATTATCACCCTTGCAAACTGTATAGTTCAGCGTAGGTGGTACACTTGTTTTTGGATACTGATTTGGGTCAATGCTAAGACACAGTTTATCAGGCTGTTTCTCCATGTTTATACCAACAACCAGCGGCGAGAGTTGGTCAACAACAATGGCAATCCCTTGTGAATTAACCCAGTACCTCCCTAATATTGGACCAAATGCGTTCAGTTTCTTGTAATAGGCATTAATCGTGTCCTGCGGATAATACGCTGCCATTTCCATGACGGATTTTTCAAACGGCCAAACTTGCTGATATAACTCTGCTCCGCCATACCAATTTCTACCACTCAAAAAAAAACAGTCCATAGGATAGTCGTCGATGTCTGTCAATCCTGACCAGTGCAAGGAAGTGCAATTATTTCCCTGATCTTGAACGACAAGTGCAAGGCCGTTTCTCCAAATATATTCAACCCCACCTTCGATTGGGTGACTGTACATTTTCTCGTGCACGTTCAGTCCAATTTCAGCAATAATTGAAGATGGATCTTCGTGGTCAACCAAACGGATGTTCTTTCTGCCATCGTCGAATAAGTCGACAACACCACAACGGGCCTGTGGTGTGTTGCGTTCGCCATAATTAGTTACGATCAGAACACACAAAATGACACCAATTACAAACAGTATAAGTGCAAGCCCCACTAGTTTAAAAATAAACCGGCTTTTGTCTGCTTTCGTGCCTGAAAAACTTAGTTTCGATACCAGCTGTATTTCGTCAAACTCCTTCTTCTTCGAAGCCATTTTTGTTTTGAAATGTCACGTGTTGTTTTGTATCAATCATGTGATTGACATTAACTCACTGACCTAAATACATTATCTGTGTTATACCACAGTTACACAGGTGTTCTTTAACAACACATAACGTGTTACAAATCTGTCAAATTACTACACAGGCTATGATAGATTTGTAACGTTATTAGACCTCTGATTACACAGTAGTTATGCCATTCATGTCCAGAATCCACGAGTATAATCTTTAGGTTTAATCCCTGAAACCTGACTCTAATCCTTACCCAACAACAAACTCTAAAGGATTAAGTTTTATCTCAGGATTATGATCAGGATTCAACAGTCATGCGTAGCCCCTTGATTTTCTTAGTTTTTCACGATGAATCTTTGATGTAATGGATTATAACGGATTAAGAGATATATTTAGGGTTAACGTTGTTAGCAACGCTCTCGTTTCTGAGTTAATTAAGGCAAATGCAATTTGAATACATAGTTTGTTATTTACATCCGTCTAACATGTTAAGTAATGTGGCTTATTCTGAACACAACTGACGATGGCGCCTACGCCATATACAACAGAATAATATGTCCAAGTCTTTCACTACGAAATTACACATTTTTCATCGTTCGCCCCGCCAGCACGCATCTGAAGCAAAAGAGAGGTAAATTACAATTACAACAGTTTTCTCACAAGAAGTCTAAAACATTGACTTACCAATTTCGTTCGACGTCGTGTGGTAACGGAATCGTTCGCCCCTGAATCGGGATCATCGAATGTGGTTACAACTGCTTCTTCCAACAAACTAGCTACTTCCTGCAAGACAAAAAAATATTGTCTTATAACTTGACAAACACAGTATTCATTTGAAATCACACTGCAGTATGCTGTATTCCTAATTGTACCCGTGTTTAACAAATGTAGACGATTGTACCCCTGTGTAAATGAAGGTTAAATGAATCCAAATGAAAAGTAAATATATGCATCTCAAATACAACACCGCCTGTCCAATTAATCCATGCATTATAGAGATGGAATTTTAAATAGATTAAAACTAGGCTTAAGACATCAAGTGTGTCAAGTCGATTTTCACTTTAGCGATATGTTAATGATGAATATTAGTGCTTGACAATGCATCTTGCTAATGTTTGCCACGTTCTATTCAAATACCATTCACATGGTCAGAATCTCGCCGAAAAATTAGAAGTACAATGAAAGTTTTCAACCATTTCAACTTAATATAAAACTGTGAAACTTAATTTATAATTTAGAACTTTTCACTCAGAACTCGATTTAAAAATTATTTACTCCTTATAACTGTACACGGAAATTCTTGTAACTTAAAACTGTAATTTATTATAAAAACTCTTGGTAATCTTTTAATCCAACAACAGACGCCAGTAATCTGATTTCGAAGTCATGCAACTGTTGGTATTCGTCAGCGAATTGAAACAAGGAATTACACACCTTTCCTTCTGTGTCCGTGATCGTGGTCTTAACCCCCTTACCAGTTCCCCACGATGACTGTTGTCTGAATACAAGATCTGTTGGCGGTTTGTGCTGGCCACCACCCTGGTTGGCCCAAATCTGTGAAGAACAAAATAAATCACTGAATAAACACGATAACTCTGACTGAGCGTCTAGGAAGGAAAGCAGAACTCATGGAACTCCAGTACGGATAAAGTTAGTTTACTGGGATCGGTCGTTCAAAAGGCGTTTAGCTTAAACGGTGAATAAGCCAAAGTTTAAAAATACTCTCATACATCATGTGAATGACTGAACCTGCAATCTTATGCATTTAATGTGTACTTCCATTGACAATTAAACTATATTTACATCGAAATATTTCACCTGAGTTGTTCAATAAATAGATAATTTGGTTTAAGCTGAACGCCTTTCGAACAACTGGCCCCTGATCAATATGCCACGGTTTATGAATACCTACCGTCACTGACTGCCCGCCTCTCAGGACAAATTTTGGTGTGAATTTATAACTAATAGGTTCTTGATCATCGATCATTCTTGACACGATCCATCCTCCCATAAGTTCTTCCTAAAATTAGCGGAAGTGGAACAATTAGTGAGAATATTGTGTTTCTGAAGAAATACAGTGTGCCCAACTAGCTTCGAATTGCGGATTCACAACGGAGGTGTCTTCCCATCTATGATTTAGCTCCCCCCCCCAATCCTCCGGGGGCCCTTGATGATATGAGCAACTCACCTTAGTCCCGCTGTTGAAAAGCCTTACAAATTTTCCTTGATTATCGGCCTCGATGATCTGAATATTGCCAGACGCAGCTGTAGTGGTGCTTGTCGTTGTCGCTTGCAAATCTTCAGTTCGAGGCCTCTTGCTGGGTCTCTTTGCTTTGTACTTGTCGCCAAATACGGGGGAGGGCGGGGGAGTGATATTTAGCCTGGTGAAACATTAAACACTTGTTAAAATACTCGCCATATTTGTAAACACACGATCGCACAACATTTGGGACACGTTGCACGAAGGCCGGATAGCGCTATCCCCCGGACGCTAACTTTTTTTAACCGTGGTAAAAATACTTGAAAAGTAATAAAATTATAGTTTTAAAGCTAATCATTGCTAAAGAGGGTCCCCAATTTAAGAATACTAAGGTTTAATCAAAGTCACGGAGAACAACGAGCAATTTTAGAGCGATTGAAAACTGAAAAAGACTATCCGGTGGATAGCGCTATCCAGCTTTCCTACAAAGTGGCATGAGATAGCGGGCAAGTTTACCTCACTTCCTCTCCTTCCAATAGTTTTCGATACGCGGCAAGTTCCATATCTAAGGCGACTTTAACTCCCATCAAATTTTCATATTCACCAAGTTGTTCCTCCATGTTTTCACGAAGTTCCCGGATCTCATCATCTCGCAAGTTTATGGTGTCATTCGCTCGTCGCTGCTGATCATCCAGCAGCTCTTCCAACTCTTTTAATCGTTTCTGTAGAGACTCGACCTTTGGAATAACGATTAAATACACACATCAGACCAGTTTTTCCCGGTTTCGAGAGAGAATCGACCGTTAAAAACAACGCCTTGAGATGATATAGCTATTTACCCGTAACCAATCTCGCTTACCTTGGAAATAGCGACTGTATGTTCAGCTCGTAAATCTTCCAACTTGTTTGTGAGATCTCTGTTGTTGTCTCTTGCTTCGGCAAGTTTGCTTGCGTCTTCTCTCGCCTGGTCTTTCAAATCTTCATACTTAAATAAAATCAAAGATGAGACTCACTAAGCTGGTTTATGCCAAGGTTTAAGGTTCAGTGAAGAAGATTTGGAGTCTAGGTTTGGGTGTTAAAATTCGCACGTTTTTTCTACCATTGAAAAATGGCAGAAAAAACAATGTTCTGCCCTAAGTTTTCCACTTTGGCTGGTGGAATTTTCCCACTTCCCGATCTTGGTGGAAGTTTCCTTTTATTTCTGTATCTTCAAAAGATAATTGGAAAATAAATTCCTTACCTTGGCCAAATAGAGTGTCTGAACATCATTTGTGAGTTTCTCGTTCTCTTCATCATAGATGTCTCGTAATTCTTGCAGTTTCTCTGTCATTATTCCCTCATATTTCGACTTATAGTCACTTTCAATCCTCACTTTTTGTTTTTCAACATGTTGAATCTGGTTGCGCATTTCTTGTAACTCCTGTGAAACCATTTTTTACGATTAGTGCTTTATCAAACCTTTACCAAACTTATTCTCCGATAGGGATGTATATTTTCTAGTGTTTACTTTCACAGCCAGCAGGGTTAACTACAGATAACCTAGACAAAGCTAGTAATGGACAGCAATGGACAGTATTCTTGCAAGGGGTGAACTATTACTTTACTTTAGCATGCCAGAAGCTAATAGATTGTCAAAACCTTAAAACTCAGTTAAAATTCTTGCAGGAAGTATTCAATTTTATTTGTCAGAGAACAAGCAGACATTCCAGCCTACCTTATTAAACATTTGCTGTTTGAAATTCATCTCTTCTTTTGTTGACTGGAGTTGATGTTCGATATCAACTCTCAGAAGTATTTCCTCCTCAAGACTGCACTTCGATGTCTCGACAGCTTCTTTCAATGCAAAATTTTCTTTTTCCAAGACATCAATGTCACCTTCCATCCTCCGTTTGTCTCGAATGGTTTTCTCCAAAATCTTCTCATTTTGTGAAAGTTTCGACTCGGTAATCTGGAGATTTTCCTCACAAGTGTTGAGTTTCTTTGAAGTATCATCATACCTAGAGATGGGTTTATATTTCAAGATCTTGAACAGTCTTCAATAATATGTATATTTCTCAGACATTAAACTTAAAAAATCCATTTTAAAGTTTAAAAGTTCATGAGAATAAAAGCCCTGTTACACAGTGCAATTTTTCTTGCAACTTGCAATGCAATTCTACTTCTAAGAGATGTAAATTAGTGAAGAGTCTTGCAGAAGAAAATTGCATGAAGTGTAATAAACACAAAACTTTCGTTGTTCCTAAATATTCATCTCTTAAAAGTAGAACCGCATTGCAAGTTGCAAGAAAAATTGCACTGTGTAACAGGGCCTTAAAAGTAAAAAAACATTTTACCAACTTGGAGAGGTTATATACCTACCATAAATATTCTTACAAACTGATGAACTTCACAACAAATTCCAAAATACCCAGGTCGAAGTTAGTGAAATGAGTTGTATTTGTTAGCGAAAATTAATTTGATCTTAGGTAGTGGGTATAGACATTTCACATTTGCAACAAAGACTTTTATTAGCAGAAGTATTTTCTGGAATGATCTATGGTCTGAGATGATATTCACACTTTGCTTTAATGAAAAGGTGTGGCTAGGTTTTTTACACCTGGTCAGTCAATTGCATTTGTTTGCTGAAAACCACATACATTCTAGAGGTTTCATTATAGTAAACACCTTAAGAACTGAGTGTATCTGCTTTGTTCAAAACAATGCTCAGCTGGTTATGTCTGCAGAACACAGTAATATGTAAAACTAACCACTCAATTGCATCAAATATGTTTGCAAACATATGAATATGATATTTCGCTTTTAACCATCCACATATTGACTTCATTTCCTGTAAATTGCTCGCATTTTTGACAACCAATACGGCATGCCAGGCCCAAAACGTGTTACCATATATTGGATTTTTATTAGTATGCTTGAAATATTTCGCCATTAAACTAAATCCAATTATCTTTTGTAACTTCAGCACATTTATTAGCAATATTTACAATAAAAGCATCGGCCTAAATGATCATTGACGGTTTGATTTCACGCCCTCTGTAACGACAGTGGCAAACAGGTCACGGAATCTTAAAATAACATCGTTTAATAACTCGATAAAGCTCCGGTGTGCGGGTGTCATCTGTCCGCATTCAACAGATTTGATATTATAAATTTCTTTGGCTTGACTAACGTCTTAAAACTGCTGCGAGTCTTATTCAAAACTGCTGCGAGTCTTAATTCATTCATAAAGCCGAGTTTATTGCAAATAAACTGTTTGATCGCACATTTTTGCCCTCCTTGTGTCCGTATGTTGATCGGTATTCATAATCAATGTGTTAAATATCGTGACAGAGACAAATGTAAAAGAAATGGCTGAATGTTTATAATATATGCTGCACGTAACTGCACAAAAAACTACGAAATTTCGGGATATCTCTCATCAAACCATCGATACAGGACTTGTTTACTCAGAATAATGTCTGTATTTGCAAGCAACCACAACAAAATGAGGCCCCGACGAAGGAATCGTGGTTTCAAGGTGTTTTTATGGAAGGAACTAGAACGTCGTTCATGTTATTGCACGTGCTTGCGAGACTAAATACACGCTCAAATGTATATTTACTTATTTCATTACAAAACACACTTCGTAGACAACGTTTAAAACAAGATAACGTAAATCAAGAACTTTCAAATAAAGCCATTTTACTTACTTTACTTTGTATTCAGCAACAATGCTTGCGTTTCGTCCGCTCTCGAGTTGAATTCGAGCCTTTTCCATAGACGTCTCATCGAGCATTTTTCGAGCATCGTTTAGTTCATTCTCAAACATGTTTTTCATGTTATTCACCTCGTTCTCTGTACGGACTTTTGTCGTTTCAATTTCGGCCGATAAGCTCGCATTTTCAGCCTCTAAATTCTTTACTCGTTCGATATACACCGATAATCGGTTGTTCAAATGACCCAGTTCATCTCGTTCTTGCATCCTCGAAATTTTCGTTGGCGAAGTAAAACTGGCGTTTTTGGACTTCTTATTTCCCGGCGTGTTGTTGTTGGGAAGCGTAGCGGTCGCCATTGCTAAAATAGTTGAGTAAAACAACGATAAAATCAAGAAAATAAACTTGCACTAGTTGAAAGTTGATACCCAACTGTCGCCGGAAACTTATGCTCAATAGCGCGGCAAGTGCTTCTGTATTTGGCATATATAATATTGACCAATCACGTTCTAGAACGGTAAAAATCCTGCCTTCCTATTGGACGAGGTGACAAGCCTAGAACGGTACATATCACTATTTCACTTTATACTACCTGATCATGACATATAAAGATGCGCCCCAGAGGGCAGGTTTTCGTCAAGTATAAATACATTTAAGTATTTCAAAATTCCCGTAAATGGTATTTGCCAATATTTAGAATGCAACTTGCATTGGAAAGACAAATTGATACAATATTTTTACAAAAATTTTGCAACAAAAAATGTTGACAACTTGTAGCCTTTTGCCCCCTGCAAACCTTTTTTTTATTTTACTTTACTTAAAATTACTATTGCATCTTTAAATTTGAACTAAACTAAGGCCCGAGCCTCAATTCATGCAATATAATTTCTTCTAGACCTTCTAATGTTTTGTTTGAAGAAGGCTTACAAAAGGTTTCCATGACTTCTACATGGCGTTACACAGATCTAAAATTAGGATTGATAATGAAGATTTATAATATGTAAGGAAATTGGAAGATGGCCCCTTTATTGTGCATAAACGGCAACCTGTTGTTCTTAATGCTCACCGGACAATACTAAGACCATACGTGCTGTTACAAAAATTGCCACCAACCCACGCAAAACGTATGTAATAAACTTATTTACCGAAGCAGTTTAATTTTTATTACAGAGCTTAGTGCAATATTGAGACTCTTGGAGCCAGAATATTCGTGAAAAGCAGCTCCCCAAATAAGCGGGAATGGCTTAATTGAAAAACAAATACACAAAAAGAAACTAAACGTCACTTTGAAAACGAAAAGCAACTTTGGTAGGCTTTTTTTTTTTTGAGATTTATCGATCTCCACTGCTGTTGTTGTCATCGACGAATATTATAGTTTTTACTAGTTTGCCTTTGCAAATATTTCAATGATCGAAAATAGCGCGTAAAGCATTCCTGGTGGTTTAAATAAGAAATCCAGACAGTCTAGTGGTATAATTTTGATTGCAACAAAGATGTGATGCTGGTTTCTTTGTGGAGTTGTTTCGATAATTTATTAATTATTATACGCCTTGAAATAACAAACTCGGTTCTGACAGGGTTCTGACAAAGAGCTTTTTACTCTTCGATGTGGGCCTGAGCAAAAAAGCTTCTAGATTGGAGGAGCATTTTAGTATCCGGCATACGTGATCAATCAGCTGAAAGGCGCACTTGATCTAATATGATCTAATCAATTTTAGTATGACAGCTGTCAGCGCTTTTTCACCTGCCACAGCTGAAAATCCCCCCTCCCATTTATAACCTAAGGTCGGACAAAAATTTCACATCGCATCTCACCCTGTCTCATGTATCTCCAACGAGATAACCCCCATTTTCTTCTCCGCGATTTGATTGGACAACGATTATTAGCGATCCAATGAAGAACTTTGTCACAATCGTAACTGCCAGTGAATATGAAACGGACGAATCGCATCGCAGTTTAATTCATCACGTCATTACTCTAATTAAATTAAGAACGCTCTCAAAACGAGCTTGCGCAAAGATGACGCACGCAATACTACGTCACGAGGGAAGACGTCACATGACTTCGCTCAATTGCGTTTTCACGAGAAATAAATTGCGTTTTCACGAGAAAGACGGTTAAATGTATGTACTTTCATGCATTCTGCTTCGGTTTATCGAACAAAATAAACACGAAAATTCCATACTTGTGATTGTATCACCATGAAATGTATTTATTTCTAAGCTTTCGACCCCTGAATTTTTAAAACAATATTTACGCCATTTTTCATCATTGTTGACGTCCATTTCAAGCCAAGACAAGCCTTGTTTTGAAGTACTTTTTCCATAATTGTTATGATTACTCCTGTTCCAACTCAACCAAGACCCCATCGCAATCTTTTGGGTGTAAAAACATCACTGGTTTTCCATGAGCACCAATCTGACAAGACAAGAGTTTAGGTGAATCATTTCACAACTTCTGATGCCAAAGACTTCATTCTACTCTCTTCAAATAATCCTCTGAAATCAATTGAAACTAGAGAGTAGAGACAGGCTTAAATACCTACCCTAGGCTCTGGACTGAGCAGTCGAATATTCTTCGACTTTAGATCAGCAACAGCCTTATCAATATCGCTCACCTAGTTGAAGTAAAAAATTAACATATCTATATAGCTTTCTGACAAGGCCTGTTAAAATAGCAAGCTTGGATAACAGACAAACCTCAATGCAAATATGATGAATTCCTCCATCATGTTTGTTTTGTAGAAATGATGAAATTGGGCTGTGGTCACCCAGTGGATGCAGAAGCTGGTCATAGTGAAAAAAACACGTTAAAACTGGTTAAAATCTGGATAGATTTTGGTATGAATGCATGTATCAAATATGTCCGACCAAAATAGACACATCAAGAGTGGCATACTTCAATTTTTGTGTTCCCTAACTCCACAAATACCGTATAAACGCCATGCTCTGGTAAGGCCTAAAAATATGTCAAATTGTCAATCATATGCCACTGAAAGTCATGATCATCAATTCATTTTCATATGCATGTTAATGATCAAAATACATATTACAGTACTTGTCTTTCACTGACAGTTGCTCCAAGCACATCTTTATAAAATTTTGTCGCACTTTCTGTAAAATTATATAATCAATGTTCAGAGCAATGCTTTCTAAACTACAAACCAGAATTGCAAGATTGTTGACACTTCCTATGTAAAGTGTACGTATTTGACTTACCAAGATTATTAACTGCAATAGCGACATGATTTAACTTCCCTAATTTCCATATATCATCACTTAGATTCTGCGAAATAAAACAAAATATACATCAATAGAATGATTGCTTGATACCTCGACAAATCATTATAATTTACACAATATATCTACTCGATGCTCAAAGGCTTACCCGTTTATTCAAAGATGAAACAGCAAACGTCTTCAACAGCTTTGTTGTTCGCAAAAACCTGAAAGCCATGATTTCTCTCACTCCTTGCTCAATGCATCGTGAATTTTCGCACGTTTGCTGTCGTTCACCTTCTCTGCACATGCGCATTGGTGTAGTGTAGAATTTACAGGAGGGGGGAGAAATGGAAGTATGCAAATTATGCAAATTACTGTTGTATATCACTGAGTTCTGGGCCGTTTTTGCCCTACTTTCTCCCAAAAACCACATATGTATTAATGCCGCCGATCTTGAGGCTAAATAAGCTAATATAGGTTGAGTTAAGAATTAACAATATTTTATACCGGTTTCCTGCTCAAATTAACTCGAAACAAGTATTTTCCGGAGATGTATATTCTGATAAATAAAATGTATTTCATTTGTAATCTAATTTCCTCTTATTTACAATTCTAAATGTTCCAAAGATTGAAAATGGTGCTCTTAGCGCTAATCAGCATAGGACACCCGAGAACTGACATATACTTTTGCTTTGTTTGAAATATTTTCTGTGACATTGAGCAAGTTCCGTAACGGTGGCTAAAATGGAAAGACGAAACATTGAGCGATCTAAATCAGGAATAATTAAAAGTAAACAATGTTACGAATTAGCTTACAGTATTCTGTGCCAGTTCTTTTAAAGCTTGAGAATGTGTGACGCATTTGTCATGAAGAAAAGCTAAGTTTCTTGCCAGGTCAGAAGTTACTTGTTCATTTGTTGGCGGGCAAACTGAGATACTCTAAAAATAAAGATTTCATTCGAGTTTGAACACTTTGTGTATGTGAAGAACTTCAGCAAGAAACCTACCGATAATTTGTCGATGAAGTTGACGAGTCGTGGTTTGTTCTTTTGAATAAAAGGATTGAGTGGGATCATGTATGGCTCCTGTGTAAAAGCAATAAATTTTGTAATTTTTCTCATTATAAATAGGTGAGGCTTTTTTAATACCACAATTATAGTATTCAATAGTCACTGAAAAACAAAACACAAAATACCTTGGCACCAAATTCTATTAAGTTAGCTAGATTTTGCAAACATTTTGCTACCATGGTTAATGTCCTACTTGCCATTGGTGAAGGTGTGTCTGCAAGAAAACATCATTTAAGAAACCCTTTTAGGAAACAGATGATCCACTGTTTACTGCTATGATAAAATGCACCAATACAGTCAATTCAGAACTTTTAGAGCCAGTGTAAATAGATTAGTTTAGGCTCCATTCTGAAGTAAAACCCGACTCAAACGAGCACGCAAGTCCATCGCAAGTTTACTTCCTGTGATTTGCGGAAGACTGGTCAAACGATAAACAAGTCAACGCAAGTCAACGCAAGTCATCACAAGTCATCACAAGTAGACGGTTAAACGAGGTACAAGCAAGCACAATCAAAAACTTGCAATGGACTTGCGTCCTAGTTTGATCCGGGCCTAAGTCTTATTTCTTGTATGATAGAAACGAAAAGATACCTGACATCATGTTGCATATTCGTGGGTTCATGATAGCAGGACAGAAACAACGAAGAAAGAGAAACGCGCTGAAAGAAATTCAAGAAGAAAAAAATATTTAAAAAGCAGCTGGATTTGATATTTTGGCATATTGTAATCCCCGCAAACACTTTTCAAAAAGAAGCACAAAGAAGATCTCAGAATATACCTGACTACCCGTGTCCGTAACGTTTCCTTGTCCGGCCATTTTGCCTTAACACTCGATTGCAAACATCCGAACAAATATCGCAACAGCCTACACAAAGAATATCCCTGGTTACTGTAATACAGTTGGAACCATCGAGCTTCGTATAAGCCTTTCTTATAATGACGTCAACGAGGAAAGCCTGGTGTTACACGAAGTTTGATAGGCTCCGAAAAAACTAACGAGCCAATCAAACTTATTGTAACGAGACTTCCCGCGTTCGACGTCATTATGAGAAAGGTCTATTATATCTGGAGTACGAACTTCCCACGTGTTTGAGTAAAACGTCTCAGGGAAGCCAAACGTCTAATTTCAAAAGGTCATCAATAAACTCTTTATTCCTACGTTTCCCCAAACAAAAGATATTGAAAACACTTACTCAGGACATTTATCAACAGAGTTTACAATGGAGTCCAAAGCTTCGTCCAGGAATTCTATCAACGAAGTCAAATTACTAACAGCGTTTTCATCTTTGCCAAGTCTTGCTGGGTTTATCTTTAAAAATAAATGGACGAGACGGGTTGGAAGTGTTTTGACTTCGTCATAAGTGACGCAATGCAACATGTGACTTCATATAAGATTCTCACCTCACAAGAGTGTTTACATTCCATAATTCTAACAACGACATCTCTGAGGGTATACTGTACATACTGCACGGCAACCATCTTCATATACTGATCCATGAGACTTGTCGCGGCTGAAGTACCCCGGAATAAGGTCGCCACGTTATCTGCGGGAAGAATACACTATAAATGACGTCACTGCGCTGGGATTTTATGATGTCATTCGAGCACATATCTTTGTTATCACACCTTCGTTTTCGATTTCTCTTTCCGTGAGTCTTCGTAGCAGATTATGATGTTCCCTCTGATGACGGAACACGTTCAGTATTCTCGAGGCAAGAGTATCTCTGTCCTTACAAACCTCCATCAAAGAGACCACACATTGCACATCCTCTTTGAGGAGGATCTAAAAGATAACAAAATCACTTCGCTATCTGGGAGTGACAAGTCCTTTCAAGTACAGTACGTGGCTGTTAAGAAATTTCCTTACATAAATTTGTTACCGCAAAAATGGGCAACCGGCCGTGTTGAATAAGTCAGCTAAAGAAGGAGTCACATCTTTCATTTTTCATGCATGAGTTTTCTTGCTTTTATAAAGATTGTATACCTTAGTACCCGCTTTTCCAAAGCTTCATAAAGGACTTTCCCTAAAGGCCTAGGGTATAGTATTTGACACATACCTCTTTCAAACCGGAATACTCTTCCACGGGCATAATCATTTCATGCTGAAAAATATGGAACATTAATATTATGGAACATTTTACTGTCTTCAAGAAATGGAATATTCAGTATAGTGTACGAATTCACTGACAATTTAGGTATGTAGGACCTACCATATATCTCGCCTTTATCCTTAATGTACCCGCCTCAGTTCTTGAGTGAGAAGGGCGGAGTTGAAACCAATCATCAACAACCTCACCTTTTTTAAGTATTTGAAGAGCTACACTCACGGAGGCTGAAAATATCGCATACTTCATGTCAGATACACGTATTGGTGATATAATTCGGCTACAGTGTATAGTATATAAAACGTTGTCAAACCTCCTACCTATGTCCTGATCTTTTGAGCGTTTGTTCCTGTGACAGATAGCAACGGTGAAGGAGACAATGTCCTCTGGTATGTCACTAGATTGAAGAAAAGCTCCAGTAAGAATCATCCAGTGTTACTACAGGAGGAAACCTAAACTAAACTAACTTTATTTACACTGGATAGCTCTATCAGTTCTAAACTGTTCTTCCTAGAGGTCCAGTAAGGATCATCTCTTATTGATCCAGTGTTACTACAGGAGGAAACCTAAACTAAACTAACTTTATTTATACTGGATAACTCTATCAGTTCTATACTGTTCTTCCTAGATGTCCAGTAACGATCATCTCTTATTGATCCAGTGTTACTACAGGAGGAAACCTAAACTAAACTAACTTTATTTATACTGGATAACTCTATCAGTTCTATACTGTTCTTCCTAGATGTCCAGTAAGGATCATCTCTTATTGATCCAGTGTTACTACAGGAGGAAACCAGTAAACTTCTTCATACGAGATAGCTCTATCAGTTCTAAATTGTTCTTTCTGAAGATTCAGACTAACTTGAATTTAAATTCTTCATTCCAAACAGGATTCTCGCCTTCCATAACCGACGTTCTTGACATGCGCACTTCGTTGAGAGAGACGATGCAATAGGGATGATGTGACTTACTGCCGGGTAAATTATGAGCTTCGATTATATTCAGCTCCAGACCCCTAAGTTGTTTCACGTCCGAGCTCGCCATGACTTGAGTCGCGGTCCATCTTGTTTTGCTGCAGAACTTGCGAATAACTTGAATCCAGTCCTAACGGAAAATGAAGGGATGAAATTTCCCGCCAAAAACCTCAGTCGCAGACATTAATTTTAACTATTTTCAGGTAGTTCAGGCTTGTATAAGACTCTAAACTATATTTAGGATAATTTACATCGTAGCTAACTCCAAATAAAAATACCCTCCGAATTAGTTTCAACTGGCAATTTTTGCTGCCGAATCAGAAGCGATTTTCATCTTTTGAAAGATGTGAACGAGCGAAAAAGTTACGCATGTTGAAAAAAGGACACAAATACATCAAATATATCCATAACTATTTGCTATTTTCCATCAATCAAAGGAAGAAAACTGCAGCTCAGATTAACTTACGTTTGCTTCATCTGAAGTGTCAGCACACAAATAAAACATTTGAGTGTCTCCAAAACGCACGGCTATCTGGAAGCAATTAGGCCTGAAACGAATATTTCATATTTAAAAACCTCGAGAAAGAGCGTCTAGTCAGTAGTTTCAACTAAAAAAAGTATTCCATTATACACAGTCCCAGTACCTTCCAAAAAGACTCTCGTGAACTTCATACACGGTTGAGTAAGTGAGATCTATCATGCCTTTAGGTCGAGTTCTCTGCGAAATTGAATTGGAAACGTTTGAGGCTGCTAAATTTAGCTTGTTATTTTCGGTTTGTTCAAAAAGGCACCACGTTTTGTTAATGTCAGGTATAACTGAAAGATTCCTACCGTTTGATGTTCATAAAACAGCAATTGTTCGTCCTCACCATTAAGAATGAAGTACATACTTTTCCATTTCTTGCTAGTACCTGGTAAGTTGAACATAGAAATATTAATAATTTGAGATAGGGAACGAGTGGCCTTTTGTCGCAATAGCCTGTTGTAGAGAATACTATCAACAATGGACCACCACCACCTTTTTCAGGTAGTTCAGGCACAAATCAACAGATTACTGCATGCAATACATTCTACAATTTCCAAACACATTTGCAAAATCTGTTTCCAGATTAAATATCGTTAACTTCTCGTTAAACATATATGATAGAATGGCTCGCTTCAATCTCACCTTTTTTAACAAGGAAACCGGATTTCACGATCTTTCCAACGTTGGAATCAACGATAGGAGTCTCGTAGGTTGGCGTGGTCGGGGCATCCTCGTTCACGTTCAAGTCACGAAGACCAGTGAGAGAGGTTGGTGTTGGCGGAGGAGTTGACTCCTGCTGAAAATTTTCATCATTCAGAAAAACGATTAAATCAAAATATGAAGAAACGTAGAGTATGGCTCAAGGACACTGTGAAATCAGTCACACTCACAAGTCTGCTTGCTTAAAGATCTTCTCCGGGCAGTAGTTAACTTTCCGTTCAAAAGATAGTGAACGTTGATGGGTTGAACGAGGTCTAAACTAACTGTTATTTACACTAGTTGACTGTACTGTGCGGAGTAACGAAAGTCCCGTGTGAAAACTATAGTTCCATCAATTTCCAAAAAGATTTTCTTACCCTTGCTACAGGATTACCAAGTGACAAGCCTTGTTCAATAAATTCCTTTTTGTATCGCTCAATTATGCTTTCTAAGCTAGAAAAACATAGTAAAAAAACAGTTCATAACTGTTCATATTTCTTTATACTGAAAACATGAGAATCTTCACTGGATAACTAGGTAAGAGCACCCAGTTTGGCACTGTTGATGGGTGATGCACTGAATTCTTTGTCGAAATTTGTCCAGCATTTCCTCCAATACTTACTCCTCAAATAACCGCCCACCAAACAGATATTGGAGACCTTGTTTTTTGATTAGGAATCGCGATATGCCATTGTCATCCCTAAAAAAGCAAAAGAGAGTGTTCATGCAACTAAAGTTGTGTTGATACTTGATAAACTGATAAAGCATAAAGAATATTATGAAGTGAGATTTTCTCACCTAACTGATAATGAGTAATCACCAAGTCTCCCAGAACTTGGCCGAACAAGAAAGCTTCCAACTACACCTTCTGCAATAATTTACAAGAAAATCACCATACAAATAAAGTGTTTACCAGGATTTACTTATTAGCTGGATAAGGCTAGCTACAAAACATACCATTCATCAATAGTTCATTTGCTTGATCCTTCGATAAATTGTCATAAAACCATCTATAAAATGAAAAATCAGCCAGTTTCAAAAAATAAAGTCTTCAAGATTAATTGAATATTTGATGATAAATACAAAATTGTTTGTTCACTTACGGTTTGCCAGCATGAGGACTGAGGTCTTCTGGCTAAAATTGAAGAGAAAAAACTTTAGGCATGGCCGGTATATACACAGTGGCAAAAATAGGTGTTGAAATATACAGTAAATTGTTTCTCTGAACCCACCGCGTCAACAACGTAAGCTCGAGGAATCATGCCTTGTTCTCCAGTTCTTTGCAGTCTTCCCCAGAACCAAGATATATTAACAATGTCCTCAATCACAAATACATCACCTGGGGAGAAGCTGGAATAAACAGAAGTATAATGTCTATAAATACAAAGAGAAACGAAAGAAGTATTGATATGTTCTCTGTCACCTTAATGCCTCAGTTCCGGGTGGTTTAAGGTATGCGTGTTTGGCAACCATGCGCGTTGAAAGTGATACAGGTTCTGGGGGCTGAACTGGATACTCAAGTCTCTCATCTTTCAGTAAAGATGAGTACTTTGTGTAGTATCCTATCAAATCTCGTAATTTTTCAAATTGTCTGCCTCCAATGTAGTAGTCACCAAATAAAGCTGTGATGCTAAAATGACTGATGCCATTGAGACCAAGATATGAAAGAGAATACTGTCCGTGTTTCCTCTCGCTCTTTCGGACCAGATAACTTCCAGGTTTGCCCTGGTTATTAAGACGTTCCTCAGATGTTTTGCGGTCAAGTACTCCATGATACCAACTGATAATAAACAGGAAAAAATATTGATTAGCACTTGTCTATTTGCAGTAACCACCACACACAATTGAAATTATTTTCCACTGAACAGAATGAATTACAAAACGGGACACAACCAAGTTCTTCAGGAACTAAATAGCTCAACAGGTTGGTTGTGCTGGCCCAAAAAAATGCAGTGTTTGTGGGCAAGATTGTTCAAAGACAAGTAATACATTTTGATGTTTCTGGACAAAGTGAAATTCTAAAGTAACTATAGCATTTATGTGCAAATTGCTGGGCTAATATGATACGTTTTTACCAACAAGAAACCAACAATTGTTTAGATTGTTAATTGTTAAAAAGTGTGCCTTGTAGGCCACCCAGACCCTAAATTAGGCCACACAAAGCCACTTCCTCTTCTCGCACATTTGAAAACGGAAATGGGGAAAAAGATGATCACACGAAACAGAGCAACCGACCAGTCTATTGTAAAACCTACATATGTAAATTACGGTCCTGCATCCCGAATTTAAAACAAATAACCACTCAGACTTAAAAGCTAAACGTTTGTCAAAATTTCGCAATATTTCTGCTATTTTTAATACAAAAGTAAACAATTTTCAGGAACACCCAAACTGTGGTTCGAGTCTTTCGCTAGCGTTTTATATAGCTGATGTGTTTGGGTGTCAAAATCGGGGTTCATCTCAGTTATTTTAACACGTAAACAATCCTTTTGCGTTAGCTTGAAGTATAAAGATTACACTTGTTCATATTGAACAAAATGTACATAAAATAGGACCTTTGAATACAATGGTATTGCAACTTTAGATGACACTCAATTTGTAACAAGCTTGTTGTTGACAAGCGCGAAAATAAACGTGCTCTTGTTTTAGTTGTTTATGCTCTTATATCCTTTTTCCTTGACGTCCATCCTCCCATTCAGATACGATATTTCTCAAGCTTCGTGCACAGATCTCATCAAAACGAACATATAAAGTACGCGAACTTATAGTTGTAATAATTTCCTGTCACAAGCTGTCATGACAATTTGACTCACTCGTAAAAACAAGCATTTATAATGCTCAATGCCCGAAGCTTGGCTGTCTTTTATATTGCTTTCAAGCTTTGAATGCTATATACACTTAACTTCTTAAGCTAAAATTATCCGATTTTGTGTGGTTAAACTACAAACAGCAGTTATTCTAAAAACGGCACATATTTGGTTGTAAACACAACCTACCATTCGTCTGTTGGAGCCAACGAAGAGAGATCTAAAGGGATCTCTTCCTCAAAATCAAGTTCGTCCTCGTAACCATCGTTTTCTTCGCATTCCACGTAGACATGTATGCTATCTCGTTCACGATTAGCGTCCCAAAGTTCGTCTCTTCTTGCCATAGCCAAACCCGACTTCCATGTCATGAACAACTTTGAACGACAGCCGAAGAAGTTACGCAATATCGCTCCCGCGGCACAGCTAGCCCAAGTAACCGTTACTAGTAGACCACAACCTTTCGACCGTTCTCCAGAATTCACGGTCACGCTTTGCGTTTTCGACGGACACGCGTGAACACTAAGCTTGGTATCCCCAGCTCTTCTCATAGCTATTCCTCGTACGTCTTAGCCTTCTTCAGTCATCATTAAAGCTTCCCGTATCCTTCCTCAGCCTTCCCGCTCTTTAGCCTTCCTCGCCCATTTTTGAAACTCCCTAGTCTTCCTCAGTCATCATTAGAGCTCCCTAGTCTTCCTCAGTCATCATTAGGGCTCCCTAGTCTTCCTCAGACTTCCTGCCCTCTAGTGCACTTAGTCTTCTCACTAAAAAACCTTTAAAATTTGCATATATGGACTAAATCGTCAAGGTGGCTACGCCACAGTTAAACATAGACTTTTCCCCCACGTACCGCTTGTTGCTGACAGGTCCACTGTACCTGCAGGCAGCGACAGTGGCGACTAATGGAAACTAGGCTTAGAGGCATTTCAATTCAACATTTTCATATCTTGCCCGACTTGCATTGGGTTAAAAATCCGCCTTCTCTTGTTGTCCTTTTCATTTTTCAGGGAAAAACTCCCTTTACCCGGTAGGTCAATAGCTAAGAACCTGGATGAGGTTTAACTTTGAAGATATGTGTACAATTAATGGTGGTCAGTATAGTTAAAAAATATTGACATGCTGTTTAGCAAGGTACAACCCGATGACATTACAATACAAAACCCAGGCTATTCACTTTCAACAGCACCGCCTTTTGCATGACATTGACCAGATACATAGCAATCAATATCATCAATAATTTCCTCAGAGGAAAATATATATAATTCCTGAGGATATTATAGCAGGGACGCTATAGGAGAGCAAGAGAAAGCCTGATAGAAGGAAAGATTTTTCGTAAGACGTTAATTTGTGTTTTCATTGAAACTCGTCGACTTCTAGCGTTCCTGTATTGTAGATTTCAGATTTGTAGTTCAAAAATAAGGATCTCGACACAAATTTAGAAATGCGTAAAATATTGGCCAGTAATTACTGTGGTATAAAATGCTACAACAGAATGAATACAAATGAAGTAATATAATTTAGTTTCTCGGTTCATAAGTCATACCAATTACATCAAACAGGATGATACTGAATTGGATTTATGTGTATGCATGAAGATTGTATTTAAAGCCAAACGTAATTTTCAATATAGGCGAGTGTAATTTTTTTCTAAGACTGCAGAGTTGAAGGAGAAAGACACCGCTCAGTCCCAAAGTTTAACAATTCGATTCAAATACGATGCCTGGTTCATGGGTGCATTATTGCAGTGGTTCAGAGAATTTCAAGTAATAGCTCAGTTAAATAGACGTCTCTTTACAAGTTTCCAATAAATTATCGTCGCTTGCTTATGTTAAGTCCCTATTTACATTACATATCATCTATTTTCATTAGCGTCATTTGAACTTCAATCAAACACATGATGTAGGCACGAGAGGACAATGCACTGCTGAAACGGGATGTAAATTATAGAGCTGAAGGAAGACACACAAAAGAAATATTATTTCAGTAGAACACCGAAGAATATTTTCATAACACACGTCAGCTCAACGATTGAACATCAAAACCTTTGCCTTTGGCTTTGGAGTTTATCATTCAAACAAGTTATTGAAAAACGACCAGTTGGAATAAAATGTTGCTCAAAATACTGCTGTGCTTCTCTCTTCTCTATGGAATGGTGTCTGCGGGTAGGTAGATCTGTTGTTTCGTCTTTTCATCATCTACAGCACTGCCCAGAAATAACCTAACAAAAACCGCGGTTAACCTAGGTCAAAAACTCGGTTGAACCTCTGTCGAAACTCGGTCTCATTGACTCTGACAGATATTTCTTAAGATGTTTTCGATATGATTATTGTGTTGTCGTTCTCAGCTGTTCATAACATTCCGTTTGGAAGCGAACGGCAACCGCGATCGTATTTTTTCCCTTGCGGTTTCCGTATCGGTCGACCGCAACCATACACCGCATGCATGCATGCATGCACTGTTAGATTATTTCTATACAGTACTGCATTTCGTATGGTTTTTAATAACGTATGTAAATGCAAGCAATGAACGCTTGCTCTGTGTTTGAAGTTTTTAAAATCAAAAAGGACAAAGTATGTATAATTTTTAGGGTATTGGAAAAAAATTGCCTCAAACCGTTGTATTGGAGCAAAAAGTAGCCATTACAAGCAGTTTCGCTACAGAGGACCAAGCAAGTTCATTACAGCCATGAAAATGGTTCACAAAAAAGGGGTGATCGGATGCGCCAGTTGGGGTCGTTCAAAATGGGGATGCAACAATCAATATCCCACGAATATTATCGTTACAGGTTTGTGTGCGAGAAATATCAAAACGATGAAACGCAGCGCTGTTTCGTTGCTAAAGTAACTTAATTAATCCTTGTTTTAAAATGTTAGAAATTTGACGGTGCAAACCAATAGTTACTGCGTTAGATGTTTAGTAAAGCCAATGCTTAAAGAAAACTCCGATGAAAAATGAAATGCACATTTCCTCCTTTTGATGAGGAAATTTTGCGTTAAACGTTCTCATCTGCCACCAGAATATTTAGGCCCTGTTTACATGATCCCGTCTAGCCGGGACGAGATGTTTTCATCCCGCTTAGCCGGGAAACTCGCCCAGGCGGGATGGCGTGTTTATATGGAGTTCATTTTGTAGTGTAGGTTCCTTCGACGGCATGTTTTATTGTAGAAAACGAATATGCCATGCAATATATACACATGCTCCAAATGTATGTTTATCGCGAATCATCCCGTCCAAGTGGGATGGAGTTTACATGGCAATTTCTCGTCCCGTCTAAGCGGGTCCCGGCACTTCTTGCCGGGATCCCGCCTACGCGAGATGGAAAAGTGGTCATATAAACACTAATTAGTGTTTGCATTACAAGCGGGATCTCAGAAACTGTCCCGTCCTGGCTAGGCGGGATCATACAAACAGGCCCTTAATATTAAAATTATTTGACTTCTTAGACACAAGGAACAAACGCATCTATCCCTCGCCAACCTTGATTAGCCTGCGTTCGGGTGGCTGGTACGACCTCCCGGGCTACGGGCCAAATTCCCCAGAAATCGTTTTCTCGGATCCAGGATTTCGCTATCTATACAACGGGCAAAACATGAGAATTTGGTACGGAGAAGATCTCTATAACTACACTGAACATGACAACCACGGATATACCTGCATGGATGTATATGTTTATGTTGCGAGCATATAGAAATTGGTCTCAACATTCTCCCCGATTTAATGGAAACGATCGCTTGAAAATCATGCATGGCTAAATTATAGAGAAACATAAGATTGATAGTTGCTTTACGTTTGTCATAGTCGTTCAGTTATATATTCTGTAAAGTTTTTCGTGTAATTATGTTTTAGTTTAATAATTTTAGGTAAATACAGCCACAATGCAATCGCTTTTTGTCTTGACGTTTATGTCATATAGGTAATTTGTATTATCGAATCTAAATTGATATGAAAAAGGGGGGCATCTTGCATGAGAAACAGTCTTGTATCATTCATCTTGCGATGTTGCACGGAATAGGGAGAGGGTCTGATCCAGAGCTCACTGGTCTGATCATGAGGTACTTAGGGTGTCCTGAGTGGATAGAAATCATTGCTAGTAATTGCAGGAGGGTGAAAGAAGATCACTGCCGTCTCTGGATGAAAAGTTCCCGTTATCCTGAAAACAAAGGTCTTTCACACTCGCAGCTTGAATACACCAAATTTCAATCGTATTACGTCAGCTCAATCGTAATACGTTCACATAATTTAATTATAACAAAATGAATGAACCCTGAATCACTTTTACTTACAATTACATCTATTTATCACATCTTTCGAGTCGTATATGAGCTGATAGCAGACGAGTTAAAAGTAACACGGAGTCGGCTATCAGCCATATACGACGAGAGCGAGTGGTGTAATTGTTTTATAATAAAGCCAAATAGCATTTGTTAAGCGACAATGTACAATTACTTAATGGTTTCCGTGTTTGGATGGCCTGATCCAAACACACGGGAATGTTGCGAGAGTTTCAGCATGCAGTCCGCCAAAGTAAGTCCACTTTCTACGTTTTCACAAGTTTGGAAGGATATCAGCTTGTTGAAAATAAGTAATTGTCTTATAAAATAACAAGGCGACAAGGCCTGAATTTAAATTAAATTTTTTTAAAACTTTAAATTTCCGTGTTTGGATGGCCTTTTCAATAATTGTTTTATTATTAATTGGATTTTGAAAAACAAGCACATGAGCATAAACAAATCGTTAATATTCAAAACAATTTTCAAAAATAGTTCTTTGTAGACTTCTTCCTTTTTTTTTCGAGTCTTTATTAGCGAGTAATTTTTCCATTTCCTGCCTTGAAATTGATGTGAAATGAGCGCTTGTGCTTGCATCCATTGTAAATTATATTATGTAAAAGAGAGGACAAGCTCGTGAAGTTCGTGAATTTCCCGTGCTTGTGCACGATACCGCTGTGACTGCGAACCAATAACCTAGCTCTTACCACAGCTGAAAAGATCGTACTGAAATTAGTAGAAATACAAAGTTTCGTTGCGAGATGTTGTAAAATATGGAAAATATGGCCTTGCGAAGTTTGCAAATTTGTATAGGCTTTTTTACAACAAACGGAAATTGTTACCACGTTCAGGCCAAAAATGATAACAATTTCCGCTTGTCTACTTGTCGTAAAAAAAGTATACAAATTTGGAAACTATGCAAGGCTATATTTCCCGCATTTTACAACATCTCGCAACCAAACTCTGCATTTCTACTAATTTCAGTACGCTCTTTTCAGCTGTGGTGATTTCATTGCATTTCCTTGCATAGTTGAAAAAGACAATTCACAAAGTTATGCTTCAAAAAATGACAGGTGCGGCATGACTAGTTACTAATTACAGGTTTTTAAAAATCTCGATTTGTCCATCCTGCAACAATACTTCCTTCAAAAATAATGACAGATAACAGATAAATCGCCGAACATAAATGATTGGTCGAGAACGAAATTGCCCCTTGTTGGTCACAATACACTGCTGAAACCAGATGTAAATCACAGAGCTGAAGGAAATAACATTGAACACATGCATTGAAATGAAGTTAGTAGCACTGAAGAAATATTAAATACCAACACCACAGGCACAGGACTGCTATAACACACGTCAGCTCAACGATTGAACATCAAAACCTTTGGCTTTGGAGTCTATCAGAATTAAAACAAGTTATTGAAAAACGATTAGTTGGAATAAAATGTTGCTCAAAGTACTGCTGTGCTTCTCTCTTCTCTATGGAATGGTGTCTGCGGGTAGGTAGATCTGTTGTTTCATCTTTTCATCATCTACAGCACTGCCCAGAAATAACCTAACAAAAACCGCGGTTAACCTAGGTCAAAAACTCGGTTGAACCTCTGTCGAAACTCGGTCTCATTGACTCTGACAGACATTTCTTAAGATGTTTTCGATATGATTATTGTGTTGTCGTTCTCAGCTGTTCATAACATTCCGTTAGGAAGCGAACGGCAACCACGATCGTATTTTTTCCCTTGCGGTTTCCGTATCGATCGACCGCAACCATACACCGCATGCATGCATGCACTGTTAGATTATTTCTACAGTACCGTATTTCGTATGGTTTTTAATAACGTATGTATATGCAAGCAATGAACGCTTGCTCTGTGTTTGAAGTTTTTAAAATCAAAAAGGAAATCAAAGTATGTATAATTTTTAGGGTATTGGAGAAAAATTGCCTCAAACCGTTGTATTGGTGCTAGAAATAGCCATTACAAGCAGTTTCGCTACAGAGGACCAAGCAGGTTCATTACAGCCATGAAAATGGTTCACAAAAAAGGGGTGATCGGATGCGCCAGTTGGGGTCGTTCAAAATGGGGATGCAACAATCAATATCCCACGAATATCATCGTTACAGGTTTGTGCGAGAAATATCAAAACGATGCAACGCAGCGCTGTTTCGTTGCTAAAGTAACTTAAGTAATCCTTGTTTTAAAATGTTAAAAATTTGACGGTGCAAACCAACCTTACTGATAATGGTATCATCAAGGAAACTGAGCTCCCTTTAGAAGTTTAGTAAAGCCAAGGCTTAAACGTTCTCATCTGCAACCAGATTATAATAAGAAAACTGAATTAAAATTCATTTGAATTTTTAGACACAAGGAACAAACGCATCTATCCCTCGCCAGCCTTGATTAGCCTGCGTTCGGGTGGCTGGTATGACCTCCCGGGCTACGGGCCAAATTCCCGAGAAATTGTCTTCTCGGATCCAGGATCTATACCGCGGGCAAATCATAAGAATTTGGTACGGAGAAGATCTGTATAACTACACTGAACATGACAACCACGGATATACCTGCATGGATGTTTATGTTTATGTTGCGAGCATATAGAAATTGCTCTCAACATCCTCCCGGATTTAATGGAAACGATGGCTTGAAAATCATGCATGGCTAAATTACAGAGAAACATAAGATTGATAGTTGCTTTACGTTTGTCATAATCGTTCAGTTATATATTCTGTAAAGTTTGTCGTGTAATTATGTTTTAGTTTAATGATTTTAGGTAAATACATGCAGCCACAATGCAATCGCTTTTTGTCTTGACGTTTATGTCATATAGGTAATTTGTATTATCGAATCTAAATTGATATAAAAAAAGGGGGGCATCTTGCATGAGAAACAGTCTTGTATCATTCATCTTGCGATGTTGCACGGAATAGGGAGAGGGTCTGATCCAGAGCTCGCTGGTCTGATCATGAGGTACTTAGGGTGTCCTGAGTGGATAAGAAATCACTGCTTAGTCAAAAGAAGAATTGCATTGCAAGTTGCAGGAAAAATTGCACCGTGTAACAACAGGGACTTAACAGTGATAATCGATTAGCAATCTCAACTATGCATATGTGATATTATAAATGCAAAATGTTTGGTGGCATAATTATACTTATATCCGTTGTCGTTGACGTTGTGTCCTCTAGCCAAGAGTTTTAAACCGAGCATGCACACAAATTAACAGCCAAACTTCAAAATTCAATCAATCTTCTATATCTTTTATATAGTGTTTTTATAAAAATTAAATTGGTGCTCGTGAATATTTTCTTTTGAGAGAGGAGGGGCAGTATACACATCTTGCATGAACGGGTTTGAATTGACTGAATAGTAATTGTATTGTAATCAGTAATTATAGTTTGGTAAGGTGTCAGCTTATAATTCGAAACGAATTTGGTAAAACGTTCGGTAGAAACATTTTCGTCATAAATGCTGTTTGGTAATCACCATCGATGCAGTAATTTATGATTTACGATAGATGCCGCAAGCTACGATGCAGTTATTTATAATGGCACCGTTCCCGATGATCGAAAATGCAACAACAATGCTGTAGTTAGAATGGAATGACAATAACCAAGAATGCTGAAGGAAGTCTTAGCGCTGCGATAAAATACAATACCTTAAAACATCCTTACTCATACGACACATCAGCTTAAACTGTGAACATCGAGTTGTTTCATTGAAAAGGTGTAAAATTCGATCTATAACGATCAACAATCAAGAAGAATGTTGTTGAAAATACTCTTGTGTTTCTGTCTTTTTCAAATGGTTCAGTCTGGTGAGAATTCAAATTGTTTTTCTTCTGGTTTATCGGTGTTCACGCGAAAATCGCTTGAAAGTCGCTTAGAATTTTTTTAAAACGGGACAAACTTGGAATTTTCCGTAAAGCAATAAATTTCGGCCACATTATGGTTAAGCATGCTTTCCAGTTTTAAACTTTCATATATATATATATATATATATATATATATATATATATATATATATATACGCATATCGCAGATCTAAATGACTCAGTAAAAGACAAAGTGAACGAACAGTTTATTATTCTCGTATGCTTTTGTTGACATCGGATGTTAAATATTGTCTTTTCTAAGGAGGATGGATAAAGATTGCATTTAATAAATGTGTTGGGGCCAGGTACAATCATTATAGAGAGTTCACATACCGCGGATCAAGTATGTTCATCACTGCTATGAAACTGGTGCACAGGAACGGCTGGATTGGATGCTCTCCTGGAAGTTACACACGTTGGGGATGTTCAATTGCAGGAAACTACGAAACAAATATGATTGTCACAGGTAGATACACAACGAGCTTTATTCCAGCTGACGGCAATAGTTGCTTATTCCGGCGGCAGTAAAGTGCAGTATTAATTAGCTGTATACTGATAAAGCCAACGTCTTTTCTTTGTCGCCCTAGCTAGTTGCTTATCACCCCATCATCAATGTGTCAGCACCATTATGACCATATTATGTAAATGTTCTACGTTTTAGATACAAGAAACATAGTCATGTATCCATCTCCCACTTTGGTCACACTGCGCACGGGGGGCTGGTACGACCTGGCTGGCTATTATCGGAACTCGCCAAAGCTGGTATTCTCAGACCCAGGACTCCGCTACTTGTACCGCGGCCAAAAAATCAGAATCTGGTACGGTGAAGATCTTTTTAACTACAGAGAGAGCAACAATCATGGATTCACATGTATGGATGTTTATGTCTACAAATCAGATTGTTAATTCTTGCACATTAAACTGATTCTCGTATTTTATCAGCTCATATTACCTCATTTTTTCATTTAACTGAATGTATTTTATAGTACAGTTATATACTGTAATATTTTATCGTGTAAATGTAATTATGTTGACTTGATTTAAGTAAATAAACAGCTAGAATGCAATTGAATTTTGTTTTAACGTTAATGGCTATCTTCAGCAATAGTATTGTTGAATCTAAAATTATGAGAAACAGGCAGGGAACAGCTTGTCATACATCTTTAGATGTATCTAATTGTATGAACAAAGCTCTGGTACTAGTCACGAATCCGGCAGATATCTTTAGAGCAAAGTCAATCTCGGGGGGAAACAGTCAAACAATCTTGTATCATTCATTCGTCTTGCAATGTTGCAAGGTGTAAGGAGAGGTACTTGGGTTGTCCGGTGTTGATAAGAAATCAATGCTGGAGTATTTGCAGAGGACGGAAAGGAGATCATTGGCGTCTCTTGATAAAAACTGAAAAGTTCCTGTAATCCTGAAAACAAAGGTCTTTCGCACTGGAGTACACCATATTTCTGTCAGCTCAATCCTATTACGTTCACAGAATTTAATTGTAACAAAATTAACGAATCCTAAATCACTTTTACTTACAATTACATCTATTTATCACACCTTTTGACAGTTTTATATTATATTACAAAAACTCAAACATTTAATTTAATATCATATTAAACAATTACTTTAAAAACACTTAACCAACACGCAGCAATTTTTATCGCAAGCTGACCAGCGCAACTGATTTTAACAAATTTTACGGAGTATATATATATTCATGCTGCTGTTTACACAAGAGAAAAAAATTAATCCGGAACATTGAATGAAGTTTTAAATCCTAGCGTAAGGTTATGAATAACTAGGACTTTGATAAATGTTGAATGAGCATTTGCAACATTAGGTTCTAAATATTATTTTAAAGCGCCCAGCGAAAGAAGCAAGTCTTAGGACTGACTAGAATGCACTATAAATTAAGTACTGTTGAAGTCCAAAGAATGCGGAAAGTTTTGGTCGAGTTTCAGACATAAAGGTTGATTTGAAGTCTCGTGAAAACCTGTTTACACTATTTGACCGCAGTCGGAATTCTCCGCCGGTGATTTCCGAGCTGGATGGAAGGAAGGTCAGTTCATCGGCTTTAATTTAAGTACACTTGCACAGGTAAATTTTTCCTGGGCGATTACTGATTACCATCGTGATTACAAAGCAGTCGCAGAAGATTTCATTGGAGTGTAAGCCGGTCTTGGACGCAAAATAGCGGGGGTTTTAAGGATGGCCCCAGTTCAACAAACTATGTACATCATTTTTTGGTTGAAATCGACCATACAGGGGTCGCTTAGTCGTCGTTAATAAGGCCTTGACTCAGAAAATACTGACTTGGCGGCAATCTTGGTTGTAATGTGGGAGGCTTGAAGGCGCGCCTGCAAAACATGGCGCGGGTGGCCAGCGGATGATCTTCGTTAGTAAAAGGGTGCACACTGTTGATGCCATCGCGATGGAGATATCGATATGTTCGTCTGTACTCTTTATCAAATGAATCTGGAATAGGAAAGGTATGTGTTGTAATCCAGTCTTTGTTGTTTCTGCAATGTGCTTTTGCAGGTTTATCACATGAATCTTTCATTGAAATCTAACGTGTTTGCGTGTAGTATACCTGAGGTAGCCAAGAACTAGTTGTGTCCAGTTTCATATTGCGGTCTGTGACACACGCACATTAGTACCAGACCGCAATGTGAAACTGGACCGTGTATAATGCAGAAACAATCTTATATGTTCTTCCACATCTCAGAGAAGAACTTTTTGGTTCATGTGAGTGTTTTGAATGTCTGTTCACTTCATGACTTCAACACAACTTTCTTTACCTATCACAATGTTGTCAGAGCCACAGGCCATCAAAGACAGGAATAACATTTCTCTATAAATACTCCTAAAACGCGAAACAAACACATTTGATAACGCATGTTGTTTTAAATCACCGTGTTTCATAGTTATCGTTTTCAACAAACCATTGTATGTTAGGATTGATTAGCTTCTGTCTGTTTCGTTCCTCGAAAAGAAATCCAAACGGATTTGCGATGTCGTTCCTCTTGATATGTGCCACAACAGACTGGACGACACTGTAAAAATTATATAATAATTTATACTTGAAGCTTAAATGCAGGCAAAAGTTATAAAGTTGACGTCAATGGAACTGTATGATCACAGCTGTCCATACTACTGTCTTTCTTTACCTCCTGGGGGTCCAGGATCTCTCGTCTATAGTTGCATCTTGGTGCTCATGAGCTAAAAAGATTACCATCTTTATTAGCATCGAAAAAAAAATGGCGAAAATGAGAAAGCACGACTAAATTTTTTTGTCTAAAAAACGTAAATCATGTGATTTTCTTGAAAATATGGATTTTCTTGGAAAATCAAGGCTGTGTTTTGAGTTAAGCACGTGAAGACAAATCAAATGTTGTATTTCGCTTCTTCTTCCCCAGCACGAATAATATATTTCATTGCAAATTAAAAATAGTCAGATTTTTTAGCTCAATGTGAAAGGAAACTGAACAAGCAAACAGTAGACCTTAAAAAGCAACGGACCTTGGGACAAGCAAAAGAACGACACTATGGTAGGGTGGGGCACAAGATATTCGATATCATGGCATTTGATCGTCCAATGAAAAAACAGCAAAACAAGCTGTATTGACATGCAGTAAGGTTGATGTCTCACCAGGGACGTTCCACAAGACATACAATGGAATATGGTCGTTGTCATTTGGTCGTTCAGAGTCCCACGACGTGGAAACAATAACTTGACCATCAAAATCCTTTGAAAAAGATCCGTTTAAGTTTCTTACAGCACAAACGTTGAGCGTAGAAAAGCTCAAATATATTTACCATAACATTATTGTGTGTAACCATAGCATAACATCATTATATATTTACCAGAAACATAATTGATTTAGTCATTTAGATGTTCACACTAACACTGATCAAAGATGGTACCTACCTTGGGGCGGTCAAACGGATCGTCATCGCCATAATTTCCGTAAATGTGGTCCGTCAAATGTGTCGGTAAATTTAGACGTCGAAAATACCAAGCCTTAAACGTAAGCATATATAAAGTATAGGGATAACCCTGAAACACAAACGTTTACTTATAGAAAGCTTTTAACACTAAATTGGCCTATCAGTTTTAAACTGTTCTTCCTAGAGGTCCAGTAAGGATCATCTCATATTGATCTAGTGTTACTACAGGAGGAAACCTAAACTAAACTAGTTTTATTTATACTGGATAGCTCCATTAGTTCTAAAATAATCTTCCTAGAGGTCCAGTAAGGATCATCTCTTATTGATCTAATGTCTGACAGAAGGGAACAAATAGCGTTAGCATATAACAATAATATAAAAAAGTATTGCAGCAGAATTTAATACCGAAGATGAATGCACAAGGAATCACATAACCCGCCCACATTGTCCCCTGATATCTATACATCTCAATTATACTTACCATGTTCCAAAATATCACTTGTTTTTCTCTAATGATATCAGGGGATTCCAGCGCCCCGACACCCTCATTGTCCATCAAATTTTCCAGTTCTTTCCTCAGGACCAGAGGACTGACGTAATTCACCGATATGACATCTCTCTCTTCTGGGATAGCTGAACAGATATGAAATAAACACATTGTAAAAACAATACGAGACTAAATTTCATGATCACGAAGTACGAAGGAATAAAGATTCACATGAACAGGTGTCTTCTTTAACCTCCCCCACTGAGCCAACTATTTAATTATTTGAATTCTCAAAATTCTCAAAGAGAAATTCTTGCACGAAATCAGATACTTCACAGAACTTCCACATAACTCAGTTACTAGGTTGACAAGTGACATAAAACAGAACACACTAAATTAGATTTACGTGCATGAAGATTGCATTCTCATGCACCAGAATACGTCAACTGAACATTTTAGATACGAACATGAACTCTCTTGGTTATATATTCACTTAAAAAGCGTATATGGCAAACCTAAAATTATGTGAGAAAGATATGTGAGAACTAGGCTTAAAAGGACTATAAATTTTAGCTCGTCTCGTTTTGAGCGCAGTTGTGAAAGGACTTCAACACCCAACCAGTGGTCCTTTCTGGTTCAATTACAGCATATTGGATTTATATTGGCTTGCTCTGCCTGCTCGTTATTAGCTTTTTCATTTGATGCTTGTCAATCATTCTGTCAAGCGAGGAGCATTAAGGTCGACAATTATTCTGTCAAGCGAGTAGCCTTGAGAGTAAGTGAAATTGGAGGCCAGCCTTTAGGCCTGATAAACGTTGTTCTTCGGCTTCTCATGTGCCCCATTTTAGTATCAAAATGGCTCAAAGTCATTTTACGCTTCTTTAATGCATGAAAAGGTTAATTAATTACTTATTTTCAGATCTGAAAATCTATCCCAGAACTATGATTGAGCTTACATAACTGTCTTAAGGCACTTTTCCACTCATGATTGCCAATCAACTCACAAGCTCGCTGCATCTAATTCAATAAACTGTCAAGCATTGTGATTGGACGAAATGTTGTTTTTGCGATGAATGAGTGAGAGCCTTGAGTACATGGGCGTAGTAATTTGTTTGAAAATATGAATTGTGTCAGCTTATTGTTTAAACGAAGATATTCAAAATCCGTTAGCATTTCGTGAGAAAAAATCTCGTCAGTGATTTATCCCAGAACTATGGTTGAGCTTACGTAACTTTCTCAGTCGGGCGTTGTAATTTGTTTGAAAATTAAAATTTGACTAATTTGTTCGCGAATTTTACCTGTGTGGATTAACGCAACTATAAAATGCTAAATACAAAAATCTAAAATTTGCTGGTGAAGAGGGACTTGTCAAATGTGACGGTGCTTGGGTTAGAATTTAAATAATGGCATCCATATTTGTAAAGTGTAAATATTGATGATAAACATTTATACATTTGTGGGTCCCAACAGGGTGCATTCAAACTATTACATTACATGGTCATGGGCGATTTCAATAGTTTTAGGTTTTTTGGGGACACCCTGACCTTGCGCTGTAGTAATAACAATAGTTCGTGACGACAAAAATTACAATAACAAATAATTTTTTTATTGACATTAAAAAAATTAAAAAAAATTCTAAAGGGAATTATATAGCGCTGCCATAAAAGACAATACGTTAAAACCTTCTCACTCATACGTCTACATCAGCTTAAACAGTTAACATCAAGTTGTTTCATTGAAAAGTGGTATAAAATTCGATCAATAACTGAAAGAAGAATGTTGTTGAAAATACTCTTGTGTTTCTGCCTTTTTTCAGTTGTTCATTCAGGTGAGAATTCAAATTGCTTTTTATTGGCTTATCGGAATTTTTAAGAGTAAATGGACTTAAAATACACATATTGCTTCGTGTTTTTAATACGTGTATATTAGATCATCACTGGATGAAAATCGCCTCCGAGCGTTGTATTGGGCCCAAAAACGACCATTTCAGTTCTTTTACTTACACTGGGTCAAGCAGGTTTATTATTGCCATGAAATTGGTTCACACGAGGGGCGTTATTGGATGTAATGATCAAAGTAGGTACACACTAAATTCAAAATGGGGATGCGACAATGCCTTACATAGCATGAATATTATCATCACAGGTATGTACGAGAAACTGTTCCTCCGTATTATTTTGTTATATAATCATTGAACTAGAATTAAATCGTTAGACTAGAATGATCTGTTGCGAAAATGTTACGGCATTTAGCTATATCTCATGGTCGTGTATTAACAAGATACAACGGTAGATGAATAGTTAAAAAAATATCTTATTTTGCCGCAAATATGTGATTGGAAGAACTGATTTATTTAATTTATGACGATTTGACTTCTTAGACACAAGGAACAAACACATCTATCCCTCGTCAGCCTTGATTAGCCTGCGCACAGGCAACTGGTACGACCTTCCAGGCTATAGGCACAACTCCCCGGAAATTGTTTTTTCGGATCCAGGATTCCGTTATCTGCCGCACGGTCAAGAAATGAGAATCTGGTACGGAGAAGATTTGGCTAACTCAAGGGAAGGCAACAACTTTGGATTTTCATGCATGGATGTCTATGTTTATGTTGCATCAATATAGTAAATCAGTCTCCTTCGTTCTCGCGGCTTCTTATACATAATCGCTTTTTTGTGTTCGATATATATTCGCTTGTGAAGATTTAACCCGTCGATATTTCTCTTAGTTTGATTTAAGAGCTACGTAACAGTATGATTACATGTTTAATAAATAAAGTTAAAAAACGCAGTTGTATTGTATTGTTGTATTGAATATTAAATCATACGGTTGCTTGGTTTAACATATGTAAGCATAAAGCCTTAAAGGATTATTCCGCTGACGTTCAAGTACAATCCTCACTCACTCATCTACACGACCAGTTTAATTTAAAATAATACGAATTTTATACCAGACTAGCTGGTTTTGTCAAATACCATGCAATAGGACAAAAGATTAGCAGCTGAAATCATAACGTACGAGCACGATTGCTTCAAAATATTTAAGATGATAGACGTAATGAAAAAAAAAATCAATTGCTTACCGTAAAGACTGCTTTGACTTCCAATCCCAGGAATACTGTTTGACCGTGTGATTCCAAGACGACGAGGCTTGGGACTAGCTTGCATGAGACCCGTCCCAGGGCTATTGTGCGCGCTGCACGGGGCACTCGAGGGGTATCGATTCCGTGGGCGAATGTTCACGGGTTTAGTCGCACCAGGGGGGGAGAACGAGCTTGCTAATCCGGGGGATTCGTCTTGTATTATTCGCCGCGCAATGTTGGGTATGGGAAGAGAGGGGTTTGAAGCGCTTGGGGTGTCCACGGTGGGTAGGAAGTCACTGCTGGAGTAACTTGAGGGGGTTGAAGAGAAATTACTGCCGTCTCTTGATGAACAGTTTCTGTAATCCTGAAAAGAATGATGACGTCAGTATGTGATGACGTAAGAGGATGACGAGTGCAAACAATGAATCTCGAGATATAAACAAGGTTAGTTTACTGTAGTTGAGGTTTAATCCTGTTGTAAAACTGGATCAAAAAGATCCTTACTGGACCTCTCGGAAGAACAGTTTGGATAATATCTGGCGTGAATAACCCGACTTGTTTCAACTGTGTCCATTATGCTATCAGAAAAAAGTGAAAAATATTCACCTTAATTTTGATTGTCAGTGAAACAGCTTGATTGGTCGCACAATATGGACAGCTGAATAAAGACAAAGCACGAAATGAGTGAAGTCGTCACCCCCTAGAACGCACCGCAAACACGCCCTCCAATCCACAGCAGCCACCCCCCTCTAATCCAATCGTAAAACGCCCTCGTATCCACAGCAGTTACCCCCTAATCCCATCGCAAACACGCCTCCCCAATCCACAGCACTCATCCCCCCTAATCAACCTGAGTAGTCTCCCCCAAACCAGTCATCAAGTCCTCTGAAGTCTGTTTAGATACCTTGTGTTAAGGTTTGAATCATCTGATGTCCATCCGGCCATAATCTCTTCATCGTAAATATATTTTTCACAATTCTTACACTGGTTGCAACTACATATTAATGCTTCGAACGAGACGTCACGTGGAACCATTCCACAATGGCTGCGCCAATCAACAAAGTCGATACTTGATGTCGTATTCTAAGACAAGAGGAAATTCATAAGAGTTTATCCAAACCTCTGGGAAGAGCTGTTTGGAATTGATAGAGTTATTGGAGACAAAGTTAGTAAAGTTAGTTTAGTTTAGGTTTCCTCCTGTAGTAACACTGGATCAATAAGAGATGATTCTTACTGGACCTCTAGGAAGAACAGTTTAGAACTCATAGAGCTATCCAGTATAAATAAAGTTAGTTTAGTTTAGGTTTCCTCCTGTAGTAACACTGGGTCAATAAGAGATGATCCTTACTGGACCTCTAGGAAGAACACTTTAGAAATGATGGAGCTGTCCGTTTTTTAGGGGTTTTATACCTGATAACCTTCCGTTCCCAGATCCCCGGAGATATCATCAGCGTTAATGAAAACCTGATATTGCGAAGAATCAGTAGAATTGGTGCTAAGCGATCTTGTTAGGTCAACTTTCCCGCCAAAGACGTCAGAAAGATCAGTTTGGGACGAGGACTTTGACGATACTCCACTATCCGCGCGGAAACGACCTGGGGACGGTTCTAAATCATCAATACCGCTGTCGTTCGACTCCTTGAAGTTCCCAGGAAAGAACTCAGAGTTGGAGCGCTCAGTTTCGTCAAATAAATACGTCTTGATTTCTATCGGACGCTTTCGTTCTTTAAATTTCAACATGTAATTTACAGCGGAGATGAAATGAAACATGCGACGCCATCTTTGAAAACTGGTCGAAGTCGAGGGCCACTTTCCTTCGAAAACAGCCTGGTCGTGAGAAATATACATAAATTTGTTGAGAAAGAAGCTCTAGCATGCTTCGTCAAAGTTAGAAATATTGCAATTATATTTACCGGTTAACTGTCGCACTTAAAAACACAAGATAATAGTTTCTGATTCAAGCACTCAAGAAAGGTTATTATATATCTATTTTACCTTCATATAATAACCATACGTGACAGCATTTGGTTCAAAACCATTCCTTTTCATCTCATAATACGCCTATAAATGCATATTAAACACATAGCTAATACCAATCGCAAGAACGCATACGTTAATTGTTAAGAAATGTTTCTTTTCCTAATGAAACACCAGTTTTGAAGATACGCCACAACGATTCTATTTTAACCAATTTGTGATGAAATTTTAAACGGACAGTAATCGTGTTCCTAATTCAGTTTTTTGTTATAATTTTTCTCACCTTCACAGCCAAAGCCGGGTGATCATACTGACCACATAATTTCATCAAAATACGATAACAGACCTTCAATGAAAAATTACAAAATCATAAGTCCTTTGTAAAGGATTTTACAACGAGGCAGTTCCACTGTATAGTACGCTTATATATATAGACTTTATTAAAACGTTCTTTATAAAATTTAAGACTATACAGTATAAAAAATTGAGTAGAGTTACCTCATCGGGAAGCTGAACTTTCCCCTTCTGCATTTTGCAAAGAATCTGAGGGTAACAGGAAGCAAGGTTTAAGAAAAAAACAACAACAATACATTAGCTGTCATGCGAATCTTAATTTATATTTAATAAGTTTAATTTTACCTCATAAGCATTAAGCAATGCCTTGGCTTTATTGTGATGTGATCTCACGTAAGCCGGGAGATGAATGAACCAAATGCTGTAGCAATACGCCAAGAGACAACTGTTGGAAATAAAAACGTTCATCAATCGCCAAGCTTATGCGCTCAAGACAGGATTAACTGCTTCATATTTGCATAAGTTAAAAAATAAACAGGTCTAAATAGTCACAACTAACCTGGACCATAGCGATGGATTCTTTTCAATCTTCTTCACGCTCTGGATAAAAGAGAAGAAATGAAATACTAAATATGAGTGTACCTTGCTTTTTAATAGGACCAGAATTATATATCTCATCGCGAACCTTCACAGACTCATGACGTTCCTTCGGTGTACGCTTGCCGTAGACCGAGACAGGACTGGACACGACTTGAGGAACAGACTGCGAGGTCTCTGTGATAAACAGCTCGTCTTGTAGTTCAGGAAATGTGGGGTAACTGAAAGGAAAATAAAAAAGGTGTTGGAATTTCGATTCCCATGGCATTTCACACCCCAGCGACCAAGTTATTTCCTCCTTGAGACGATCGGAAGACGGTTAATTAAATGAACGGTGAAAGGTCAACGCTTTTTCATGAGATGTTAAAAGCTTACACATGAATATAGCTCGTTACAATTGACTCAAATGCGCTGTAATTAACGACTTTCTTTGTTTAACATGAAGACGTTCTTTCAGTCTTAACGAGGGTGGACGAAACTGACCTGTATTGCTTTTGAGGATCATGATCATTGGGCGCCAGGGGGGTGACAACATACGTTCTGTTGCTAGAAAACAATACAACGTCATTGTGAAACTGCGAGGTCAAACATGGTCAGATATAGCAAAGGTCACTTACCTTGTGACATCATCTATCTCTATAAGAGGTTGATCGTTGTCAGCCTACAAACAAAACAGCCAAATAAATTATGTCAAATAGACTGCCGAATATAGATGTGTTAGTTCCGAATGTCAGCGAGGAAATCTGAAATTTTCCTAATCTAAGATCTAACCCTAACCTTAATCCTAATCTAAGACCTAATCCTAACCTTAATCGTAATCTAAGACCTAATCCTAACCTTAATCCTAATCTAAGACCTAACCCTAACCTTAATCCTATTCATAGGTATAACATGAAAAAAACTAAAAGCATCGAAGTTTGAAGATATTTTTCCTAAAAGAAATTAGTTTCACGTACCCTTTCCGAGCATTCGTCGTAGAATTCCAAATAAGGATCTTGGGATGACACGAAAGACCGCTGCTCAATAAATCGGCAGAACAACTACAGCGAAAATAAGGAGAGGCTGTGAGAGACTGAGCACCTGGGATAATTATATGATAAATGGAAGACAAATATCGTACCTGAGTCTTTGTGATGATTTGAAGAAACTTGTGAAATGAACTTGGTCGAGATTTTAGGAAACCTGAGGAGACGTTTAGAAAATTTTAGTGCTGAAACATTAGAAAAAAAGTAAATATTTTACTATATTAGTGGGAGTAATGCACCTGCATACAGAATAATATATAGATCAGCGAATACCTTGTAAATCAAATAATGACTCTTGACTGAGATCCATCATATTCTTTGGGGCTTCAGTGATTGGCTTCAAGTACGACCTATAGAGATATGAGAATCACAAGTGCTTGAAACAATGAGAAAGGATGGCAAAAAAGATAGCTGACACAGCAGTTGTTGAAGTACATACAGTTTCATATATCCGTCTGTGAGGTCGCAATATATAACTGGACAAACAAATTCTTGAGCTGGGGAACACTTATCATATCTCACCTGTATCCTTTCAAGATGGTGATGTTGAATCTTAAGAATGCTTCTTGGATGGCGACCTCGATATTCAGCTGAAGAAAAAGAAAATCAAATTAATTATAACTTTACTACGATAATAATCATTATCTGATGAAATTTTTTCTCATATTACCCTTTTCTTTGCATGGGATGAATCGTGTTCCAATGGTGCTAACTCTATCGCATTGTCAGAACCAGTTCCCTCCTCACCTGAACAAAATGACAACATTTTTATGCAAAAAAACCCTCTTCAATGTGAACCTCAGAAAAGAAAATAGAAATAATTACCACGACAGAGCTGGTGAAGTTTTGCATACTGAATCTGAAGTTTATCCAACAGCGCCTTTCCAGGTTTCTGGTAAAAAAACAAACACAAATGTCTGGTCATTGATGTGACTATATTCATTAGAAAACACTTTCAAATTTTGAATCACCGTCTTCAAAATCATCTTAAAATAGTTCTGTGGTAATGAAAACCGGAAAGAAGAGATTACCTTTGGAAACAATTTCCAGGAGAAAGGGGTTTTATCGTAGATTCTAGAGAGCAAGGGAAACGAACGAAAAACATGAATGACAGACAACAACAGATACGTTGAACAACATGGAGGTAGGTTGTAAGCTTACGGTGATATCATATTTGTATCGAGATCAACACAAATGACGTCATCTGGTGGATCGCACAGCTCAAAATAGCGGGAATCGATTCCTACAAACATTACAATGCAGTGTTGGTTTTACCACATAAAAACTATGTTTAATTTTGAACGGGGCAAGCTCGATCAGTACTGACAAAGAAGTTCTCTCACATTGACTCACAAAGATCTTAAATATCGATAATCTTTTCCAAATTGGTCTGCAACAAATACAGACAGAAATCGCTAAATGACGCAAGCAACATACCAACAATAAAAGGACAGGGTGCATTGAGGATATCGGATAACGCCACGGGACACAGAGGGACAAAAGGGCATTGCCAAGAGAATGGAAAGATTATCTAAAATAAATATGTGTATTTCATTAAACAAGTGATAGAAAGATTTGTCCAACCAGAGATCAGTTAAAAAACGCAAAGAAATATCATCTCGTAAATCACATACACTGACAAGAGCTTCGGAAACACTCGTAAGAAGCGCAGCTCGGAGTGAGTGAATGAGAAGTTTATGTTCAGTTAGTGCGTAATAAAATAACTTGATGGAATTTTCTGGACCAAGCCAACGGAGTAGAGCAGAAAATGATGCGCCACTAAAGAAAACAAGACGGGGAAAGTTAATTTGGTTAGTTCTTAAAAAGATGTCATCAGTTACATAACTGAAGCATCTCACCTGACAGGCAAACTTCTTAAGTACGGCTGACATATTTCAAACGGCTCGTAAAGATTCATCTAAAATTAAAAGTTGTCAATTTATAAAACCTCCATGAAACTATAGATAATTTTCATAAGCCTGCTATAAGATATTGTGTACTAGCTGCGAATTCTGTATGGGTCATAAAACTCCGTTTCAAACTCTCGCTTAAAAACACTCGTCGACTCTCAAAGCATTTCATTTATCGAATACAAACCTGAACGAGAATCCTGGGCCTTTGCGGAGATGGGAAAGGAACATTAAGCATAAAATGCGAAATATATCTAAAAAAACCCAAAAAGCCTGGAATGAAATACACTCTGAAAACAAAATTGTATATTTCATCGGTTTAAAATGTTCAGATGCAGTTTTGTAGTTCGAAAATAGCTATTTTTATATAAATACCGATACATTTTTCTCATGGTGAAAAACTAGAGCTCACCTTTCTAAGGGAATCGGCTGGGTCGAGACAGAGATACGATACAAAGACGATAGAAACTTTTTAAAAGCTTCAAAGAAAGGCCAGTGGGAGAGCAGAGCAATACACTTGTTGGAATGAACGATTTGTCTCAAGTCGCCCAAATCCTGTAAAAAAACACAGGATAATATATGAATGTACTTTACAATTGGACAGTATAACTAAATGAATGTACTTTATATGAATATTTTTATTCTTCTGAACACAGGCATTCTTATTCAACATACTTTGTCATTTGTTGAGATGTTTAAACACTTTTTCATTTCTTCAGTGACTTGGTCTTCAGGAAGCTCCTCGAAAAACGTAACGCCGGCTCCGTAAACCTGACAGTGAAGCAGTGTCACACTTAAGTCTAACGTCCTTTTAAGTCATGGGTCAAGAGATTTAATGATTTTTCGAGAATTCCACTGCATTTTACAGAGATTTTCAAGCACCTCCTTATGCTTTCATTAAAGAAACTGTAATATCTTGAAGGACCATTGACTGCATTGAAGTTTTCAAACTGCGATTTTTACACGACTGGCTGGGGATATTAAAGTTCACAATCATATCCTTCTGTACAAAGCTGGAGGTTGTTGTATCGATTGGAAAATAACTCTGACAATTAATACTGTGGTATAGCGCAATTGTAATCATATAAGTCGCTTTGCAGAAGATTGATAAGGTTTGAATCATACTTGCAGACATCCTGAGATGTTGTAGGGTGTTTTTGATACAATATCCAACAGCATTTCACCTACCTTTTGTCCTTCCTGACGAGTGAGGATGAATGTGGAAAATATTGGCAATGGATGGGGGGATTTTCGAGGCCAACACTCAACGATAGCACCCATTGGTAAACTAAAGTTCGGGACTTTTGGTGGCAATGGGAAACCAGCCAAATCTTCTTTTGGATATCGACTAAGGATTTCTATATTCAAGAGTTTACACCATTATTTCAATTTTGAATAAAGACTGCCGATTTAAGTATCAAATGAAAAAGAAGTTGTCTAAATATGAACACTCTCAAACCTGCTTCGTATGTGATGCAGTGAGGTCTGGCTGGTGATTTTCGATAACACAGGAAGACATCCGAACTAACCTGGAAACACAAATACAAATAAATCACCTTGCAAGAAAAACAAGTTCATGACAACCAAAAACAGGCTACATAAAATCACCACATACCATTCCTTTATTCAGGTTTTTTTGAATTAAACAAAATGCATGAGGTGTCTGCTCACCCTGGAAAGGTTTGAAACAAATGTTTATATTAAGTTCACGCTTATAAAAATGCATTTGAAATCATGCAACCATTCACCGAAAATAATTTCGGGTTAATTTAGAATGGCACATGTTGATTATTAACATCTCACCTTGCTAGTGTTGATCACGTTAATATGGGTGACAGCTAAGGATGTGTGCGTCACCTTTGCAGAAGATCTCCGATATGTAATAAATATTCTATTACTAGAACTATCACTGATGTTTGCAGAATGTCCTTGAGGAGTTGTGTCTAGTATATCACAACCAGCGATGAGCCGTTCTTTACCTTCATAAAGAACACTGAAAACAGATACTTCACTGTCAGATAGTTTGCATGAGGAACCTTCTCAATAAATTGCAGAACTTTTGGCAGGAATATAACTGCATTGGGAATGTAAGATACACAAAATCCAACTCACCCAATGTCCACAATTGGTGGCTTATCTCTTCCCCGCCGATAACACAGGAAGCATGAGTCACTTCTAAGTGATCCCGAATTCAGATCAGCTGTGTACCCAGTTGGTGTTTTTTCAACACAGGTGAACCCTTCTGGTGGAACTTCACCTTTACTCTTAAAAATAACTGTTACATCTGTGATTGGGTCGAACCTTGTGCCGTCTCCATCCAAATTCCTTTCGGCATGTCTGCTAAGTCCTGTAACGACAAAGTAGTCGGCAACTCTATGCGGTTTTTCATTATCATCCATTTTGCAACATTTTTATTGTCTCTTCATTGTCTCTATATCCGCATCATGTTGGTTGCGAGAATACTCTTATCGTAATGCCAAATAGTACAGTTGAATTCATGACTCTTCAAAAGCTGGTTGTTCTACATAAAAGAAGAATAGAACAAAATCTTGAAAATGCCACTACATTCACAACTTCTACAATAACAAAATTTAAATCCTAATGATTGTCATGCAATCCCCTCGTTCTTCAAAGAAATAAAGAGGAATATGCTAACTTCAAAGAGCCAAGGTATAAAAAACCCATTACCTTTGTTCTAAATATAAATCTAAATTCAAACTATAGACCATAGAGTTGTATAAAAATGATATTTTCATGTAAAGTATTAAAGAGCAGATTTTAAAATGGTCTCAGTTCACCAGGAAGCATTATTAACAGCAAGATATCATGATAATCTCTGCTTCCTGATACTGTAATACTTGTTAATGAGCTATTATAAATATCAAAGGTTTTATAGCTCCTTATATGAGTTATATCAGAAAGACAATTATCTCTAAACACGTCCTAAAGTGAAAAGAGTTGTCCAAACTATCGAGGGATGGGATTTATGTATGAACACATCATTTGCTATACTTCCGCAATATGTCATTGTTAAGAAGTATTTAATGTTAGGGTTGAGATTTTTTATCGGATTACGAAACACGATACGTTTACAAAACTGTCAACAGTACATATAGATGGAATCAAATGCAATATTGTATTTAACGTAAAACAAGAAATTGACGCACGACTATGGCAGGGGCCAACAGCGATTGGTGGTTAGACAATAGTTAGTTTATCTCTTCTCTTAGATACATGCAATTTTATAAGCATTTGAAAAGCATTATTGCACAATAGGAAAACAAAACGACACGGCAGTCATTGAATAAAATATAGACAACTCTGAATTGGGTTTATTGCGACGGTAAAAATAAGTAATACAAACGGACGTATTTTACAACATGAATTCTGTACAAACCTTGGGTCTCTCTTAATTCGGATATAAACAGAAATCAAGCGATCGGAGAGTATTTCAAGGCATAAACACACGTTTCTGAGCTAAAAACATTGACATGTACCAATTTTGTCCGACTCCATTGATAATAGCCTGCAAAAAACAACTCAGCCTGCAAGCTTCGAGAATATACGAAAGAGCATGCGCGGCCGTCGCATGCATAACGATGAACAGTCCACTCTGGCAGCTCGGAAGGCATTAGGGGAAGGGCGTGACTGGACGTGCCGTAGCAAATTCATAAGGATGGGGGATCACAGACCCCCACTGCTTTTGTGTGGTCTTAAAAAATGCTAAAAACACGAGTGACACGAGCCATGACGCAAATGATCTAAGAGGTCGTTTTTCTGTGTGCATCGTTTCTATGTCAACCCATTGTTGGCCTTGAAGTAGCTTTTAAAATTGACGTCAGGCCGTACGAATATGGCAGGCACTTTTCGGCACTGCGCGTAACAAAATAACACAAGTTTAGTATCAACAAGATGAGCTTTTACCGTTTACGTGGGGCGAACCTTGGTTGTTCAACATGGTTGCGGCGACTTGCGGTCTGGTGCATTTCAGACAAATGTATCGATTTTATCATTTTCTAGGGATCAAGTGTAGGCGGAAGTCATGCAAAGATGCACGTTCGCAAGTCAAATCACTCAGTCAAAGTTTATCAATGAACTTCCACGAATACCGCTTATTCTAATTAATAAACTGTAGAAGTTCCATAAACCATTACTGGTACTTCTCTTAGCGAATTTGTAATTTGTAACAGCTGCGAATTTCTTTAAAAGCATTGGAACATGACCTACTACCCAACCATTTTTGTTTATTTTCTAGTTTGGTTATCGCTTGCAACGTAAATAATTGCATCTTTACCATCGTAATGTCGCTAAAGCCGTACATGTAACAAATTTGTAGAACATGCCTAAATTCAATATGGTCGTTCAATCAGTAATAATTAGAAATAATTAGTTCGTAAACCAAGCTCGTTGATTGGTCAAATGCTAAGCCGATCATCTAAACCTCTTTCTTATTGGCTGATACGGTGATAGAATTTTGATATGTAGTCATCTGGAGTCTCAGTGGACCGCTTTTGTATTCTTAATTTCTTGTATAATAGAGTTTCATATTGGCGGTCTTCGAAGGGGATAAACGTGTTTTGAAACAGTTATTCTAAAAGGCTTTTGCTTTACTACGTTTGTGGCTCGTTTCGTGATAGTATTCTCCAAGAGATTCGCGCTTATTTCACCGAAGTCGCCAGTCTGTAAAATGTCTGGGGTTACAGACAAGATATTATATTAAAATACACAACGTATAAGCGTTTGTTGTTTACAAGCCAGGCGGTCCTATTAGTTCTTGGCAAGATATTGGAAATTAATTGTTAACTGGGTATAACTATCTACACTATGGCTGAATCGATGGCAGGTATGTCTAAAGTGAATAAGTTTTTGCTTTGAACATCGAGTTGTCCACTGTCTGTCAGCAACCTTATCAAGACTTTTGAAGACTTCGATATTGCTTCCCTGGTAATATCAGCAGTCCAAGGCGATTCTTATCTTTTCGGCACAATTAAGAGCAGTCTTCTGTTGTTTCTTAGCACAAGAACTCTCCCTGTACAAGACGAAAAGCGGTCGGGTCATCCCGAAGAGGAAACAAGATCTAATAGTTAAAGAGTAAGCAGCGTTCATATTTATTAAAACAACTCAAACATCTGCCATAAAAAAACAAAATGTTTTGAGGTGATCGTCCTTGGAAGAGTCAAACAAAAACTACCCTTATCACATCCGATTCAAGTGAGGTTAAATTTCACATAAACCTGCAGGAATTTTAAATGTTTTTAAATTAAATTTAATAGTAATGTGATAGAGACATGAATCGCTAACCCATTCCGACCTTGCAACAGGGAGTACTCGGATGGTGATGAAGATGGACCCAGCCTTTCTTCTGGCCTGCCCTCTAAGAAACCCAAGTAGGTTTTTATTATATTGAACTATGTTTGACTGAATTATGTAACACAGTGACTTATCCAGCATTCATCATTTGACAGAGGCGATGATCCCGAAAGCTCAAGAGAGAAATTTGCTAGGTTTGTTCACCAGATATGATTGCATATATTTGTTAAACTGACATGACAAATGCAATGCTAAATTGGAGGTGTCTTTAGGGAGAACCACAGCGAAATTGAACGCAGGAGACGGAACAAGATGAATTCCTACATAAACGAGCTATCGGAAATGGTGCCAACTTGCAATGAGAATCCCAAAAAACCTGATAAACTAACCGTCTTAAGAATGGCAGTTGATCATATTAAACACCTCAGAGGTAGTTGAAAAATTACTTAACAAACCCCAATATAATCACAAACGATCATGTTGATCCCCAAATGATGTTGAAAGACCAAGTCTTTCATGTTGTAAAATGATGCAATTTACCCTTTTTTTTTGCTACCATTTACTTGGCACTGCTTTCCATAGGTCAGAAAAAAACCCTTTAGTCAATACATTATTTGAATTTGATTCACACATCTCAATCATCCCTGTGTTTTTAGCTGAACCTTCGTACGAGCAGCAGACACCAAAAACTAAGACGTCATCATTCTTGTCCGAACGTGAACTGAAGCTTTTAGTTTTAGAGGTGCTCAATTAATAGAGTTTTTTTATCAGAACAGCAGTTTAAGATGACTCCTGCTACATGTTTCTATCTTTTTATCCTAAGGCTGCCGGTGGTTTTCTGTTTGTTGTGAACTGTGTCAATGGTACTCTACTGTACGTCTCAGATTCAATAACACCTGTTCTGGGACAAGCTCAGGTTTGTGAAAACCAGAGAAAGCTTAGTTGCACAAATTCAAAATTTCATATTAACTCACCAGCATTGAAGTGATTGAACTTTGTATTTTATGATCTCACGTAGACCGAATGGGAAAACAGAACAATATATGAACTCATCCATCCAGATGATGAAAAGAAGATCAGGGACCAACTATGTGTGGATGCTGTGGACTCTGGTAGAATTCTTGACTTGAAAAGTATGACTCTCAATATTACGATCTCTCTGTTCTGACCAGTGTTTTAATATTTCTCCATTCATATTAACTTTTCAGCGGGAAGCGTAAGGAAGGAAACATCGTCAGGTAACGGTCATCCATTTGTGTTACTTGTTTACCCCAATGATACCCCTGTTATGGTCCTAATCAAGATCTATTCTTGTTTGTTCCAAACAGATGCATCTCGGATGTACACCAGCTCAAGAAGAAATTTCATATGTCGTATGAAGAAGGGACAATGTCCAACAAGCAGCCCAAAGAATACAACCACAGGACTGGATAATGAATATTCTGTTATCCATTGCACAGGATTCTTAAGAGTAAGATTCTTGCATAACTCTTCAATCAATGCCATCTCAATATTCTGCCCTGTCCTCTGAATTGTTCTTGAACAAATTTGAGCTTTTTATTAGGACACAAATTCATTCAAGGACACTGCAATACATCACATCCTTCGTTCAACTTTCTTAACCATCTTTCGGCGAAGATAATCCAGTGAACCTCCTCTATATATATATAGCTCACTGAGATAGTCTTCTTATAAAAGTGTTTCTCTCCCCTCAGGCATGTGCTGGTGGCCGTGTTAGTAATCTAGTCTCGATATCCGAGTCCAGCGATCCTTCTACGTTCTGCCTCATCGCCATCGGTCGTTTGCAACCAACGTGTTCGCCGGTGGGTACAGATTTATCCAATCAGAAACAAGTGACTGAGTTCATCTCGCGGATTGCAGTTGATGGAAAATTCACCTTTCTCGACCAGAGGTAATGACACTAACACCTATATTAACTGGGTCACTTATCAATTATAATCCGGGAAATAAAGACGGATGTGTTTTTTTAAAATATCTCTTAGCATTCAAGATGTCCTGGGTTATTCGCCAAAGGAAATTCTCGGCCAAAGTTGTTACGAGTTTATTCATCCTGAAGATAGAGAAAATATGAGAGATAGTTACGATCAAGGTATATATATGAATAATAACCATGTCGAGAAGTGTTTTGCCTATTTCAAGCAGTTGTTATACAACATTTGAAACATATGAACAAGTTGAACCTACGGAAATCATTCACTTACCACAACTGCCAATCTTCTGTCTCTCTGACACATCTTCTTCCTTAACTCATTCAATTCGATGCCTAGCTGTCTTGTCTGTCAGTCTAGGAATCGGTTTCAGCTAGTTGATGGAATTAAATACGCTTCCTTCGAACGGGATTTTTGTCTTTTAGTTATAAAAACAAAAGGTCAGAACCTGTCGGTGGAGTTCCGCTTCCGAAACAAGCGTGGTACCTACGTAAAGATCAGAACAGTTTGCTTCAGTTTCCAGAATCCTTACACAGACGAACCCGAATATATTGTTTGCAACAACTCGTTGGTCAGGTAACAACCAATTGTCTTCCTTGGATCATCCAGTGTTCCTTCCGATAAAGCTTTTGTTGTAGTATTTCTCCCCTGTAAACTTGATCCATCTTGCAGATTTTCTTGAATAACATCGTTAATATTTCCCTTTTTTTTAAACATACAGGAATAAGAGTCATGAAACGGACTTTCAATCCATATCAAATAATAGTCCTTGGTCGAACGCGCAGACCCCGATGGGTTTGATAGACCGGGTTCCAAATACCTCACCTGGAGAGACGTTTATGCCTCCCGAATTCTTTCCCAGAATGGCCATGAGTAAACGCTTTCCTGGTGAGTGAAACCTTGTGTAATAATAATAATAACAGCTAAGCTTGTGTAATAATAATAACAGCTAAGATGTTAATAATCTCTATATCTGAGTATCGGATTCGTTTCTTCTTTAGAAATGTCTCAATCTGCACCGATATACATGGTAAGATTCGAACCTTATAAAAAGTTGCAAAACTAAACACTCGCCTTCAAATTCTACATAAAAGTATTCCCTACATCAAACTATATCACTTTGCTTCTTTCCTAGGGTGGTAACGCCGTTCCACAATACCCGGGAATAGGGAATTTCCCCTCGTCTTCCGACGACCGTGCCGGACAGCAGAGAATTCCTGCCATGGAATCAACCAATTGTAAGTGGAAACATCCAGTTTTCTAGTCTACATTCATTTGCGTTACCAATTTAACCAACCTTGTGGATTTTCTGTTTTTCCAGACGAATTCAATCCACGTAAAATCGATGCAATGCCAAGCGAGAAAGGAGGTTTAAGCAGGTTTGGTCTCACGTCCAGTTCTCTCGATCGTCCTCAGTATTTGCCCGATGAAAGCCGACTGTCTCAAAACCCGTTACAGTTTCGTCCATCGCCGTCGTCGACCGGAGAGCTCTCGGAAATGCAGCGCCTGGTACCACAAGCGTCTTATCTCAACAATAACGTCGAGTTGAACAGTCTGGATCGGTCCATAGACGTGAAACCATCTCTCCAGCACATCAGCGCCTACGAAGCGCAAATATCGTCGCCTAATCAAATGGGCATCAACCCTGCGATGATGACGTCATCAGCCGCAGGGAATCGTGGGTATCAGTATAGTAATTGTAACATTTAATGAGGGTTCGTTATAGGAGTGAGTGAGGTGTCTTCAAGCCATGTTGATGGTAGCAATTGCAGATTGAAAACAATGTAACGGTGATAATTTATTGTCTGTAGTGATACTTTTTATGCATTTTTGAGTGAAGAATGTGACTAGAACGATTGTGTATACTACAATAGTACAAATCCTGTCAACTAGAATAGATATTTATCTCGGTTTCACCGTAGTTTTGAATCAACCAGCACCTGTTCTACGCAGAACACATTGGTATCTTTTGGTAACTTTTAAACCATATCTAAGTGAGATGTTCCTTAAAAGTTAATGAGCATTTAGCATCTGATGAACAATTTTGTATGAAGTGTCATTTGTACCCAATGCCAGAAATTTGTAAATAGCAGGAATTGCATGTTAGATTATTAAGGACATGCGTTGTGTGTGTTTGCGAAAGTGCAACACAAATATGGTTGCACTTGAGCACATGAAATATTGAATTTGGGCAGCACATTGCACAGTTAGACCGCATGAGGAAGTAAACACATTATGTAAAATCTAGATACAGCTATAATGTATCATGATTCATATCAATTGTTAAATAATCTATGAAATCATTTGTGAATTTAAATTGAATGGTGTTGATAATAAAATCATTGCAATAATTTGTGATCGCAATTGTTTCAATTACAGTATGGTCAGAACAATTCCTACTTCCTAGAAGTGTTTGTTACAACTTGGGGATGAAGGTCAAGTGCAATGGAGTGGCGCCAGTCATAGTCTCATTGATTCTGTCATATCAATGACATGTACATGTACCCAAACCTCACACGTATCCCCTAAGCTATAGATCTCGACAATCTAAACACAGTACACAGAATACAGTTCATTCAGAAGCCCCACTCACATATCTGCATAAATCGCGGCTTCCATGCACAGTGTCTCCTTTTCACCCACTCACTCTGATGACGATGTTTCCACAGATTCTTCAGACATTTTCTCTCAAGCTTCCAACGGGAACATGTATCCGCTTTATATACAAATTCTTAATGACTTTATGTCAGTCTTTATTGAGATCCCCAATTTCATCTTCATCCCCTCCAATTGCTTTCCAAAATGCAACGGCAACCTAAAATAGTTGAAAACTATCCTCAGATGATAACTAACAAACTTACCAAAGAGATCTGCACAATTTCAATCCACAAAACATTTAGAGCAAAGCAAAATCCCTCACCTTCTCAGCATATGCTTTTCTTTCTGTGTGAGGTAAATTTTCAGCTTTTTCTATAATTAAGGGTAAATTGGTTGGAACCATGAAAATTTCTCTCCAACAGCAGCAATTTAAAGGTATTGCCGATTGGAGGAATTTAAGAAAAGGTAAATAAAAAAAGCATGGTCTGGTTGAAGATTTCTGCTTACCTTTCATCAGCCTCATTTGGGAGAACAATTTATCAAAAGATGTTTCATTGTCAAGGTCAGCCTCGTCTATTATACCATCAAACATGTCATGGAATGTTTCAAATCCAGTCTGAGAGATATCTGGGAAAGAATTTTGAGCAAGTAAAATATTTTAGGTGAAAATGAGCTAATTTGCTTGTTCTGCACAGGATACAATACATACCAGCAGTTTTATTCTCAGATGCTCCATTTCTACTGTCATCATTGCCACTTGAAGTTGATTCAGATGTGCTGCCAGTTTTAGCTTCTTGTTCTTTAACAAAAAAAAAATGGTGAGCTACCATTGGATCCATTTCAAAATCAGCCAGATCAATGTTGGTGATTCACTTTTGGGTACCAAGTCACTAACCTTTCATTTCTAAACTTGGCCACTCTGTTGCATGTAGTGCCTGGACAATGCGTTCAAACCCAACAGTATTCATAAAATCATCTACCAATTACAAACAATTTCAGAAAAAAATTGAAGAAAGAATATAAGAAGCAATAATATATTATTTTACCTTCTGGGTCTTCTTCTTCATTTAGGTCAATAAACTCAAATGAATGCTTGATAGAAAATTCCAGAAATTTGCTTGTCAATGCTGTAGGAACATGAGATATATAAAATATGACTTCTATGAAAGGACAAATAGTTTTGCCAAAAAGAGGCAATTACAACAAAGAAATATTAAAGCTGTAATTACATAGAACTAACTTGATATATCTGGTACTATATCATTATTTGTGTCAGTTTTCCGGGATTTTGTTCCAACAAGGAGGAGTACTGATGCATCCTGGGATTCCACGCAAGGCTGCCATGCCTTTGCCACTTCAAACGAGAGCTAAATAGAAAGAATGTATAAGATGACAGTGAGATCTCTGAGTCATAACATGTGCTCGTCATTGCTTGGATTCCGCCAACCTGTGTTTGATCAAATAGGATGACAACAGCTGTGATTTGTGCTTCATCTCCGCTCAACCAATCTGGTTTCTCATTCTGACTGGAAACTGCAACAAACCTAACATCTGCACAGTAATACTTGTTCTTGATTCTCCAAGGATAGTAGCTGAAGCCATCCATTGATTTTGCTGCTGGACATTCATCTTGAACTATTTCTATTTAAGCATAAGATGGGAAATAAACTTGAACTATTCGTTCTAGCGGTTCTGCAGAGTTCAGAGATGTAATGCCTCAGAATAATCTGACAGTAACCTGGACCCTTGCACCTTACACTGTCAGAATACATCACACACTTGTAGTCGTAACACCCAAGAATATTCTAATATGTAGCAATTAATTTAATTTTAATTTTATAATTGAGAGCAAAAACTATTCCAAAGTTTAAGTAGACACAAAGAATGACCACACATGGAATACTCACGCTGAATGAACTCCTGTGAAGACATGCATTCGCAGCAATTTATAACCAAGATGTAATTCTCATCTTTCTTGTCGTTTTCGGCTGAATCTAGACTTGCACCCTGATCCGCCATTTTGAATTTGACCGCGCACAGACTGAGGGAGCATAAGAACAGGTATAAATGCAACGGTATAGACCAATTGCGAAACTTAGTAACCGCGCCTTCGCTCAACATGGAAACGAGGCTTATTATGCAAAACACAATATTTGTATTTTTTGCAGTACAAAGCTATTCGCCGAGTTATATGCCGTTTTTCGCCTTTGTTTTACATATTTTTTGATACCTTTCAGCTTGGTTTCATCGTTGTTATCATAGTTTTCAGGTTAGGAAGTTTTTCCTTTCAATTGAGGCGTTTTTGTGGTGATTTATTTAATCTTTTCGGCTGCTTTCGTCGGGGAAATATAGAAAAGGCCGACACAAACTCAGGTAAAAGTTTAGTTTTTCCAAACTATTTCGTCTCAAGTTTTGAAAATGTATTTCATTTTTCTCCCTCTTATTTGTGCAAAATTTGGCGATATATATTTGGTGCAAAATCTATGTTTTTTATGTCAAAAATTATTCAAAAGTCACGATCGAACAAACCACCATGTTCACATTTCTCATCTAAAATTTTTTTTATACCAATTTTATCGATCGATAACATGTAATTTGACAGCAATTTTACAGCTCAGCAAAAAAAATAGTAGAAATCTGTTGACAAAAACTATAAGAGATAAAATAAGCAACGGAGTTTTATGTTTATTTTCCCTATGTATATGGACTACAGTACATGTGATGTGATGCCGACTGAAAAGCAAAACAACTCTTCAACTTGGCACACATGCATGACATGGATAGTAAAATACTTATAACCAAGACATAATATCATTGTCTATTTTGAATTGCCATTTGAATATTCCTTTTCCCGCAATAACATACTATAAAGGTAGCCACAATGCAAGCTGCAGCGTTTTTAAGATACACCTTTACATGATGGCAAAGCCGAAAGCGAAAAATATTTAATAAACCGGAGTTCGCAAGTGTTTTTCCGTTTACGATGCTGAACGGAATCCTTTCCTTTTCAAGTATTCCTGGTTAACCCTTATTAAACATCTATTGCATGGTAGCAGATAGAAAGAATAGTGTTTTGTACTAACAAAAATGCAGAATTCAGATGCAAACTCAGATGCATTCGAATTCGACTTTTATAAAATTCGGCCTTCAGGTCGGCATGCAAGCCATGCATCATCTGTACTTTATTAAAACGAATATAAACAAAAACATTTCAGTCAGTTACTTTTGACCATTTTAACAGTATTACTGTGGTATAAAGAAAAAAAAAAGTGATATTTGTGAATAAATTTGAATAAATGAAGCCATTTCAGTCATCAGGTTTGAAAATTATATAATCTGAATGTCACTTTTGACATAAAAAAACATAGATTTTGCACCAAATATTTATCGCCAAATTTTGCACAAATAATGAAATACATTTTCAAAACTTGAGACGAAATAGTTTGGAAAAACTAAATTTTTACCTGAGTTTGTGTCGGCCTTTTCCATACTTCCCCAACGAAAGCAGCCGAAAAGATTAATGAAAACACCACAAAAACGCCTCAATTGAAAGGAAAAACTTCCTAACCTGAAAACTATGATAACAACGATGAAACCAAGCTGAAAGGTATCAAAAAATATGTAAAACAAAGGCGAAAAACGGCATATAACTCGGCGAATAGCTTTGTACTGCAAAAAATACAAATATTGTTTTTTGCATAATAAGCCTCGTTTCCATGTTGCACGAAGGCGCGGTCACTAAGTTTCGCAATTGGTCTATAGAAGCATGAAATACTACCACCGTAAACCACCTCACAAAAAAATATGAAAAATAAACCAAATCCGTTAGAGATATGTTTAATAACAACACTTTCTGCATTAAAAAAGCAAAAACAACATGGACTATCAAGTTAGTAGACCACGAGGCGATATCTGAAGACTTACAAACTGCTTCAGTATCGAGAAACTTTGCTTTCATAGATAAACAGTTTACTATAACTAGATGATATTTTTTCTCTATTAGATTTTAAAAAATCAAAAACGTTTCAACTCTTTTTAGGGCTAAATCACAGCAATCCACACTTCTTAAAAAGTTCTTGAATTCGCTTGTGAAATGCAGGCTAAATTGTTCTGAGCTTTAAGAGAAAACCTTACTTTTATAAAGGTTTGAAATTCCTATGTTACATATATATATAATTATCTATTTTCTGTTGAGAAAAACTGCTTAAAATCTATCCCAAATTAGGCTAATATAAATAATATTCACATGGTTTAAATCGTCAAATGTCATATTATCAATGTTTGAAAGCCACTGGTCAAGTGGTGCGTTGCCGTTATCAGTACTTTGCTTCTTATTCTTGCATTCTTAGAAATATCGGCAAACAACGTTCCCAACAATTTCAATCCTTGCTTGTGATGGTTCATTAAAATATATCGCGTCCAATCGAATTGGTGCACTAAAACACGCAGATTGATACATCTCCGATTTTAAAATCTGAACCTTTTAAGCTTGTGGTTATCCATTTGTTCCATGGGAAGCGAATAGCGAAAGAATTAAAAAACAGCCATCGAATCACAATAGATCTTTTCACTTTCAAACACGAACCTCAAGGCTCATGGCTATACTCATCCCGTATCTTCGCCGGTTGGCAACAGAGTTTACAAAGGAATATTAACAATGCGAGTTTCTTAAAAGCTTTGCTAGACTGTTGTTGTCTAATGGCTCGGAACACTTCGGAATCTCTTCGTAAATTAGGGCGAATATTCCGCCTGCTGTTAACACGAACTTTGACCTGACAATGGCCGGCTCTCTTCCTCGCTGCTGTAATGTTTTTTTATTTCAACTGAGCCGTCTTTTGACACGTTATTCGTAAGATCATGGTTGTTCTTTGCAGGGCTTTTCTGTCTCTTTCCATCGTTTTCATCCTTTCGAAGTAACATTCGTTCGCTTTCTCTGGCTTTTTCTGACCGGGACATCCTCGTCATCCTCTCTCCGTTATCGCAATCCTCGGCGGATTCCGGAGAGTTATTCGTATCCCGTCGTCGAAAGCGTCGGGAAAGCTTCGACCACGGTATTCCCTTCCTGCCGCAGAAGTACCCTGACACAAACACGATGAGGCCAATCACAATCAATAATAAAATCAACAGCCATATTGGTACGCCTGATGACGGAGATGTTTGAGCGACTGCAACAAAAAAAGAGTAACCAGTTGAGGTGAAAGGGTTTTCGCATATCGTGCGCTTGTTTGGAGAGTGGGTGAGGAAGAAGGGGGCCCTTAATAGATGCGACTTTTCCTCCAGAAATATTGGATATACTCTGCAAACATTTTCCCGTATGAGAGAACACTACATTTAAATTTCTGTATATATCAATTCAGTTTCAACAAAGTTATCTCAGCTGGGGTCGGTTGTATCACGCCCGTTTAGCTTAAACGGTGGATAAGCTAAAAATAGAAAGCAAGTCTATCGTTTTATTCAACAAGCAAACTAAATGTTTTTAACCATAATACAAAGATACTGTTTACAACTACATATTTCGTGCATAATATTCAAGTTGACTCATTCAAGAGATATTATAAGAGTGCTATTTAATTTTGACTTATCCACCGTTTAAGCTAAACGGGCTTGATACAACCGCCCCCTGGTAGTTCTGTACGTTGTCCTGGCAACGTTTGCGACATCTGGCGACGCAGAATTTAAGGTTTATTCAAGTGACACACGCACAACACGACAACCAACCAACCCACAGATTATTAGCAATAACAACGGCACAACAACAAAACTTGCTTCACTGAAGTATGAGTGATTTGCGAATGCAATGAATTTGTTTTTCATTTTTAAAAGACACACACGTCCTCCTCTCTTTCATGTGTTACCTGGTTGTTTTGTGACTAAGCCTTGTCTTGAGGATATAATCTGTGTACGGGTTGTCAAACGAGAAGTTGGCAAACGGGAAGTTGGCAAACGAGAAGTTGGCAAACGTGTGCTTGGCAAACGTGTTTTTGGCAAAGTCGTTGGCAAACGGGTTTGTTTACCTGTCGAAGAATTCCTGGACCCTGGGGTTCTTGGAGCAGACGGCGGGGCATTCGTACTTTGCTGATCTGCAAATCACAAAACAAAACGGAATATCATTTTGGCGTAAACAGGCTCGTCAGAAATGCGCACCATGCACTTCGTAAAAGACAAATAAGCTTTTTCGTGTTAAGACTTAATCGATTTGATAGAGAAAAATCGAAAACAACTATAGCAAGCTAGGTCAATACGGCTCAAACATCGCCGCGAAAATATTCTTCTATCTTACAAAATGAGAGGAGTTATTCTCAAAAGTATCTCATAATAGTTATGATCACGATTTTATGAACTAAATGTTTAATTTTCTACAGCTGTTAAAGCATTGACTTGTTTATTTCATTGAAGCATAGCATTTAAATCTATTTAGTGCTTTTATGATTATACAGATCAGTCAAAGTGTTAGTAAAAGTCTGTGCATAAACAGCCCCCGGTTTAGCCACTTTCAATTATTAGTATCGTTAAATTTAGGCTAAAACCCATGCAGTACATACGGTATTCAGACGATATACCCAGTACCACAGTATGTACAATTATTGGTATTACCACACAGTGCGAATTAGTTTTAGTTCAAGTGTAATTCATATATTACCTGACATACCAGGCGTCGTTGGTTTTTGAGTGGGTACAGGTTTGGATACGTTTAAATCACCAAGTTTTGTCTTTCCTTGGATCGCGTCTTCCAGTGGACGAGTTAAATCGCTTTCATCTGAAGTTGGAGTCTTCAAACCACTTACTTCCGTGATTGCAATAACACTCCCTTTCCTAGCAAAGTAAATGTTGATATTCTGGTTGATTGTGACCGCCAACCAGCGCCAACTGATCAGAAGAAGTCAAGTTTATGGTTGACATTTTCATACACAGACCAAGCAGTCCGCTACATGAATGCAAATCATATGAAACGTACCTAAAAATAATCTTCGCTTTTTGAAACAAATTGCTCCCCTTGTACAATTCTTTTAACTGAAATATAAAGGGAGGTATAATGTTAGAGAACAAGCCAACGAAAAACCTTTTAAATCTCACGTCTGATATGAGGTAAGTTACTGCACATACTCCATTCAAAACTCTTCCTCTTAAATCTTGATACGCTTGACTTCCGGTGTCCAGTAAATCATCGCTCCATGTAACATCTTTAATTGCAAACTCGAATGTTTTTGTAATAACTAAAAAGAATAGATATTGTTTTCGTAAGTATAACAGAGCGAAATGTCGTAATATAGAGACACAAACATCATTACATATCTATCAAATATCCATCTTACTTTTATAAATACCACTGGATTTGACGCCAAAAGCGTTGTAGGCGACAATCTGAGACTCGTCCTTTTCTATCTTGACCACGGAGCCTTCTGATTGATTGTTTTTCGTCTGTGTGACTAGCTTCGGATGAGGGTAGCCGCTTGCACTGCAGGCTAACTTAAAATCCTTTGTGACTTTGCACTGGATTTTAGGCGGCGAGCCTGGAAGAAATAAAATTTTGTACAGACGACACAAAACCTAAAGCTGGTATTCAATTTCACAGCCATGCTGCTGGGAACAGTCATCACTTGAAAACTTGGTTTAACCTGGAATTATAGTCTAAACCAGCCTTCAGCTAACAACACTGCAGATTAACCTACCAGGAATTTTCACAGAACAGCTTTGTGATGAGAGATGATTGCGTACGTGACACTCGTATGTTCCAGCAGTCTTTAGGGTATAGTTTGATATCTTGAGTTCGCTCGAGTTCCCAGGCAACCGTTTGCCGTCTTTGGTCCAAAATAATATGGTCGGTTCTGGAACGCCCGAAGCGGAACACTGCAGGATAATTTCTGCTTTTGGAATCAATTTGTTCGTCTGAACGACCTTACACGAAGCAGCAACTGTAAAATAGGAAAAAAAACGTGGGTATAACTCAGGATTCCCTCCGTAAACATGGTAATAGGGAGTTCAGGATTCGCATGCAAACGGCAAACGCCATGAGTTAGGGAAAATCTTTCACCTCCCCCCCCAGCTATGAAGACCTCCCTCTTATGCATGTGATACTATTGTTCTTGATGTTTTATTCAGGTAAAGGCGAGCTCACTTGAGGAGGGAGCGCAATTGGGAGAAAAGAATTTATCCTTAGAGCCCATGGATGTACGGTCTGTTCTGTTGAGGACAATGAAAATATTTAGTTCACTTTATAGCTGGGTTTACCTGAAGGACAGACTTTCTCATAGTCGCCATTTTTTATATCTTGAATAATCGTACTAAAAAACGAGACAAAGATTTCATTACGCGTACAGCACAATTGAACTTGTTCGGGACAATAGCTAAAGGAAAAAACATATGGGCGCCGAAAGAATGACAGGAATGAATATTGTTTAACACATCGTGTGTTAAGCTTCTCCTCGTTACCTTTTCTTTTTGCTTGAGTTGAGTTGAACACATTTTCCATTGTCCCATCCACAATAAGGATTCGCAGCTTCAACGCAATCCCTGTAAAAAAAATTCAGAAAACATTAATTTCATCATTTCCTGTAGGATGCTTTCACTGAACTGGATATATTGAATTCGTAGAAAAGGTATAAAGGCAATCTAATCTGGTATGAGTATACAAGCTGTTCTGAAAAGATCTCTGGATCAAACGATTAGAACTGATCAATTACTAATATGTTTAACTATAAAATAGCAACGTCTGTGGCTTGCTTACCTACAAGAGGTATGGGCACCACAAGATGCCACTGGAACAAACAACAGTGCTTCATCTGCGGCGACGATTACTGTTTTCTAAAAAAGGTAATTTTGACATTCGTTCGTTACGCTGGTTAATCCTCGCGTGGCTTCTCAACAGCAAAACATTTCACCAGCTCCCGTAGGAATCCGTTATGCATATATAATACGGACCGTAATCTCTACCATGTCAGTGCAGAGAAACGTTTAGAAAACAGTATGTTGTATATACTGATTTAAATATCAGGGGCCGGTTGTATCAAGCCGACACCGCAGAAATTGGTGTTTAAGACGTTTCAACCCGAAAATCTAATCGCTGGTTCACAATTGTGCATTTCTGTATCGCCCTATCAAAGAGAAACCTTTTGAATATCTTAAAAAAGTTCAATTTTTCTTCTGAATACGCATTCTGCAATCTTTTGACAGCTCATCATACACATCTGACCGCATCATACACAAGGTTATTAATTCAGACGATTCGTTTTTACCGTGAGCAAGCTTCAAATCTTTTGTGCAAGACATATTTTCTTGAATATTTATAAATCTTTTTCCTCACCAAGTTTGAAGTCTAAGTATCGAGAATTGCGGCTAAGCCTATACCAATTTCCGCGGTGTCTATCAAGCCCGTTTAACTTAAACGGCGGATAAGTCAAAATTAGATAACACTCTTATATACAACTCTCTTGAATGAATCAACTTGAATATTATGCAGTGAATATGTAGTTGTAAACAGTAGCTTTGTATTAAGGTTGAAAACATTTAGTTCGCTTGTTTAATAAAATGGCAGACGTACTTTCAATAATGAACTTAACCACCGTTTAAGCTAAACGGCTTAATACATACAACCGGCTTCAGACGTACATTCCCTAGTAATGGTTGAGTTCAATCTTGATAATAAATTTCTTTTAAAAACTCATACCTGGCCAGGATAATTCATGAAACCAGTCGAGCGCGAAGGAGGCTTCGGTTTTGATGAAGAATCAGACATTGGCGGGGCGAAAAATCTACGCCGTAGCAAAGATTTCGTCGTCGTTAGATTGGTTGGCGATGTATTATTGGGCTGAACGGGAATTCGGGTTGAGTTTCCCGACGAAGGTGTTGCTGAAGATACGGGGTCCGTTAGAATGGGAGTGGGTGATGTGTTTTGGGGTGTGGTTGCTTCGATGGTTGTGGGTCTGGGTGTTGATGATGCTTTCGGTGAGACAGATGGTTTAACACCGGAGAACTGTTAAATAATATGGATGAAATGAGAAACTCTACTATGGAGAAAGCGGAACACAAGAACAACGCTATATGCTGATGTCAGTCTTTAAAAAACACAGTATACTATTAGCTACAACAAGACAACGTGAAAATTGATATTTGCAATTAAATGCAACAGCATTAAAATAAAAAGAACAACAAGGTTTGTTATATAGGTTCTGTGTATTTTAAATGTGATTGGTTCATTCGTAGTCACATGACTTTAAATAAATGCAATGTTTCCCGCCAGGGAAACAAGTGAAAAATTGTTGCCCGCTTCTTGTCATAAACAAAGTAAAGTGGGTTTCTTTTTTAAATGTTTTTGTTCCTATATAACAAAACACTTAATGTCCGCTACACCTCGGGAAATAGTGAGTTTTGTTTTCCCTCGAGTCTCAATGTTTACCTCGACTTCGTCTCGGGAAACATTCAGACTCTTGGGAAAACAAAACTCACTATTTCCCTCGGGAGCATACATTAAGTGTATAGTATTCTTTAAAGTAAGGCATCGTGTCTATGAAGTGAACGACTTCATGATGACAGCCTTACCTTGTGAAAGACCATTATAAACAACGATAATTTGACAGTAAAACAAAGGCTACGTTCTCTTACCTTCATATTCACAACATCTGCGACGTGCAATGGTTGCTAAAAAACACGTTTATTTTCAGTTAACCAAAGATTAGATTATACTTGATGTGGGTGCGGGTAAAGATGTGAAGTAGACGAGCTCCATTCTTTCAAAGTAAATGTTATATTTACCTCGCTAATTTTTCTAACTGATAAATACGTTTTCACATCTTTATCGTTGAAAAAGTTTTTCGGAACAAAAATCTCGTGCATCAAATTGGAATCTAGTTTGAATTAGGAAAAAAAAGGTTTAATTAATACGATGGTGGGTTTATCTTAACCATCGGGATAACCAGAGCGCAGAACTTACAAAAAAGTCGCACGATTTCATAGGACGTGTTGGCTATAGTGTCTGAATCAACCAACATTTTCATTATCCTACAGAGGTAAGGAAATAGAAATTTATTAAGAATAGTAGCATTAAAACAATTCACAGAAGCCGGTTCTACGAAAGACGTTTAGCTTAAACAGTGGTTAAGTTCAAAACAGAAATGATGTCTATCGTTTTATTCAACCAGAAAACTAACTCGTTGTTGAAAATTAGCTCGTTGTTCAAGGCATTCTCTTGATCTCTTCTACATAATATTAGCCCATTCCTCGCCTGAATTTATTGAATTCTACTGCTAACAACCCTTAAGCTAGTGGTAGTAGCTAGTGGTCAGTTAGAGCGCGATTTCACGGCGAAAAAAATAACGATGACAATGGTTGAAACTGTGTTGTTTCCACGATTCGTAATATAACTTACTTTGTATTGTGGTTGCGTGTTGCTACTGGGCGGCCACCATCAGGTTCAACCACAGCAACATGCAGTTGACGACTTTGTATGTTAGTTTGAAAATAACTACGCCTGACAGCTTTCGTATCCAGAGATGAATTACACTAAAGAAAATTAACCAGCAGTCAGTCAGTCAGTCAGTCAGTCACCAGAGCTCGTAAGATGCACTATACAGGACTGCATCTCATTCTAGCGCAACACCCATGCGGCCACGTCGTACTAACTGTAATTCTTACCGTTTTCTGCCTGGGGTCGCCAGAATCAGCCACAAAAACAGCTTTCTGGCTACTTCGAGTATCGTAATACCTCCCACTTTCAAATGCTTTCTCGATATTTGACAGTGAATATCGACAAACTGCGAACATTTTATCTGCCGGTCTGAAAACGAGAAACATGGCGATGCATGGTCAAACGTGATGTCTGCATGACAGTGATGAAAAGGTTTTGTTTTATTCTACGAGAATACGCACCTCGCGGCTCTAAATAGACCATAAATATAGACCTCGCCATCTTCTCCGGTAACAACTGATGTAAACTCTGTTAAAAAGAAAACAAAGTTTCTATACCGTATCTCAGAATGTTTTTATCTTCTGCTCAACCCAACACTTAACTTAAAAACGTGAACACAAACTGCCCCCGGCTTCGATCTTGAAGCCTGAAGGTAATATTCCGGAAGGAACGACAAACGCAATTCAATGGACATGCCTGAATCAGTGAATAACAAGACGCCTTACCTAGATTATTGTAATGGAATTTTTCCTGGCTTGTTGTCGTGAAACACAACAACCGTACTTTGGAGAAAGTTTGAAAAAAATTTCTGCTGGGCGTATGGCTTTCACCTCCTCGGTCATACTAAAACGATTAAGAATACATGCACATACTTATTAACGTGCGAATCAATAAAAAATAAACCTTAAATGTTGAACTCAAATTAGTCCCAAATATACATGAACATATTTTGTATATTTGTACATAATGTACCTTGCATAGTCGTCCAATGCGCGAGTAAGTTATCTAAGCAAACGAAAGAAGAATTATAATATCAGATACTGGAAAATACTAGTTTTACTTTGGTCTTTGGGGTGCGAGTTTTTGCTCTGAGATTGGTTGCATAAAACTCAAGTGGTCAAATATCTTAGTTAACCGCAAAATTTACAATCATAATGGGCAAACTCTATCCCCATAACTATAGTTTAAAATTAACTACCTTTAGCAGCAGACTTACCCTGGTTTTCTCTTCAACAGCTTCCTCTGACAAATCAGTGAACAAATAATAGATATAATTTCCAAATTCATAAAGAGAAATGAAGACAGGATCTAAAGTAGCAAAATATGGTTCAGTTGTTATTTGATGCGCTGCTAAAGAAACAACTGATGCATTAAGGTGCAAAGGGGACCTTATTTTACTGCGGGCATAACATACCAATATCAATTATTGTTAACTCCAGGTCAGGACGGCCGTTTTCTTCATCTAGGTTCACTCTCTTTAACTTCCCATTCTGTCGACTATGATATTTAGTTTCAGAACTTATAAATATGCTTGAACCTACATTCAAAATAAAGCAGATATTAATAATTTATAATGGATACTAGATTAAAGATTTTCTAATTCTAAGCCTTGCCCTGTATATCTAAGCCAGACCCAGACCGCTGTATATCTACTCTTTGATTTCACATTCCCAGCATTTAAACTTTAATCAACACACATTATGGATAACTAATGGAGGCTAATACTGTATGGAGGCTGCGCAAAATATTGAGCGTTTATAAGCAATAGAAGTGCTGTAGTGACTGATTTGGCTCTTTGTGACAAAATATACTGTACATGTCTATACTCAACACACAAGTCATGAGTCATGCAAGTCAAGGGGAACAATTTTCCTTACCAGACACAACATATCTGACATCTTCTGCTGCTGTGTAAAACGTCTTCTCCTGTGGTGTTCCAATAATGTTCGTTCCCTAAATTTTGCAAAATCAAATAATATTTAGCTAAAAAGGCATCCAGATATAATCCTGTACAATGCACTCAATTCATTGAAAACAGCTAAAACAGGTATCCATACTACCTTTATCCATGCTAATAGCCTTCACTGCTATCTTGAGTATAGTTAAATTTAGGAATGGCTAGCAAAGCAAAATTGCTGTGACTTACATTTACTTCCCAACAATAATACTTTATTTCAGCATTTGTACCACAGGCTAGCACCAAACCAGCTTCCCCAAGTGGGATAATCATGGTAATGATATTGGCACAACTGTCTGAATTCTGAAAATAAAATAAATTCAAATTAATTTATCAATTTGTAAGAACACTGTGTGTATTTATTATATGCTGAGCTGCCGGTCTGTCCCCAGGACATTCATCAGCGTAATCTTTTAAGAAATATCAAGAATATTAGTGTGTATATACTTTAAATAGGACACAAGATTAAGGTGTACAAGAATTACCAAAAATATATTCATTTTTCATTATTCAATATTTCTCTTACCTGTCTTAGACACAACTTATAATCATTCTCCTTGCTTTTTATAGTAGTTTGACGAATAAGATCCCCGTTTAGGTTTATCAGAAGTAGGGCATCGCTTAAAAGAGTTATGAATATATATTTAGTTTTCACCCTAAAAGGTGCATATCCCCACGGACATGAAGAAATATTTAGAAAAAATATGCCTACATGTATCTACAAATCTATCAGCTGAATTACATACCTTGCACCAACCAAAAACGTTGGTGTATTTTCTATTTTCAATATAGTAGCAAAATTAGAAAAGTTAGATTTGATATTTACACTTGAAAACTTTGTACAATCTAAAAGAAACAAGGTGAATACTTCATTATTACATCATTACATACAAATCCCTCATAATTGCATATTTTATCATACCTGGACAAAGGGTAACTTTTGACATGTTGTCATGAAATGGCACTTGACAGAGCACAACTGTTATGACAGTTAGGACACAAATGCAAAAAAACTTCATCTTCTTGACAATCCTAATTCAAAATTAATTTGATGCAAATATTAGAGACTGCTACACTGGAATACACATGTCTCTTACATGAAACTTGTTCCCCATATATATGCCTAAAATGTACCAGAAAACATTCTGAAATTACAACCTATTAGGCTGTTCTTGCCAGAAGAGTTCTTATGTTACAAAATTATGTAACATTGGACAATCATATCACATAATGCAACATGCTGTTAACATGTGCAACTATACAATTATATTGTTCTAACACTTAATATGTTAGAATTGTACCACAAATGTATTGGGCATCCTTATTTCTTCTCTATTCTAAAGCATGTGACTTGAAGTGTGACATTTAGAATACTTCAACAAGTTTGTGCTTTCCAATCATTTTTGTAGTACTATGCCTTACACGAAAACGCCAAGGGAATGAACTCATAACGGTATGGGGCATCAATTCTTCTAAACACCATTATGGAACATTTATTTAAACGTAATGAAATATGTCAAAAAGTACATAAAACCCTTGGAAGCACTTAACAAAGCACTTTCTCTTCAAGAAATGACAAGTTTCATAATTGAAATAGAAAGATACCTCGTGAATTAAAGCAGGACGCTTTTTTATCGAGAAGATGTGTCGTGCAAAGTTGATATTCAACCACACTAAATCTCCATAAATAATTGATGGCATTTCAGACAAAATTGTGAGTCACACACACGCCCAAAATTAAACACAAGCTTCCTCACGTTTTGTTGTGAAAAAACACTTTCGATTGACACAATAGTATTAGCATTACGCACTCGAATTTGACCTACGAAACAGCGCGAAAAAACCTACTCTTTCGAACAAGTACGTACGCTACGTACGCTATAAACAGAAATAACAAACAAGAAATCGTCAACTTGTTGACTGAAGCGTGAATGGCGAAATTTGCACGAGAATTCAGTGAAGAACCTTCTCCATTCTTCGTTCATGCATTTCCAACTTATTCTAGATTAAATACTTGTGAGCACTTCACTTCTACGGATAAAAATATCCATGCAATATCGTTTGTTACTAACTTCAAATTTTGCCTAAAATGAAACACGTGAATAAACTTTTTAGAGCAATTCTAAAGGCAAACTTTTCCTGTAATTTGCAACTTTCGACCCCGAATTTCGAGCCAAATTTGATACATTCTCGTATAAGAATTTCACATACAAAACATCAACTAATAAAATATTGTCTCATCTACGATATTGTCGAAGAAAAAACGTTACGATCCTTACTTAAGTATCGCCAATACAAGTCTGTATAACGAAAGTACACACACCAACGATTGTTACTTGTAAACCACAGCAGAAATCTCAAAATACTCGCGTGAATGTCCCATATATTTACAAAAAACTACCTTCTTAGTAACTGCTACCTTGTCTGGGAGAAGGCCTCGTCTCCTTTTCAAATTAATACTAAGCAAGACCGATAATAAAATAACCCGCAAGTCAATCCAGAATCTTGTAAACAATCATTATATTGAGCGACGGTTGCGTTTCAGTATTAATAATAGACAACGAACTCATGACACATTCAAGTATAAACACACGTTTTAAAACAAAAGAGAAAATGAAATATACCTTAGATGCTTTCGAGGTTCTTGAACAAAGCTTGAAACAGTCTACAAGACAAATGAAACCATGGTTTCTCGCATGAATCGAGTTACGTTACAGCCAAGCTAAACATGGCACAGCAAATTTGAATTCAAAGGGTTGCCCTCTAAGTACACGACGCGCCCTCCGGAAGCGGATTTAATCCGGCAAAGCTGGAAATTTAGAAGACGCCTTAAAATAAGAAGAAAATAGATGGCTTTACTAACCACAAGCGAAGAGGCCCAATAATAGTTTTTGGTTGACATATATATTTTATTTAAAACGCGGCTATTTATTTATCGATAAGATCAGCCATCGTTCAGGGGGGGAAAGAACCGGATATTGTGGTGCAAACAAAAATAGCATGTCATTATTATAGTGAGTGTAGGCGTTCGTTGGTAGCAAAGTTAGCACGCTAACACAATACGGGTGAAATATTGACATCTTACGTGCACGTTCTTGTCAAACAAACCCCAATTCCGATTAAAGCGAAATTCTTCACGTCATAATGAAAGCGAATTTTGAAAGCGAAAAAGTTAAAGTGGACTTTGAAGAGAAAACGTAATACTCTTAGCAGCCTAATTAAATACACCCAGGAAACGATGACGTTCCGGGTCACTGTCACCAGACCATCTTCCCGTTCACTCTTTGATTCAACAATCAAGACCGCGAATCCCGTGGGATTAGCCAAGTCAATAACCAAAGAATTGTGATTTTTAATTCACGATTTTGGCAAACACTGATCAATACTTAAAAGTGGTTTATTTGCGCATGATAAGCCAAACACCCAAGCCGATTTTAATGACCCTTTCATTGGGAATTAATCATTTGCCCTCTGTCAGATGCAATCAAGTAAAAAACGTCTATCATTGCATGCAATAGAAGCGCCCATCTTTAAGATATAGTTTATCTAAAAATCAATTCCCTTTTTCATTTCGAACATCTGCAAAGCACAACCAACAGGTAACGCCCGCGTGACATCTTTCGTCAGAGTTCAGTTGCACCTTGCACGCTCATGCTAACAAGATTAATATGACGTTACCAATAGGTCATAGCAGGTGGATATTGAATTAAACGTGATACTGGGCTACTGAATGGGAACTTTCGTTACAAACATTTGTTTCGACATTTGTCATTACAGCAGAATCAGTCAAGACATATTCCTAAGCTTTTGAAACTTCATTTCGTGCCACATATGTTTCAGAAGGAAACGCAGGATTATTCATAGTCTTTAGTAGATCATCCAATAGCCACACAAACAGAAACTATGTTTTTTTATGTAATTTTTAGATTATAGTAGCATGACAGTTCGGTGCGTGGGTTTTTCTTTGACAGTTGACTCGCTCTATGAGACGAATCCTTTAGAGTGTCACAACATATGGTCACACAAACAGAATAGGTTTTTTATGTAATCTTATAGACAGAAGACTGACAGTGTTGGACGTGGATCTTTGCCACGCAACATCCAAACTGATCTTTTAATATATTTTACAAACTCGCTAACGACGAAGTACATACATGCATGATAAACATGATTGACTTTCCTGGCCTGGCTTGGCCTGGCCAAGGATGTCGAAAATGAAGCCATAAGTCACGAAGTTTGACATAAGGAAATTGCTCGACTGAATCTATCGATAAAAAGTAAACTAAAATGCCGCTAAAGGCGGTATACCTCACAAAATCCATAGACTAACAGCTGTGATGTAGCGTAAAGATCCCACGCCAGACCTTCCTCAGATCAGCATGCATTCCCAAGTCCCAACGGCTAAAATATTCTCACGAGTCACGGAGTAAAATGAACAGCAACGTATGGGTGACGGAAAAGCTTGAAAAATATATGTTACGTTGTCAAGTGCATGTTACGAAGCAACGGAAACCCACGAACATGTGTTCATACGATCATCAATATTTCCATTCTAACATGCAACTAACTCTTCATAAAAAAGTCCAAAGGAAATCGTGACTCAAAGCTCAGCCACCTACTCTTTAACTCTCACAACCTTCCTTCTCGAAAACCCCGCACGGTGCACGCCTACATCTACCGATCATTCCAACTGAATACCGGAACATCATAGCTTGTACAGTAATGGCCGTTCAATTTCATGAAATCGAGGAAGCGGTTTTCAGATTCTCTGTTTCTGATTCAAGCACTTCCAAACGATGCAGTATGCTTCTGCTCAAAATGACGAAAAAATACAACCAACGCCACGAAGGCTTCATCTATGCCACCTGTCCTGACTTTTTTTAACGCGCCTGTTGGAAATATGATTATATTAAATACTGTATTTAGAATAGCATGGAGGCTATTTTTACGCAAGTATTTAGTAATAAAGGTCGCCAGAACGACGAAACAACCTCCTTCAGATTATATCCAATACCCAATCAACACGCGAACGATGGGCGCACGAAAAGATCAAACTCAAAATCGTTATCGAATCATATCTTCAATTCACTCCCCCAAACCGTTGACTAACATCAAATTAAACTATTCCCTTACATTAACATCAGGTACTAATGGCCCCAATACACGTCAAGCAGTTCAACACCGACATCATAACATCACAATTCAGCACAAGATTGCAAAACAACCCACAAGAATCTTGTTTCTGACACGTGTTTTTGTACCTATTCAGTTCCGCGAATATCTTGTCACGCTCCAAATTTGAAATGCAAATTTTCTATTTGCACAGATCACAGAATTTACCGAGATGTAAAACACAGCTGGCGCTGTTGTTAGTGGTCAACGCGAATTTGATCTTGTAGATGTAGTATATTATTATACGACTGACAGCTTAGAATCCGCTGTATTTACCCAGATTAAGTTACAACGGCAAACAATGAAAATAAGAGATCGGTATTACGGTATTACCTCAATTCGTTAAAACGAGGACGTGTCAGCTGCTCTTGAAATACGCCAAGAGACGCTTGGATCCAACCGACTGTCCGTCTTAACACGAAATGCAAGGAATCTTTTGCTTTTCAGCAAAATATGCTGTCCCAAAGTTGATCACAACACGCTACCGCGATTTACTATCGGGCTTTTAATTTCGAGAGCTCCAAAGCGTCCTTTGCGGCAAGTTTTTGAGATGACGGAATCACGCTTGAAACACAGATAGACAATGTGTGTTTTTCACCTTGCACGCTTCGTCTGATCCGCAAAACACTGGACAAAATATACACGCAAAATTCAAGTGACTCTCCAATGCACACAACTGTGACCTCTTGAAGTGGCCGTTGGTTAGGACTAACAAAGACTCCCGTAGCGTTTTGGAAAATAAAACCATTTATGATATCAAATAACACTATTGTCTATAATGATAGTAAAATGATAGCCGTATGGTAATTTTGTAAAACTAACATTGAATGAGTGAGGTATTACAGGGGATGTAACGAAGTACGAACTTACTTTGTTCATTTACTTCATTACCTAAAAGATGAGATGGACCGGAATCTCGCATTAAACTATTAGAAAAGAATAACTTGGAATACTGAAGTATTGATAAATAATGAACGCACATCTGAGAATTGTCAGAAAGCTTTGTCATATTTTAATAAAAATCCTCATTAGGTCGATAATAGGAATCTATATCTACACTATAATGCATGGCCACGGGGCTCGAGGCAGGCAAGACTTGAAACAGGAAATCAGATTACCTTTCGACTAAATGAAAAGGCATTTTTTATCATTTATTACTTTTTGACAAACTGTGGCTAACTCAAATTTTTTTGCTAAATTCATATCCCTGCATTATTTTTATTAAATTCATGTCCATTATCAAAGATTTTCAATTCAAGACAATGCACTTAGCATCCATCGACAATCAACTAGTGACTGATTGAGGATTTCCAACAGCTTTCTTCACAGTCTATTTACAAAATCAAACGACATCCGCTGTGAGACGTTATAATCTGTGGGGCAACAGACAATAGTGCAAATGGAATGGAAAGCCGGGAGATCAAGCTAATGGACTAAACGCAAAGAATAGCTTCTTATTACACCAATAATTATAATCCCACCTTTGAGGCGTCTTAGAGATTCCTTCCCACCTTATTACGAGCTTCAAGGATTCCGGTGCTACCATACGTGGTAGTGGTATAGTGAATCAGACCACGCTTGCTCCTTATACTATGTCCACAAACACTTCTCACGTCTCGAACTTATCTTACACTAATAAAACACAGCATGTTGTGTTGAAAGGTCTGTGTTATTGTACCATGATATCCCAAACTCTCCTACTATCATATGATGATGCTCATTACTCAGTTTTGGTCTGGCTCGGAGCTGCTTTCGTGTTTTTGGCACGTGCATTGATAAATTTAAAAAAATAATTGAAAGGCTTCAAGCGATAACATTTAAATTATTATAGAGAGCTTGAAGTATATTGTAATCAATAAAATTAGTTGCATATGTGTGATGTATTATCTTTGCAGGTATAAATACGTATGTTATATTATTGTATTTAGTACCTAGAATAATTTTTATGTAAAGTAACTTCTGTCTCTACGCGTAGCATTCAACGGACTTGACTTATCATGGAAACGAACATGACAACTGATTTCGAGTGCCAACTCTGTTGTTGTTGACAACCGCGAGGCTGTGTGTGTAATCAGTTGAGAATGGTAAACCGATTAACCGAAACAATCGGCCTGACCCATGCACTGGTGTGACCTGTCTTGTGTCTACATACTTGCATGCTGTGAACTTCTTCAAAGCAAGGGTTCTGCAACGAAGCAGTCCTTAGAAAATTTCACTCGATGATGTATGGTGTGCTTAACCGAATAACCGCAGGCGTTCCAAATATCTTTGCTATACACAGTCGACAAATTGACTTTTCGGAATTATTGGGGGTGTAGTTGCTTTCAAGTACTCCCCTCTCCCAGTATAATCGCGAGTATATTCGAAACTAATGGTTAAAACTATTAATGGAGAAATGATTTTAAGTGAAGCTCACCTGATAGGAATGATTGGATAATAAGTTCATGTGCCGTAAAAAAAGGATCTGGAGCATGTTCATCTGTGTTTATAGAATCACGGAACTATACAAAGGCTGGATGGTCGCCCTATTTTTAAATTTTAACCGTCTAATAACAACATTTTCTTACCCATTTTTTTAACACAGCAAACCGTTTTTCATGTATTTTTTTTTTCATTTCAGTATTCAGATGGGTTGTTGTTGATTGCACACATGCAAAAAGAAATATATACATGCATGTATCACACATCAGCCACCGTGAAATCTCCATTC